TAAGAACAAATGCACTTAAACACTATTTGGACTGAAGAAACATCTTTGATGTCTTCGCAATCTTGGACTGAAGAAAATTATCCAAGATATTTCAATAGAAACCATTTTGTCTACGAAAAAATTATTTGTCAAAAAGGATTATTGGTTTTTATTATTTTGAAGGTGATCATCAACTATCAACTTATGTAGTTGGTTATCCCTTGACATACAAATAATTTGATGTGTCCAAAAATACTATTTAATTTAGATCAATTGAACAGTTATATAAAAGCTTAGGAATAAAAATTATTATTTTCACATTTGGTTTGGACAATCAAATAGCTTAATTGCACAGCGTCTGCTGGAGGCAGTTCTTTAAGTTTTGGAGATGTTTTAGTCGATAATGACAAATGATATGAATGTCGCCTTCAATATATATTTATCTGTAAAAGTAATTCTTACAGTTATTTCAATATTTTTTTTTAAATATTTGTAATATGCACTTATATACAGAATTGATGCGCTTTGAAAACTAAAGAATTGAATTTTGTTTATATTTAAAATTCTACAGTGGCATTTTACTATTATTACAAATATAGCACAATTTATATTATCATTATGTTTTAAGAATAAATATTGAACAACAATTAAACTAATTTCAAATTAAATTCAATGCATATTTGAAGCACTTACTTTGATTTAAGTTTGGTACATTCAAGTCATATAGTAAAACATCCGGCCTGCTCATATTTTTAAAAATTTCCGGTTTTTTATTGCCATTATAAAAATTAGTATTCAATTCACCATATTTCTTAATTAGAGTAGAGTTCATTTTTTTTTATATCGAAATTATTTAACACCGTCGGCAAAGTATAGAATAAAGTTCAATTAAAATTTATTTTAAAAAAATCTTACTTTGTTTTCTTTTATACAATTTATAATTTTTTATCATAATATAATTTAAGCCACAATGCACAGTGTTTAATCTTAATATGTTAATTACTTGTAAATTTTATCAAAACATTACTAAGCTTATATTTGAACAATAAAAACAAAGACACCTCAGTTCAATAAATAAAAACTAAAGTGCTTTTATTTCACATAAACCATTTGTGCTATTCCGAGTTGAGTTTTAGGGGTGGAAAAGTAATTTTCACTTAAACATTAAATCTACACCGTAGGTTGAGATAAGCCACAGGAGGCATATGCCTGTTTGTAATCGTTTGTACAAGTGTAATCTGTGTTATCTTCATGTCTATGGGGGCCGTTATAAATTATTAATAAATATCCTTATCAGCTTTGGACGCGGCATTTTTTGTAATAAATTAAAATATAGTAATAGATTTTACTTTAGGAATTGCAGATTAATGTATTACAGGATAAACAAATTATTTTTAATTTAATAATTATGTTTTTTTAGAGGGAACTAAATGGCGTGATTAAAACATACAGAAATATTTTTCTAAACTCATATACCACAAGTATATCTCTGAAAGAATGTAATCAATCTTAAATTTTTTTTTTTGTAGATACAGTAGTCTAATCCAATCTACAAAATTATATAAATATAGTAACTTAGTTAAAATTTGAAATGGTTTTCAACCGAAAGAAGTCGCTACTGGCGCAACATTCCAGGTAACCGTCAGGGTAAAGAGCTGGTTCATCCCTACAGTTATGGTAAGGTGTCCTTTAACGGATTTCCATGGACTGCGTTATCACCTTAACAAAATGGGTCTGTCCGAAGAGATAGATTGTCGGCTCTGCTTAGAAGTAGTCGAGACTTCCAGTCATATTCTCCGTGACTGCCTAGCCTTGATCTGGACCAGGAGGAGGTCATTGGGTTGAGAACTACTCTTTCCTTCTGAAATAAGAACGTCCTTAACGATCGACATTCTGGCTTTCATTCGGAAGGCGGAATGTCTTCTGTTCGGTAAAGGCCTGTTACAGCACAAAGGATCAACTATGGTCGCAGTGCTCCGCTCCGTTGGAATCTGGTACTCTGTTTATTCCTGTTCCTATTCCAAGTTAAAACTTAATCTTTGATAATAGTTGGGAATATTTCGGCCACAATTTGATACTGATTGACTTTCAACAACTTTTCACGTCAAAGGCAAATAATAGCAATGCAGAATCAAGAATGCTTATAAAGTAATATATCAAATAAACGTTTAATACATAATGGATAACAATTATAATGTCATAAACAATATATTTACGAAATGAATCGTATCACAAAAACACTTCAGCTCAAATTAAAAAATAAATTTAGCCAAATGAGAAGAACACAAGAATTCTCTATTAAATTGCTCACAATATATAATGGACTACAAACATCAGTTAAAAAGAAAATTTAATTTAAACTTGATAAGAATTATAATATACTGCATTCATAACATAAATTTATTAAGCATAAATCAAAAAGTGCAAGTTTTTGTAGTTTGTGCTACTTCATAGAAAACTGTGAGGGATTTGAAGATCTCGTGCCAGAACAATTATATAAACTCAGAGGTTAGGAATTTAATCTGTAATATGCCAGTAATTCTCAAAAATATAAGAATTTGGAACCTACAGCACATTAAAAACTATATTAAAATTGCTCACAATCTATAATCATCATCATCCGTGACTATAAAGTCTATGTAGTGCCTAAGCCTGTTTAAAAACATTCTTCCATTCTTCTCTTTTTTGCTTTTGTTTTCCAATACCTTATGTTAATTTCTTCTAAATCCTGCTGCACACTGTCATTCCATCGTTTTCTAGGTCGCGCTCTTCTTTAGCTGGTTCCTGGTTCTTTCTCATAAATCTTAAGCGATACTCTCGTATCCTGCATTCTTATCAAATGTTCAACCCATCTTAATCGTAGCTTTTTCATAAATTTGTTGATTGTATCACCTTTAGCTAGCCGTTCTATCTGGTGGTTGTGTCTTATGCAAAACATCTCGTTTTTTTCACGGGGTCAAATTTTTCCGAGTAATTTGCCTTTCAAACACTGCTATCTTGCTTGCATCAGTTTCAGTTAATCTCCAATGTCTCGCAGCCATGTATTACTACTGGGCGAATCAATGGTTTGTACATTTTTCCACAATCTATAATAAACATAATAAATCAATTATTAAAATATTTAATTTAAACATGATAACAATTATATATAATTTAATATAAAATTCTATGTATAACATACGGCATCTATAACAATGGTACACCAGTAAATAATTAGTTAAGAATTTCGGTAAGATTTCAGCTTAAGGGATTAATATAAAAAAAATTTGGACAAACCAATTGGACATAAAAAACTATACTATATATAAAAAATGCGTCTAGCATATACGACAAAAAAGTGACAGTTGCAGAATTGGTGATTACTGATCAGTATTTTTACATATATTATATTAATACTTTGAAAAATCTTATTGATAAAAAAATTATCATGAAAAAAAATATATAAAAAATTAAAAACAGTTTCTTAAAACTTAGTTTGATAATTATTTTTATGTCTCTATTACATTAGCAACAAACAGAAGGATATAAGATTCTTCCAATATATTCATTAATTTAAATTATAGTAACTTTTTTTTCTTCAAAGTGATACAACTACTTTCGTTGATTAAATTTATACTGCGCATGATAAAGGGGGAGGTTTTTCAATTTGTACTTCATAGTACACCAATTTGGAAGTAACCAATAATGTTACACCTCGCGTTTTGGTCTAAAACAATTTAGTTTTTAAAGCGGATGCGTTTTGCAAAGAGTTTCATTAGCTTCATGACCTGCTGCAATAATTGAAAGTGTTGGGCTTATTGAAGCGGTTGATTCACATGGGAATTACATTTTTGAAGATACTTGAATTTTATGACTTAACTAGTTCAGCAATAGAAAACAATTTTTTAAAAAGAACGTTTTAAATAAAAGATAAATATATATTGTTAGATTTAAAAAAAAATGAATGGTATATATATAATTTACTATTTTTACAGTGCCAACAAAAATATTGAATATTTTATATATAAAGTTTAGTTAATTACTGGTATCTTATAGTTTTTAATGTTGCTAACTGGCAATGCTGAGGTGGCATATTCGAAAATCTAACAATCTGCACAATTACCTGTGATAAGTGAATTAAACTATTAATATACTCGTATATATGTATAATATTATTATTCATTTATATAATGAATAAAATGTTCAGCTAAACAATAATGGCAAGATATTCATATAAACAAAATAAATACAATTTGAACAAAAAAGCGTAGTTTAATCTAGCATTGTTTGTGAATTGTATTTATTTATTTGTAAATATAATTAATAAATATCATGGTTGATGAATTAGAAAGTACAACAAAAAACAGGTGACAGAACATTATATGAATCTACTTTTTAACTTCGTATTTTTGAATAACCAGGTTAAAATGATTAATGAGTTGTTGTCAATAATTTACATATAACAAATTTAGTCTTAAAAAATTTATTGGTGCTTTAAATACTCAAAATAATAAGTACATTGAAATTTCTTGTCGTTGATATTATGTATAATCCATCTCTTCTTACCCATGTTGGAAAAATTACTTGGTTCGCTTGCAAACGGTAAAGGTTCAATGAAAGTGATGAACAGTATTTGATCAATATGGACAATTAACTCAGGATCGCACACACCTAACCTAACATTTACTTGTAATTTGTATTGGGATTTTTGTAAATATGTAAAAATAAAAAAAAAGTGAATCCCTGATATTAATTCATGCCTATAAAAGGTGACGTGACGCAGACATTTCTCCTCTATAAATTGCTTAATTGTAAGGTGCCACAAACTAGTATTTCTGGAATACAATAGATATAATGATTACCTTAATTCTATATTCACTAATATCTATATTCCACTTGAAGCGTTAAAAAACATAGAAAAATAAATAACATTTAAAACAATTACAATGGAAACTTTTTTTATATAGTTATATCAATAACACATATATTTATTTTATTAACATTTATAAATATTTTTAAATAAAATCTATTAACATCAAAATTTAAAGAGTTTAATTATACTTAATGAATGTAAAGTCATCAATTAATTTGAATTTATCTTCACGGAAATGTAGCAAATCATCAAGAAATCGTTCACTACTCTCATTGTGTAATTTTGCCATAACTTCCTTTATATTGGTTACTTCTGCTGTTTCTGCTAAATCTGTGAAATACTCCATCTAAAACAAAATAGAAGTATAAATTCTGTTAATTTTTTTAATTTATAAATGTTAAAAGAAGTTAATAATAATAATATCGAAAATGCATCAACTGCATATCTGCCTCATTTCAAAAATTTTCTTCATATAATTGTATGTGAAAAAATATTTCAGTTTTCTTAAATGTATAAAAATCAATACCTTTTTGATCTCACTATTAAGAATTAAACCAAGTCTTAGTCAAACTTTCATATATTCAATATTTTTCTAAATAATATTTTCTTAATTCTCTCATATCGTCAATTTTTTTCTAATGCCTATATATTTCTTGGTTTTAATATAGATTTATTTTCTCTATCTTTTGGGATTTTATTATGTTCCTCTAAAATATTTGTCATTCTTTTATTTTGTCTTCTATCTTTAACACATATTAAATTAGTACTCGTATTAACACAAAAATGAACAATGTAAAAAAAAAAATGAACAATTAACACAAAATGAACAATGTATTCCTGTACGTGCGACTAATAGTGCAATATAAATAGTATTATTGACGTTTATTACCTGTTGATAGCCCAATAGATGTGCCTGTCGCTTTTTATATCCTTTCTTCCATCGGCTTTGCATTTCTTTTTCCATATCAACTAGCATATCCGTGACTGTTGGCAACAGTTTTTCGCCAGTCATATATTTTAAAACGAATCTACTCTGAATATCCATCATTTGAGAAGCACACACATAGAACGGTATCCCAATAAAAGACATTGTGGGATATTGAATGTTTATACAATGTTTATATAAATTATTAACATAATTTTCATCAACATAAATCCCGCAATCAATACTAAGGAAAGGGAAACTATATTTATAACCAGTGCAATAAAATATTATGTTGAAATTATCATAGGAGTCATCAACAAAGTATGCTCCATTTTTATCCAATTTTTTTATGTCGGGCTTTTGATTGACATTGCCCAAAAATTTTGTTTTTGGTTGATCAACGATATGATGGCTTAAAGTGACACTTTCAGCATGTTTTGAAATTTTGTGACATAAATCCATGCCACTTGGGCCAGCTCCTACAATTAGAACTTTTTGTCCTATAAATAAATTCCAATAATTAAAATCACAAATTAGAATATTTATTATAATTTTTACCTTTAAACATTTCTGGTCTTCTGAAGTCATGACTGTGCAACTGAAGACCTGTGAATAGTTCTGCTCCTACATATATTGGATATGAAGGTGTGTGATAGTGTCCAGTGCATATCATTATATTGTCGAAGAAATATTTATGCACACTTTTATCAGTCAAAGAGCTAATTAATACCTATAAAGCAGATATACTGTAGTATATACTGTATTAAAGTATAGACACAATTTTATTTATTGTATAATATACCTACCTGCCATCCGGCTTTGAAAGGTATTACTCTTATCACGGAATGCAAAAATTTAATGTATTTCAATAAATTGAACTTATTCGCATAGTCATTTAAAAACTGTTTTATAGTTTCTGATGTTACATATGAAACATCGCATTCTTCTATGGGAAAATCTGGATAACCCATAATTTCCTTAGGTAAATTTGTTCTGAAATCCAAAGAGCAAAATTAATTAATTTGTGTTGTTGATAAAATTTTTAATTAGATTTTTAATGGCATAAATAGATAACAAAAATTAGACAATATATCGGTTTATTTCCTTAAATATTGCACTTTATATATATATTATATTTAATATTATTTAATTCTAAATTAAAATCTTAGCAAAAAATTTCCTTATTGTTAGGTAGGTGCATAGAACAGGCTGAGCGATATAACATATAGATCTAGATAACAGTTGAAGTTAAATGTGTTATTAACAATATTTGAGAGATAGCTTTCTCCAATATCAAGAATAAAGTTCAGTTTCTCAAAGCTGGTACCTTCAAAGAATTTCAGTCAAGTTTTTAAAAGAAAGAACATACTTCAGTGGTTCTTTGCATTTTCTGCTGATGCAACACTTCGGGTGGTATACTTGCTTTATACATTATTCTTCCGATATTGTTTTTATTAAGAAGATAAATAAAAATTATATAATTCCAATAACTCTGACCGGAGAATATACTTTCTATATAGATTAAAGAATCAATAATGTATATTATTGTAAATATGTTAGATTTATGTTAGATATGTTAGAGATTCAATCTGAATATGTTAGATTCAGACATGATAATTACTTTATATATTGGTAAAATCACAATATATTCAATTGAGTTCTTACTTTAAATACACTATTATATTTTTAACATAATGAAAAGATTAAGATTAACTGTTTGGTAAGGGAATTTACCTTTATAATTTATTTAAATTCAAAACTTTGGACATGACATTTGCTTTATTCATTTCATATCATTAAAGCTTTATTTGAATTTAGAGTAAAAATTTATTAAAGCATTTATTTCCGTAAAATTTAAATACAACAACCCAATATCTGTCACGGGATATCTGCATTAAATTTCTGCATGCATTTATTGTAATGCAATGATTTATGGTTTAGGTTTAGGCTAAGACATGGAATCGAAACAGCTCCTTCGGAGGGATTTTTTGAAGGTTTTTATCCTCTACTTAGTATGTACCCAATATTTTGTTTCTTCTGTGGCCTAGTTCATCACAGATGGTGATCAGATGTTCTATAGACTCTTCCTTATCACAGCAGAATCTGCACATATTTGTGTCGGATATACTTATTTTGTGTGGATGTTTATTGCAAGCGGCGTGGCCTATTAGTGCACCAAAGAATGACTTTAGACTCTTCTTGTTTAGGTTGAGAACAATGTTTGCTCTTTTACCATCAAAATTCAAGTACTAGTTGAAACAGATTCAAATGGAAAAAAAATAGAGGCGGTTATAACCTCAGCTTACTTTCCTGGAGACACCAACGAAGTACAGCCACCGAACATAATAGGTCTAATGAACTACGGTAGCACACATAATAAGACCCTTATAATTAGCTACGATGCAAACGCGCACAATACAATTCTGCATGCATATTCAAGCTTTTAGTGAGATGTCGTTTAAAGTCTTACCTGTTTTTATTAAATTTTTGTTTATTATATAACATATGTAAAAAAAATTTACTTTATTAATGTTATCAATGTTTATTTTCAATGTAACAAGATATTTTATTACTATCTTGTATTAAATTCGCTCTTTTGAAAAACATATGTTTAAATTATTTTAATCTGTTTTTTAAATATGTATTTATATTTTTATGTATGATGAAAATTAATTATTGTAATTATATATTATTATTTATATTATTAATATATAATTTCTAAATATTTATAGTTTTATATAGCATGAAATGTATAATACCTCAGACCATAATACATGCTACTATGTATGTCATATCCAAATTCATCTGTTCCGGTTTCATCTCTGTATACCCATGTTCCACCTATTTCAGCTCCCTGTTCCACAACAATAGGTTTTATATTCTGGCTGATGGCATGCCTTGCCGCACAAAGTCCTGCAGTTCCTGCGCCAATTATTAATAATTTCATTATATATTCGTTCTTATGTATAATCACTTAGAATGAAATTATATTACTAAACTGAATCAATTTCTTTTTAATTAAAATCTGCAATTGAGAAATTTATTGTTTACACTGCGATAAGGAATCTACTTTTTATCAGTGTATGAAGTAAGTTAATTTCACACCATGTAATGCAGAGGTTAAAATATCATTTGATTAATCTATACAAACATTGAATATGTTTTCGAGATTAAATGCATTTAAATAATTTCATTATTTATATGCTTTTTATATATATTAATAAAACAAAGACAAATAAATAAAACTTTTAATAAATAAATATAATTTATTTATAATTCATCAAATATATTACAATTTTATTACTTACTTATTATTTTAAGAAGATATGAAGATTGTCATATTCACATAAAGTTGTGCAGAATGAATCAAGATATTTACATGTGTGCTTATACATATATACAATATTTATAGATTAAATTGAAGTATTATTTCAAATTAGCTTATTTTCCAAAACTAATGAAGTTTTTATTGGTAAACCACATCTGATCGTTTATAGTTTTCATAAATTGAAGTTCTTCAATATCGGTATTTTGAGGTATATCATATTATTTGTTGGATGGTACTTTATGTCATTGTCATCCCGTTGGATTTTAACTCATTATGAAGCTTTTCTTTATCGATTTACTGTATATTCCTTCCGCTCACAAAAAATATATACGTATCACCTGTTTAATTGCCCGGATTCGATTAAGGCACATGGATTTATTTTGAGTATTTGTATGTTTAAATACTTTAATGTTATATGTTGTATGATGAAGTTATATATGTTTATTATTTGTATGATAAACCTATTTGTCACTGCTTATAATAATTCGCATTGAGAAAAAAGTCAAATAAACACTGAAATGTCAGTGATATTTATATAGAAAATAGCTATAAAAACTAAATTAAAAATAAAAAACAAAAAAGTTGTTTTTTATTTAAAAGATCACAAAAAAATAAAAAAATAGCAAACTAATAACCTCTTTCAAGATATTTTCAATATTAATATACGAGTACTATACATTATCAACTTGCTTTGCATATAAATGATTTCATTAAAGAAAAAAAAACAAATAAATTTTCTTTAAAATAATTTAATTATATAGTCTACAGTATATGACAACAATAAAATTAATTATTGTTAATGTACAATTCACTTAATACTTAAAAATTATTTATAAAACTACAATTGTTTAATATTCGCATAAATAAATAATGAATCACGCTACAAATAAAAATAATTCTGTAAGCTATTCAGCTGTGGCTTATAATATAAATATATATGTATAGATTTATGTATACGAGAACATTTTTTTATGAATTTATAAACATTTTTGCCAAAAGAAAAAATCAAAAACTTTTTTCATATAAACAGTAAGTAGATTTAAATCATTTATATTTCTGAGTAATATTTTTAGAACATACTGATGTAAAAAATATATAAATTTCAAACTCAAAATTTTTTGGATTTGAGAAAAATTATTTTATCACAATGCTCTTATTGAAGAGTGGAAAATTTTTTCCACTCTCAAGAGAAATTAAAATGGGCAACGAAGCCCACCAAGGCACCATTTTAAGCAGGACCGTAATTACTTATCTATATTTTAAATAAAAAAAAAATTATATAAATAAATAGAGAGAATTAATAATTCAATAAACACAAAAATATATTAGCGATCTATATAATACCGTATATATTATCTTAATAACTATATGCAATAATTTTTTTATAGCAATGCTATTATATTTTAAATAAGAAATGCAGATAAATGCATTTTGTAAAATTATTTTTAGTTAATAACATTTATGGTTAAAAATGTGTAAACATTTTTATTATTTTTAGATTTTGTTTTTTTATTAGTGTGAAGAGCACACACAAAGCAAAAATATTTAATTTCTTGTTATAATTATAAAATATAATCTAATAAACTATGCTCTCTAGGCAACTTTTTACTTTTTAATTTTGAGTAAGTTTAAATAGAAATTTTAAAAATAGAATAATTTTGGACTCAATTTGATTGATCCAGGTAAATAGAGGAAAATTATTTACATAAGCAGAAATCTCTATTGCTATATCCAAACTCTCTTGATGGCACGAGTAAATAATTTTTAAAATTAAAGATAATATTTTGTATATTATCTAAATTCCGAGAGTGAACGTAAAGTAAGAGAGCTGCATTTCCTCCTACAATTCTTTAAATAGGTGCTAGTAGTTATACTTATTTAATTTATTGATATCTATTTTTAAACAAATCTCCATGCAGCAATGCAAATTTATTTATCTTTATTGTTAAAAGATGTGCTTTTAAAAAATTGATTTTTGATTAGGATAATTATATATTTGGATATCTATAATCTAAATCTTCTTATTGCAATGAAGATTCATTTTGCTTATCGTTGATGAAGCTATATAAAATATATTTCTATTAGAGAGTCAAGAGTAAATAAAATATTGCAACTGATAAAATGCAAAAAAAAAATTTATGACCATATACGAATATAAAGTTATAGTAATCCTATATGTACTTAGGGATATATTCGTATAAAAATATTTTTACCCTTTACGACCAACACACACAATATTTTAAAGTCAATATTTTTAAAAAATATTTTTTTTAAATTATGAGAACAAACATTTGCTTATAATTATGTGTATACAAATATACACATATATTTTAGAATAACATACATATATCTATATAACAAGATAAAATAGAATATATAGAATATATTGCCTTTTGACGATCTCGTATCATTATTGATGTGCACACTCACTGAATATTGCAGAGATACTCAACATTTTTCATACACCCTTCTTGTTAAAAGTTCAGTGTGGAACACTAAATTTTATCTAGCAGTTATATAATATACAGCATACAGATTTAATTTTTTTTATATACCTACTATATTTTGGTTTGTTTAGTTTAAAACTTTTCAAGCTTTACCAATATAAAAATTGGGTCGAAAAGCGAGTAGTCGCGGGTATAAATATTGGTCCAAGTGCAGTTGTCTACTGCATATAACACATAACAATCCGACGTTAACGAGGAGCTCTGAAAATTGTTTTACGAACCTATTCCTTAGTGTTCTGCGGAGTACAGTTTAAGAAACGCTGGCTTAGAGATATTATATTTATTATTAACAAAAACCTATAATAATTACTTTAATCTTGTTTTATAATGCTTAACAAAATAACATTTGTTTGAATAAAAATATTATAAACAAATGAAATACATTTCAAAATTAAAACAAAATAAAATATAGATTCCACTTAAATTTTCAAATTTTTTTATAGAAATATTTGGACCAGATAACCTACATCAACATTAACATTAATACTGATAAAATGCTTGTTTCTAAATAAGTAATATGAAATATACATCGGAAGATTTATAAAACAGTAATTTGAGCGACTTTATCTTTTGTTATTAAATCCCTAAAAAAGTTTAAATCAAATTAATTACTTTTGAGTGTAAAATACTACAAAAAACAATAGGCCTCGTAAGGACATATATCAGTCTTCACAAAATACATTCTAACAGTTGATCCTGTTCATTACTCAATAACACAACTATACTTATTTACTATAGCGTGCATGTGATAACAATGTCTGAAGGAAGGAAGCAAATCAAAGTATTAGAAAGCGAAATTCTCGAAACCACAGAGTTAGAAATAATTTAAGAGAAATGTATGTGAACAAACGAGGAATATTTGCAGGAAACAAAAATATTTAGAAGAGAAGACTATAGACTATAAACATTATAACCATAGATATAGTGTTCTATAAATTGAGTATACAATTATTCTAACTCTACAAAATGTACTGTAAAAATCTATTATAGTTATAAAAACGAAGAAAGGAACGGTTTTGAAAATTACATAAAATTTGACAACGATATTTATGCTTTATAAACCTCTATAAGTGTTGATAAGTCTATAAGTGTTATAAACTTTTTAACCTTTTTATACATCGAGACTTTTTTGTTGCCTTTATGAACGACAATGAGTCACTAAGTTTTAAGTAATATTAATAGTTTTAAGATAAACCTGTTGAAAATGGCATAAAGCAAGATACTGCTATAAATAGTAATTTATTTATTTATAAAAATGTTACACATCCTTTATAAATCTAAAAGACTAAAAAAAAAATGGAATCAATACTGTTTTAATAAATTTTTTAAATGAAACTGGAGAATGATCTTATTATATTTTATATTTTATCTGGCTAGCTTTTTCTAAATAAATTCACCATATTTTCAAATAAGAATATGTTTTATTTTTTACCTTACAGTGTTGGGCTTTTTATTAATATACCATATTTTTTATATGAGTCCATCATATAATATAGAATGACTTTATTATATTTTACATTTTTCTATGAGTATTTTGATATATAAAACAGAATTATTAATTCAACAAATTCTTTTAAAGAACTATGTACAAATAAAACATATTTTTTTTACCTTCATTAAAATTAATATTGATAAAATCTGCTCCTAGCACATTATTAAAGGATGCCTCAGAATTATTTGTTTATGTTATTGTTAAATATGAATTATATTTCCATTAAAAATTATTATTGTGAATAAAAACCCGTATGGATATCACCAGACTTAAGTCACAGACCTCCACATATATGTTCACCAGTCTAGTAGCACTATTTTGATAGGTTATTAAAAAAAAAAAACAAAATATATTAGAAGAAAATAAAATAAAAGCCATTAGAATATAATTGTTAACTTTTTTGTAACTATACTCGATATTTTAAAAAATCTAAATCAAAATAAATTTATATTTTATATTTGTTATTAATATATATATTTTTATAATAAAATTCTAATTATTTTAATTTAATTTATGAACATTATTAAGAGATTTGAGCGAATTTCTTTCTTTTTTTTTTTGTTGAGTTTTCTTAACTATATATATATAATAAAATGTTTGCTCACAAACAAAAAAAAATTATTATACCATATATAATGAGTATGCAATGCTATTTATTTTCAAGTTTATCAAAATAAATTTGTTTTTGGAAAGCCACAGAATATTATTTCCTAAAAAAAAATATAATATGAATTTTTATAAAATAAGTTAAGAAGAGAGCAATACTCGTACTAAGCAAATTATTCATAGCATGTGCCTATCCTTTTCTAATGAATCGTTTATTATTTGTGTTGTGCCGTGTGCACTTACAAATATAGACTACTCGAAGACATCATCTCTCCAGTTCATTCGTTGTTAATCAAAGAAAAGTATTGTAACGCGCTACTCCAAGAGATTTCCCTATTCATCGTCATAACGAAAATATTTTTTTTTAAATTAAGGTATATACACATGTTGGATATAAGTTTTGTTTTTCAAATTTTTAAATTATTTCAATGTATTCAAAAATAATATGAAATGCAGTGTTATATAATCTTAGTTATTGTGAAAAAAGTGTTAACTAATAAATTATAATAAAATATTTTTTTTATAAATAAATTTAAATTGATTGTTATGTTTATTAAAAATAATATATAAATATATTTTAAACAGTTACAGATACAGATACATTTTATAAAATGCCTTTCACACCAGTAGAAACACCAAAATGTCCTAAATGTGGCAAATCTGTGTACGCCGCTGAAGAGCGTGTTGCCGGAGGTTACAAATTCCACAAAACCTGTTTCAAATGCGGTAAGTTCCCTAAACAAGAAAAAAATTTATATAAAGAAAAAAGAAGAATTTCATAAAAAAGAAAACTTAGTAATGGAGAAAAATTTAAAATATGAAAATAATTGCATTTTAAGGAATGTGCAACAAGGCTTTGGATTCTACAAACTGCACAGAGCACGATAAAGAATTATTCTGTAAGAATTGCCATGGCCGCAAATACGGTCCAAAAGGTTATGGATTCGGTGGCGGTGCTGGCTGTTTGTCGATGGATTCTGGAGCACATTTGAACAGAGAGTAAGTCTATAAAATACATTTACAATTTTTATTATCGAACTCTGACATATCAGATGCCAACAAGTTATGTGAAAAATAGTATGATAATAATATATCAAAGTTCTTAATATCCAGTTACTTGAAATCGAGTTAAATCTATTATGATATATATATATATTTACATATATATATTTATATATTATTATATAAAAGTTTATTTAAGTGCAAGCCACATAAATTACACAATTTTTCAAATTTCTTATATTACATATACAATCATGAAAATAAATATATATACCATATACAAGAATATATGCACATATCTATATATGCGTATAGGCATAAAAAGTAGTACAGCTGCATTCACACAAGTTTAAATATAGAACTTGAATCATTTCGGACTAAATATATTTGTACTTACATATACATATATGTATTTGAATTTGTTTGGACTTTCAAAGAGCTTCAAATGTCTATTGAATGTTTCAATATTTCGTATGCATGCAACTGACCCATAAAATATAGATTCAGTTTTTGTTGGAATATATTAGTAATTAGTATTTTTTTTTGTTAATAATGGATACTATTCAATGTATAACCTATACATTCTGTAGAATTTGTTTAATAATTTTTTTTTATTTTTATGGTATATATGTATATATGTGTATATTTATGTTACCTCTAATCGCACTGCTAATTTTCATATGACTATAACATTTCATACATACATACTACATACATTTGACTATAACAATAATTTTTGTTTTCTAAATTGCCAATTGTTATTATTTGTTTGTTTGTTTTGTTTTTTTTTTACATAATCGCAGCAACTAATTTACTTGGCGAAAGGTAGAGGAAACCGATGGATATAAGGAATCGTAGAGCCTACACAACTTTTTTATCTTAAAACACATTATATAATACGATAGCAAGGATTTATGTTTGGTGTAAATTTTTAACCTAATATGTAACAAATTAAGTTTATGTTAGTAAAAAAAAACGTTTTTGTACTAAAACAATTTCATAAAAGTATTTCTATGTATATATATATTCTCATATAAGTATGTATATATATATATATATTACGATATAATTATGAAATGTTAAATATGAAATAAAACAAATTTTGAATAAATTTTTTTTAAATACATATTTTTTTTAAATAATTTTTTGTTAGTGGACTTATTTTAGATATTTTAGTTTATTTCTACAATTTCATTGAATTTGTCAGATATTTCAGTTCACATTATATATGTATATGAGGTTTTTTATTGCTGTAGAAGCTCAATCGTTCCTTTTCAATATTCAAGCTTATTGTTATAGTCTCAATGTGCTCTTATATCGATTCCTCTACCTTTACTTCAATCTAGTATGTTTTACACTTTTTTTAATTACTTACCAAATTTATCGAACTTATCGAAAAGAGCTCACACTCAAAAAGATGCATGACACCTTAATAATGTAGAGATTGATTATATCTTAATTGATTATATTAAATAATACAACAAATAAAGATAATAAATAATATTCAGTAAAAGAAAGAATAAAGAAAAGAAAACACTTAGCTTCACACAAATTAATTTTATTAGATAGTTATAATCTATATTTCAAAGACGATTAGTTAATCTGTTAAAGAATATTAAACAGAAGTTTTTTGAAATATATGTAACTATTAAGTAATTATTTGGTATGTAGTAAATATTGTGCTCACTGCATGCGTCCCATGCTCTGACTAGGATAGCGAACATTATAATATATAACATCATTATTAATAATACTTGTTTTAATATATATTTGTATATAAATTGTCAAGGAACTAATAATTTTTTTAATTAGTTTATATATTTAAATTATTTAGTACGTAGTACATATTGTGCTCACTGTATGCGTCCCATGCTCCGACTAGGATAGCAATCATTATAACATATAACATCATTATTAATAATTCTTGTTTTATTATATATTTGTGTATAAATAGTCAAGGAACTAATAATTTTTAAAATTAGTTTATATATAAATTTTATTTTTTAATGTACTCACAAATGTGCACGCAGAGTTTTTAATATAAAGTTTTTCAAAAATTCACTTTAATATTTTTAAAATGAATATAACTAGATTTTGTTATATGTTTTAAATTAACAATAAATTATCAAAACTCAAAATTACGGTTTGCGGTCAGTTGATTAATAAAGGTGACCATGCGGTTAAAATTTGGGAAGGTATGAGTTCAAATCTTGATTCTTGTAGTTCAAAAAATTATTAGTAAATAATTAAATAAAAAAAAATTATAAAAACCATCAATAGTGGGAATTTCAAACAATTTAATTAAAGTTTGTAATAAAAATTATTTATAAAAAATTATATATGAAAATATGTCCAAAGACCATTAGAAGAGGAAATTTAATTTTAATTAATATAAAGAGGTTTTCGAACAGAAGTGAAACAACAACAAAAATTTATTTTTAAATTATTTTAATTAATTGAATTTTTGGCTGACCATACAGCTGTTTCGAGTATTGCCAAATACCCTTCATCAGTGATCTTGGAATTATTTCTTATATTTAATTATTCGTAAATAATTTTTTTTTGATACTGCAAGTACAAAGAGTGGGACTCATGACTTGCCAAATATGACTTGCTCAGAATCAGCGCACCTTAACCAACTGATCCAAAGCCGTACTTGACTTTTTTATGTTCGCATATTTTTGCTGGAGTTTTGTTACTTTTGCTATGAAAGTTTTATTAACAATTTTACTTGCTGCATTTATATATTAGAACGAAATCATAAACCAGCTGTAGAATAATTGAATTAATTAATTAATTATATTTTTTATTTTTAATTGTTAAATTTAAAAACTATTCTATTCGTAGAGGCATTATTTGTTGCATGATTTGTTCTTTCTTATGTATAGAACCTAATCTAGGAACGTAATGCTGAGAAAGTCATGCTAATGTTACTCCACTAGTCGCACCACTAATTTTAATTAATTAAATTAAATTTTGTTGTAATTTAACACTGCTCAATATACTTATATTTCTTTCGTTTCAATTAACTTTAAATTAAAAAAACAATATTATTTAAATGGCTGTTAATTTTCACCTAAAACACTTATACAAAAAACATAGAATTATTTCTATGTTTTTGCTTATACTATGTCCATTACCATACTCAGAGTTAGAGCCAAATAGATTACTTAGATTTAATGATTTATATTATGTTGAATCAATCGTGAACCCTCTTCACTTCATAGTTGACAACTTGAAATATTTATAATTATTTAATGTCATTAAGACTAAAAAGTTTTTAATGATATGTTTTTTAAAAAAAAAGTTTTTTTTTCTGTAAAAAAAAATAAAAAATTTCTACTTGTTTCTTTTTTTTAAAATTTTTTTATTTTTTTTTTTTAAAGTGTATATTTAGCTATTGACTAATAAGCCCGTTGAAAAAACAAAAGTATCTTTGAAATATTTATATAATCCACTTTATGTAAAGCAAGTGTCAATACTTATCATTGAAATATTTATATGATCCACTTTATGTAAAGCAAGCGTCTATACTAAAATTGTTTTATCCAAAAACAAAGCATTTTAATTCTGTATAATTCTAATTTTATAGCATATTTTTAAAATTAGTTTTTTATCTTTATTGAAATTGTCAAACCAATATATTATATATTTAACATTTAAAAATGAAACCTTTTACTTTTAAAAAAAATAACATATTAAATTCAGTAATTAATGAAGCATAGAACCACAAAACTTCTCCATCAATCATAATACCACCAATACACATTCTTGTACGTGTATCGAAACACACTTTTATTAGTAACCAAAATATATCCTTTAAAATGATACGATGAAGAAGACAATTCAGTTCCTATTTGTGAATTTGCGGATCTAGTTTTCGATTCTTTGGTTATCTATGTCCGGGTACGCGGAAACGAATATGCAGACAAACTAGCCAGGAAAGGAGCAGGACATAGTATGCTCCTTTCTCTCATAAAATTAAAGGAGAACCAGAACAAAAAGGATTACTAGGATAATATACCAGGATTAACACAATCGAAATCACTTTTTGGTACCTATAACAACAAAAGATACCAGAATTGTATGAACCTATCAAAAGAAAAACTTAGAATCATCGCAGGGATGCTAACAGGGCACTGTAAATTAAAATATCACCTTACGAGACTGAGTATACATACGGATGCAAACTGTAGATTCTGCGAAGAGAATGAGGAGTCAGCCACTGCACTAATGCAGATATGGGATAGACTTCTGCGAATGTATATTATTACGTAAGATTCAATAAAACTATGTAAAGTAGGTTTTATTGACTAAGACCTACTGGCTAAGAGACGTACTGTAAACCCATAAGGGGTCACAATAGACTCGATGGTCGCAGTGCCACATCCCTTAACAATAACAATAATAAGGATTTCACCCTATGCTCTTACTAAGAGCGGTATCTTTACTCATAAAGATAATCAAGAATTATATAGTTCTAACTAAATAACTATGTTTCTTACATACTTAAATTAATTTGTTCTACTGCGATTGCATTACTAGAAAATGACTAGCAGAGATGATAATTTATAAACTACAGGGAAAGTAAATTAATATTTGTAAACTGAATATATATATATTCAATGATATATACCGCAACTGCTGAAGTTGTTAGTGGTTTTACGAAGTTTTTAGTTCGTAATTGATATTAAACTATATATGTTTACAATTTAAAAAAATAAACTTTTTCTTATTGCCACAACGAAAATGTGTCAATTATTGTTGTTGTAAGTTTCCTTATATATACGAATAAACACATATATTTTACATAAATATTTCTTAAATTATATTTAAGAAAAAAAATGCTCTGTTTAACTCAGTAACTCAGTAACCTTTAAATATATATATTAAAGCATGATCTAATCAAATTAATGAGACCATTCTCTCCGTAATGCCTAAACAAATTATTATCATAATTTTTTTTTTCAAAATAGTTCCAATTTAGTAACAATAAAATAATATCACTAAATAATTATTATTATTGAATAAATATTATATAATTAATAATTATTAAATATAATTTGTTTATTTACTTTTATTTTTAGCGATATTGATGGTGTTCGTAATGGAGCCCGTCTTGAACCAAGAGTAATCGCAAAAGCTCCAGAAGGAGAGGGATGTCCAAGATGTGGAGGTTATGTTTACGCTGCGGAACAAATGCTTGCAAGAGGCCGCGTAAGTAATATATATATTACATATATAAATTAATACATAATTACTATAAAGGTTTTAACCCTGAAGACAAGAGTTCAGGGTTATTTAAAAGTACCAACAAACCAAGAGAAAAAAATTTTCGAATAATTTTTAATATTTCACAATTAACTATATTATATGTTATATAATAAAATATATAATAACTAAATTCTGATTGAAAAATTTTGTGACAAAAAACTTTAATATAGAGTATAAAAAATATAAAACATAAAACATATTTTGATTAGCATAGTGTAACGAAAATAATTTTAATCAACTATACCAAAACACTGCTGAAAACAGTTATATATAATTAGTTTCCATGTATAGGAATACATACTTATTTAAACATTTTAAAAAATGTTTATTTGTTCTTAAAAGATTTTATTTTAACCGATATTTCGACTATAATCTATAGTCATCATCAGGGTACTATAAAATTTAAATACAGTGCAACAATATTTTAGTACATATCACAAAGAAACGATTGTAAAATACATTAACATTGAAACATGAATTATATATATGTATATAGAAAATATTTATACAATACTATGACAATAGATATAAAAAAACAATATATATATTTATCCTCTTCCGGATTTATTGAAGTTGTTTTTATACACCTAAGCACAGTGTTGTATGTCAATTTTACAGTTGAGTCTGGTGTTACTAAGAATTTCGAGGATATATAGCATTTCCAAGAAAAATCATTTATGTTCATTATTTTTTTGGTGTAACACCTTTACTTATTTAAAAAATATAGATTCTATTCATACTTTTTTAAAAGTAGCACAAAATGAGTAGAGGTTGTTCATAAATAAAAATAGACAAATTAACAGATAAATTATATTACATTCACTGTCTAAATACAAATGTATACAAATATTAGGGTTACCATAGACGTTGCTTCAAATGCGTTCTTTGTAATAAAACTCTGGACTCCACACTGCACTGCGATGGTCCTGATAAAAGTATTTATTGTAGAGGTATTTTAATAAAAGACTTAATTAATTCCAAAAAAGTACGAAAAGAAGATAAGTATATTGTGTACAAAAACAGATTCAAAACGGAATGATTTGTTGTATTTTTTATTGTTTGTTCTCTTAAAAGAATAATCAGTATATTATTTGTGTGTTCAATGCATTATTCTATATGTATAGTGAAAGATTTTTATATGTTTTTAATATATTATATATATATTAAATAAGTTAAAATTTCACAACAAATTGGCAAATGAGATCAGTTAATAAAAGTAGATAATAATACCATATGTAGTTTTTTTTGTTATTTTTTAGACATGCTCGTATGTTAATAATATTATATGTTCTACATTTTATGAAATCCAATACCTTTAGATTTATACAACTTTGGTTTATTAATTTATAGTATATTGTTAATTTTGTATATTATGCATAACTAACTATAACTATTTCAAATAAAATATTATATATTTACTAGCAATGGCATAAGGAGTGTTTCAAGTGTGGCAACTGCGCGAAAGGGTTAGATTCTATACTATGCTGTGAAGGTCCAGACAAAAACATATACTGCAAAGGTATTTGATAAAAATAATATATAATTTATTTCTAAAAGTATTAACAAAAAGTTTGGAAATTAATAGTATATATTAAATGCGTAGCTTAGTTTTAAGATAAGTAATACTATTTTAATTCAAAAAACAAAAAAATGAATGATAAATGTTTTAAGTATAAAAATATATCAGAGTCCTAAGAATAAGGCGGACAGGCTGTATGTACCAACGAAGCGCTATATCTTAATATAAAAAGTTGAAAAGTAATATCTTATAAATAAATGCTTACAAATAAATGAGTGGTTAATGTTTTAAGCATTGAGATACATCAGGAGCCTAAGAATAAAGTGGATAGGCTGTATGTACCATAGAAGCGCTATATCTTAATATGAAAAGTTGAAAAATAAAACCTTATAAATAAATGTCAAGAGATTTTTATTTTTAAATAATTATATGTTATATATATTATATATATATATATATATTATATATATTATATATATTCCTCGTATTCAGGTTTCCATATTTGCTGAACAAAAACTCAATTACTTGAGCTTAAGAGTCTGTTAGAAAGGTCCACGCGTAATCAAAACAAGGGGAACTTTTTGCTCAGATTCATAACTGTTGATGAAGAGTGGATTCATCACTGCACTCCAAACACTAAAGAATAATTAAAACAATAAATTTAAACTTACTTAACTTTTGAATTTTCTGCGCTGATTTACAACTGTTTATGAAGTGTGGATCCACCACTGCACACCAAACTCTAAAGAATAATTAAAATAATAAACTTAAAGAGGTGGACACCACTGAACATCAAAGACTAAAGAATAATTAAAATAATGAACTTAAAGAGTTGGAATAGTTTCAAAGAATTCGAAAGTTGAAAAGGGTAAAAAGATATTTGCTATAAATGGATATTTTAAAGACTTTGACGAAATGCACCATTAGAGGGGCTAAAAAACTTAGACCTATATTAAAAAAAAAATTGGCTAAAACGATGTTATGTTAAATAATAATAAATTTTAAATCATTCCATTTTAAATTTAGCGCGAAATTTTTTAAATACCCTTCGGAAATATATACTTCAGAATATATCACTACTACTAAAGATTAAATATTATTATTAAATTGAATGAACTATTAATAGATTTAAAAATAATATATCTATGTGTATATTCACTACAAAATGTTTATTACTGTTTAACAGCCCTTAGTAGTCACTCGTATTTTTAGTGAATACAATTAAAAACGTATCTAAATTTTAAATAATGCATAAAATTGAATTTGAATGTGATTAAAAATTTTTATTTAATAAATTAATCCAGAAGCATGATTTATAATTTGTGTGTTTAATGTTATATAGGATGTTATGCTAAGAAATTCGGACCAAAAGGTTATGGTTATGGCCAAGGTGGTGGAGCTCTTCAAAGCGATTGCTACGCAAATGGGTAAGTACTTTATACAAAACAGAAATAAATCTTAGATATATATGTATATATTTAAATTTATATGTATCTTATATGAAAGTTTTTAAAATCGATAATGACTTTTAAGTTGACTCTATTTGGCTAATAAGTAAGATTTACTACTTTAGGATGCTATGCACAAAAGTTTGGGGCTAGAGGTTACGGTCATATAGGCATTTCATCTCTTGGTTTGATGTGCGATATTAAAGATACGGAATGGCAAAGGTATTTGGGTGTGAAGTCAAAGCGTGTTATTTTCATTATTTCAAGTTCGCATTCTCAATGCGTATAATTATTTAGTGTTTAACATAAAATACATTTACTTGGTGCCCATTTGATATATTCAATAAAGGGATATTTGAAAGCAATTTATTGTAAAACTTTTAGCGAATTATACCTGAAAAAAATGTTAATAAATATTTATTGTTAACTGTTAATAGTGTTCATAGCAATGTGGTGGTAATGTTGGTACAATCCATTTATTTTCCTAAACACTTTATGTTGTCATTATCCATTCATAGGGAAAGAACTATTTTTTAATGTGCTACCATATATGTTTTTGTATGTATTAATAAAAAAATATTTTTATCAAAAATTTTGTATATTTCAGTGAGATGGCTCCAAAAACAGCAGCTATTGATGTTGGTAAAATCCAAGCACGTCCTGGTGAAGGTTGTCCACGCTGTGGTGGTGTTGTTTTCGCTGCAGAATTAGTATTATCAAAGGGTCGAGAGTGGCATAGAAAATGTTTTAAGTGTAGGGATTGCACAAAAACTTTGGATTCAATTATTGCATGCGATGGACCCGATAAGGAAGTTTACTGCAGAACTTGTTATGGCAAAAAATGGGGCCCACATGGATATGGTTTCGCTTGTGGTTCTGGCTTTTTGCAAACTGATGGATTAACGTATGTATATTTACTTTAATATAAACTATTTTATTTATATTAGTTTCAATGTTATTAAAACAGTGAAGATCAAATTTCATCGCAACGTCCCTTCTTTAATCCTGATACAACATCGATTAAAGCTCCTGAAGGAGAAGGGTGTCCACGTTGTGGAGGTGCTGTATTTGCTGCTGAACAACAATTATCAAAGGGAAAAATGTGGCATAAAAAGTGTTATAATTGCTCAGAATGCCATAGACCACTTGATTCAATGTTGGCATGCGATGGACCAAATAAAGATATCTATTGCAGAGCATGCTACGGCAAATTATTCGGACCTAAAGGTTTCGGTTATGGCCACACCCCAACTTTGGTGTCCACCAGCGGTGAATCAACAATTCAGTAGTAAGTTCATAAAATTAATTTAATAAAATAATATTATTACAAATATTTATAAATATAATTTTAAAAATATATATTGGAAATTGCAGTAGAGATTGCAGTAGAATTGCAGTAGAAAACTAATATTTTTATATAAAATACAACATATACGTATATATAATATAATCTATAATATAATCATATTATCTATATATTATACAATTTAAAACAAGTAACTAATTTAAAACTTAATAACATCTATTTAGTTTTATAAAAAATATAGAACTTATTTTACAGTTGTCAGATATATAGCACTAGATAGTAAAAGTGGTTAGAATTTTTCAAATGAAAAAAGGAAAGAAAAGTTTACAAAAAATCCGATGATTAGCTTTAATTTTATTTAATCCAAACTTATAATGAAATACTCAATAAAATACTTATTTTTGCTAAGTCATTTAGATTTTTAGTGGAATAAAACCAAGTAGGATTATACATTATTTAAGTATAAATCATCACAAGGTTAAAAATCAAATGAACAATAAGAACTTCGGTTGATATCTAAAATCCTTTTAAACACACTTCTGTTTGAGGCTAGATAACTAGGCATATCTAATTGTATATATAAATATAGTATTTTCGCATATTTTAAAACCACCGTTAGATGTAGAGAGAATTGTAACTTGTACAACATACGCACAAAAATCTTTATATGACTAAACTCTATTTGTGGCTTTCGTATATTTTGTCTTACCAGACTTGTTTACTTGTAGGATAAAAACCTTAAAAATATCTCTGTTTGGATATTCGTCAGCTTATATTTCGGAACTCATTTTAGATAAAATCAGAATATTGTTTATATTTAATATATATTTTATGATAAATTTGAGAAATTTTATTAGATATATTCACTTGTGAAACACACGATATCAAAAATTCTTTTTTGACATTAACGGATTTAGTTTTTACATATTTTAGAATTATTGTTAAACATAGACACTTATATACTTATAGAGCATCGAACATTAAATTTCCCTAATTATATATATCAAAAATAATGTTATGTAAATGCACTTCAAATAATAAATGTATATTTTGTGAAAACCATAAATAACATAATTTTTATATACTTCATTTAAATTATAGTCCTGATGGTAAACCTTTGAATGGACCACGTACATCTGGTGGTTGCCCACGTTGTGGATATGCTGTATTTGCGGCAGAACAAATGATAAGCAAGAGCAGAATTTGGCACAAAAGATGCTTCTTCTGCGCCGATTGTAGGAAATCTCTTGACTCAACAAATCTCAATGATGGTCCAGATGGAGATATCTACTGTAGATCTTGCTACGGAAGAAACTTTGGACCTAAAGGTGTCGGATTTGGCTTGGGCGCTGGTACTTTAACGATGGCATAAAGCTTTTTTATAAAACGAAAAAAAACGAAATATATAATTGAAATGAAAGATATTTTAAAACTGAACATATTTAAAACGATTTGAATCAGTAAAGTAAGTTTATTTTTTTGAAGATTAATGCAGGGATAATTGGATAATTGAGCAATAAGTTTGCATCAATAAGTATTTTCTTTTAATTTGGCTTATTCCATATTTCTTATTTACTGATTTCATTTACTAGAATATTTATAAAACCCTCATAAAACTATTGTGTCCAACAATAGATAGTTTTATTTTTACTCTATTCATTTATTTATAGTGTATTATATAAAAAAAATTGCTTGAATATATTAAGCTACTTAACTACATAAACGTAGCTGATAAGATGTAAAAAGTTTAAGTATGAATTATGGTAATGCCCTATATACATATTGCATAGATATAATGAAGCTTACAGATTTAATAATATGCCAAATTGTCGTGTTTTGGTAGTTATTATTATTTACATCTTATTTTTAATTTAGCTTAATTTTACAAGTAATTTAAAAATTTAATTCCTATTTAGATTTACTGATTTTTTTATATTTTGTATATGGACTTAATATAGAAATATTTGATTCCTGATTTTATATATTCTGTATATATGTATGTAAGAGTAAGTGCTACTTCTACAATATAAGTACAATTATAAGAAAGTATAGATTTTTTACTCTAATCCTAGATCTATTATACTAAATGAGGAATTTCAAAATTGTATTTGAAAGTTTAATAAATGAAATGAAAAAAAGAAAAAAAATGTGTCTATTTACAGATCAGATTGAGGTGTGAAATTACTTCCTACCTAAAATTTTCTTCACGCCTACAATAACAGAAAATAAACCAGAGCAATTAAAAGTTTTTGTTCGGCTCAAGCTCCAACATAATTGCCATATTGACAGGATACCGCTTTGTTGAGCAAGCATGCCCCGTCCAAATTTATCACAATAAGCCTTTATCACAATGTCTTACGTTCTAATTAGATTGAAAATCTCTTTTGAGGTGGGTTGTTACATCATTTCTCAAAACTTTATTCTGTGGTATCACAAAGAACCTTTAACTCAACAGCTAAATGACTTTTTTTATTGATTTTAGAACTCTTCTTCAAGTTTTGTATAGATAAGCATGGTTTTGTATTTTAAAGAAATTGAAAAAAAATTATAATGATAATGTTAACATTATAATGATTATTCAGTTTCTTTTATTGTTCAAAAGAAACTGAATAATGGTTTCAAAAACAATGAAAAACTAAGATTCACATTACATGTACATTAGTCATTACTTTTTAATGATGAAAAATTTTCATTTTAGCTCTTTACATTTGGAAACTTTCGGACCATCATTATTTTATATTTTATATCCTATCAATGCCGTTAGAAAATGTTTTGCGTCCGGTTCTCTATATGTTATTCACTTATATATTATTCATGATATTATCTCGAATAACTTGTTAACATACAATATACACAGATAATACAGCAATCGCATTTACTGTTGAAATTCTAAAACCAACGTACAAAAATCTGTACAAATTATGTTTACGCTGAGAAGAGAAAGCTTCTCTGTTATTTTCAATAACAGTGCGACTCCAAAATGAGAGTCTTTACACTATCTAGAAATAAAGTGGAGGCTTACCTAGATAACTTAGATAAATACCGAACAGTTGCAATTCATAATGAAGATAAGAAAAATATATTGGTTATATTGGTTATTGTCAATTACAGTGCAACTCCAAAATGAGAGTTTTTACACTATCAAGGAATAAAGTGCAGGCTTACCTAGATAACTCAGATAAATCCCAAACAGTTGAATCTCATAATGAAGATAAGAAAAATACATATTGATTATACTGACCTATTTCTTAGTTAAGTTAAGAGACCAAAATACTTAACTAAACAAATTTAAAGCACTTTATGGGGATATACTGCAAAGTTACTAATCTAAAATAGAAAAATTGCCAAAACATAGATCCATGCATTCTTTTTGTAAAGATTATTTGCTGCTTATTTATTACATTATTCTTTCTTGTGTAGATAACCTTAGTTGAAAGAAGTGGTGTTTATGTTACTCCATGATCACTAAATCGAAACGGAAAATTGAATAATATTTTTGTTCATTTTATTTTATATTATTTTTTTTATGGTCAATTGCAACGAAAAATAACCTAATTTACCACTGAAGAGTATTTGGCACCACCCAAAACAGTGTTAAGATTACTAAAATATATAATGCTACATATTTACTTTAAAAAAAAGTTTATAGTTTTTGTTACTTAATTTCCGAAATATATTTAATAGAAGACTTAGAGTATTTGGCAATACCCAAAACAGTGGTAAGATCACTAAAATATATAAGGCTATATATTTACTTAATAAAAATTTTAGTTTTTGTTACTTAATATCCGAGATATATTTAATCATAAACTATTTTTTTGTTTTGAATTTCTCTGCCCTAAGCAGAGTTTGTTGCCCTAAGCTAACCAAGACAATTTATAGCCATTGACAACCTAAAATTATGTCTTAATTTCCTTAATTTTATTCGGTTGAATGAAAGTCAAATGGAGGTACTGGATTCGTATGGCATCAACCGTTATGTACGAGTAGAAAAGACGCACGGACACTTTTTAAAAGGTGGTATGTGGTAGACATTGCTAACTCATATAAGCTGTTTTGATTGTTTTAAGCGTTTAGAATTGGTCCAGGCATTTTCAAACAATTTTTATACACGTTGTTCCTATGTACTGATGCAGTCTGCCAAATATTCTCTGAAGAAAGTTAATGCTTAATCTTTTGAAAGCGTTATATTTGTTTTAATACCGTTGAATCCAATTTGGTCAGGTATCTAGACGAGTGTTACTTTATTCGAAGTAAACCGCTCATACATACGATTATAAAATCAAAGGGCAAACTAGGATTTTGTGGTCCTGGATTCTCTTGAGCATTTTATTTTTGTAAAAATCTATATCAAACATAAATATATCCTTCAATTTTATGAAATTTTTATTCTTATATATTGAAACAAATTATTTTATAAAAATTTTATTGATGTTTTATTAAATTACTCTTTTTGTTAGTTTGAAATGACAAAAATAAAGTATACAAATAAAAATCAATTCAACAGTATAATAAATAACTAACTTACAGCTTTTATACAATTATTTATTACTTTATTTTTTTGTTATTTTTTTTTACTTTCGCGTAATTTTTAATTTTTTTAGAAAATATTTCTATTATTTTATATTAATTCTATACATTAATGGTAGATTTTTCATTGTCATCTAAATCCAATTTATTTAAAATATTTTGGTTTGTTGACAATTCATCCAACTCTGGATCTGCATATTCTAATATATTAAAATCGTCACCTATTTCTGTAGTTAATGATTTTAAAAGATCGTCATCATCTCCTTCGCCGAAACCTCCTAGTATATCACCTAGTCCGACATTTTCGTCTGGATCAATTCTTTCTAATTCAGCAACATTACTACTTTCCACATTATCGATTACTTTAAGATCGAATTTTGGATCGATAGAGATATTTGATTCCAACATATCTGTTTGCTGTTGTGATTGTTGTTGATTTATATATATATTATGTGTCATATTACTGTCATTTGTTGGAACTGTATTTGTTATGGTACGCGGTTGTATTGCTAAACTGTTTGTTGGTGGAATTGTATAAACTGCCTGCGTTTGTAAAAGATTTCGTAAATGTTTGTTATTACTATTTGAAATATTTTCAAAATCTTTCTTTCTATCCACTGCACATATTTCACGATTAATCTGAAAACTATTTTGTAAGAATTCAACAGTCTTTGTCGGATCAGTAACATTCTCAGAAATTTTATTTCCATTATCTAGGACTATTTGTCGATCATGTAATTGTAAATTTTGGTTTAAAGAATCACCAACTAAAAATATATGTATAAAATATATGTATGTAATTAATTTAATCTATATAAAATAAACTGTTTATACTTACTTAAATTTTTAAAATCATTTGTTGTAACTATTTCATTGGGTTTTGGTTGTGGTTGTTGTTGTGTTTGTGGTTGTTGTTGTTTTCTTATATCTTCAACATAAGGTTTTGCTACTTTTTGTGGCATATATGATTTTCCATGGAACTAAAAATATTAAAGAAATACTATTTATGCCAATCTATATATAAATGGAAAATATTAAAAATTGTGTTGCTGATTCAAATTCGCCATCAACACAAAAAAAAACCAAGTAAAATTATATTTTCAATATTACGAATAGATTTTCTACAGAGATTTGAAAACCTAACTCTTGAATCTGCAGTTGTTGATTGTATTTTCTGATTTGATTAATTTCATAAATAAACAAAGCCATATTGTTGGGTTTTGTAATAATACTAAAGCAAAAACAATGTACAAGACAAAAACAAAATATTCACAACAACGTTGTTGTCTTGTGTGCTAAAAGCATTAATTTTTGCAAAACTCATTTAAGTGTAAGTACATCTAGTAATGAAAATGTTTTCATTTCAATGCTTTATTTAGTTAATAATTTTAGAATATTTTTTCAATATTTTCTATTCCCAACATTGATCAGGAATACATGATTGAAAGAAAAATATATGTATATATAACCAAAAATTTTCCATATTAATATTAATATTGTAAAAACGAATGCATACTTGCTGAATCCTTTGTAATCTTAAAGCTGATCTATTATCCTTTGCATGTTGTAAAAAGGGTGCCTTCTTTTCTGTCGGTAATGAGCGCCACTTTTTTAGTATTTGCTTACAGCGATCATTCCAATTTGGATAAGTTTGTTTAAGTTCAGGAAACTGAGTGTTAGCGTATAGCACTGCAGATATAGTAGCCATTTCGCCCAATTCTGTAATTACACGACAATATATTATATACATGCAGTTTTTTACTGTGAACAAAAATAATATTTATATAAACCAGATAGGAATTGTGTTTTTAATATTTATAATACTTTAAAAATTTTAAACAAAATTGATTGTTAAAATATATATATAATTACATGCACACTACCAAACAAAAACAATAATTTGTATAGTGTGGTCTTAAAAATAAAAATTAAATATTTTTTTTTCTTAAATTAATCAATTTTTTTTTTGAATTAATTAATTTCTGTTTTTAAGACTACACTATACAAATTGTAATTTTTGTTTGAAAAGAAAGAAATCGCTTCAAAGGCGTTTGAACTTTTTAATGTCTGGTATGTCCAATCACTATAATTAACTATAGGTTTACCTTCATCGCGTCGCATTTTCTCTGCGGTTTTTTGTGTTCCCGCAGCAACTGATTCAACGTTTTCTTCTGATGCCATATTACGTTTGGGAACAGTTTCTTTTTGCACCACTTTTTGCACTTGAAGATTTTGATTTTGTAATTGAAGATTGTGATCCATATTTATTGTATTACTCGATGTTTGCAATGAGAAAGCCGTTTGATTTAAATTTATATCACACTGTGTTGGTTGCATAATCTAAAAATATTATTATAATATAAAAATAAAAATATAATTATTTAATAATATTTTTTTAACATAAAAAAATGTATTTACCTGCACTGGTGCAGTTGTATTTTCAACTCTGTTTAAGCTATAATTAAACAAAAAAATATTTTGTATAATATATATATGTAGATATATATAATTAATTTATATACATACCTATAACCGATTTTATTATTATCTATTACTTCTTTCGGAGATTGGTTTATCCTTAAATTATCCATTACAACGACTCCCTGCATGTTAAACAATTTTTTCTTTAAATATATTACAAAATTTTATTTAAATAAAAATAACAAAAAAAGTAACTTTTAACATTGCGGAAATTTAAATACTGTTAAAACACATAATTATGATCTAAATAAATATTCGTTATCTTAACGAATTTTGTTAATTTTTATCTTATATTAACCTCTATCTCTCATTTGTATTATTAAGGGCTTTAACGGTTACGTCCACAGCAGAATAAGTGTTTTAACATATCACCAATAGTATCATGATATGTGATTCATTATACAGCAATTCTGTCACCAAGCTAAAATCCAGAGGACAATTAATTCTGATTTTAGAAAAACTAGAAAAACTTGACTAGTTTCTGATTGGTATATACAGACATCTAGGTGAAAATGCGGATAAAAGAGAAAGAATTATATGCTAGTTATGGATACCAATCTCGGTATTCCGGGATTAACTAAAATTGGTAATTCGGAATTTTATTTGTTTGATTGATTCATGTAAACAATAATTTTTTTCATATACAACATTAAAACACAACATAAATTTTAAAAAATAAAAAAATATTCTTTTTAGAAATTTGACCGAAAACTACAATTTTTGGGAAACTGTATTACTTGTTTGAAAACACAATAAAGCAACATGCCTTTATTTTGAAACGCGATTTTGTTTTAAGTAATATTGATAGCAAGATTTAAATTAATTTTGCAAAATATTCTGATGAGAGATTATGATTGATATGTGTAAAATATTAATAATAAATTAAAATTGTAGAAGTGGAACGCTTTTTCTTCTGCAGGCTAAATATACAACAGTTTTCGACCCCGACTGGAGGACTGCACTAAATCCCTTAGTATGTTTAAGATCTGTTTTCAAACATTTTAGTTAAAATAAAAAATATTTTTTTAATTGGATAAAATGTTATAAAGAAATAAAGCAAAATATAATCTTAGCATTACAAAGTGTCGAAAATTAGCATCACTTTCCAAAACTCATTTGATAACATTTGATAAAATATATTAAATTTGCGTTATTGTCCAAACTATAAAACGCTTTTAAACACGCACTGCATAGTTTTTACATATGTGCATAAGTCAAATACTACCAGTAATGAGAAATGCAGGTAATGTATAGAACCAGTTTTTAAAAAACTCTGAAAAATCTCTTCTGTTTCCAGTTCTTTCGATAACTTTACTAAAATTGTTTGGAGCTGTTACTTTTAAGGTACTGCACTTCGTTTTTGATATTGGGGTATATGTTGGAAAAAATGGATAGCATGGAACTATGAATGGAGGTAATGGAACCTAGTTTGAGGTCATTTATGTTAAAGTAATTTGTATCATGAGACAGAAATACAAAGAAGAAAGTCATAAGCTTTATAATAGCAAAAGTGCCAAGATTTGTATATATTCACATCTTTTTTAAGAGTTTTTTATTAATGAATTCTTTTGTTTAGTGTAATATTTGTTAATGTCTCTATTTTCTATTTAACATAGAAAATATTTTTAATGTTATTAAAAATGAAATAATAAAGCACGGTATTTATTTATTGTATACAATTTCAGTTTTACTTACGTTTAAATTTCCACAGTTATTGTTTAAAACAGCAACGCCTGAAATGTAATATTATCATTAATATATAATAATTTATAAGTAGATAATGTTCAAATTTGAATAAATATTTTATAACATATATAATAAATGTTGTGTGAAATTTTATAAGTTTTTTTTACTAAGAACTTTGAATACATTGAAATAATTAATAATAATGTTCTTTATTAAAAATAGAAGAAAAAAAACTGCAAGTTAAGTACACTAAAAACACAATATCGATATGAAAAAATTCGTTGTAAAATACATATCACAATATAAACAATCTTAAGAATATTACCCCACACAAATGATAATCGCAACAGCATCCACAGTTCCAATAAGTTCAATCAGTACAACTGTTTCTGTTGTACTAAAAACATATCATCTGCACGGGGCACATATATAATAAATTTAAATTACCTGCAGTATCATTTCTGAATACTTTCTTCTCGACCGTTAACTGCGTGTTAAGATTTTGAACTTCGTATGAGTTAGTTCTTTTAAAATTATTTACGTACATCGCAGATGTTAATGAGCTTTCAGCATTTATTTTAGGTGGCGCATTCAATGTAGTTGGTATCGGATTCTGTTGTTTTTCAATAGTAATAGAATTAACAGTTTCATTTTTTTCACTCTGCGTTGTCGCGGTCACATTATGTTTAGGCACAGATTTATTCTGCAGAGCTGAATACGCATCATTTACTAATTTGTTTGAATTATTATAATTGAAGTCATCTGAAGAATCTGACTCCCATTTTGTACTGTCTTTCGCATCTAAAAGTGGTTTTCCAAAGAAAGCTTCTTGTAAATAAGAAGGATACGTATCAGTTAATTTTTCTTTCGACTTTTTACGTGCCATTTTTTTCTTTTTCTCATTGTTTACTGGTTGACCGGTAACTTGATTGTTAGCTGAATCCGGTAAATTAGAATTTTCCAAATCTTTTTTATAAATGCGATTTCGAGCGAGAAAACCACCGATTCCCAGTTTTTGTAAATTACGCTGCCGTTTTTTGCGAACAGTTTGTGGTGGACTATTCGTTCCGCTTAGACCCATTGCACTTACTTCGTTTCCGTTTTCTCTTTGGACTTTTAAATTGCTGTCACAGTCATGGCCGTCATCAACAATATTTACATTGGCAGCAGAAACCACTGATTCAATTGCAGCTTCTACACCTTCATCTTTCACTGCAACCTCATTACAGAGACGCATTTTCCGTTTTCTTTTAATTTCCGCGGTTAAAGATTTAATACAACTAAGACCTCGTTCAGTAACATAAACATCATCCAGTACATGTGCCGTATCCATGGAATCATTTTGTTCAGTTTGTGAATAATGGGAAAAAATAGGTTCAGAATTTTGTTTACGTACCAACGCGGTACTACAAGTCGCAAGTCTGCTATCAGATATTGTATAATTAAGTGAACTATTGCTATCTGCCCGTATATGTGGAGAACTACTTTCGTTTGGTTTACAAAATATACAATGATACTCGTTATTATCAAAAATTTTTGTATCGTTTTTGATGTAGAAAGGATCACATTTACAATGAAGCCATCGTTCACAGCTGTTACATTGAATAATAAGTTCATGTTCATTGTATTGCCGGATACATATACTACATTTTGTTGTGCTAGCACAAGGACCACAATTCATATATTCGTCAAACGTTGAGTTTTTTCCTGGTGTACTTCTTCCACACTTTTCACATACTGCACACAATTTACATTTCCAGTTTCCATGTGGAACTATTTCTAATGGCGGTTCCATACAATAAATGTGATAAGAAATGTCGCACTCGTCGCAAAGTATTAGTCGTGCTTCATCATCTTTTTGACCACAACCTTCACAAACAGTGCAATCTAAACAGCGCCAACCCTTTTTAAGCAAAATCTTAGACAGTTTCACGTTAGCACAGTAAGTATGATAACATTGACCACACTGTGCACAAGATATCATTGCATCCTCATCATCAATGCCAACAGATCCACACGAAACACAAATATCTCCTGTAAGTGTGAATATATCATTAGTTGAACAAAATAGCAATCTTTTTTCCATAGCTATATCATCATCAACACTTCGACTTTTGTTTTTATCCATCATTCTTTCTAATCCATTATTTAATATACGGTTCCTTCCACGAGCTCCGCGTTTTCTGTTTAAATGCGTTAGCAGGCAGGTTTTTTGAAAAGCTAATTTTCCTCCACGCCCCCGATAAAAATCTTTAAAATTCATACGTTTCTTGGAATTTTTAATTAGTTCGGCAGTTTTATCTTCTAGACTATTCTCTTGAGAATTTTTTTCCATAAAATCCAACTCTAAGCATTTTCCAGATTTATCACTAAAACCATCTAACGTTGAAAGTGCTGTATCCGAAGCATGTGTACTTTCACTTATTGCAAAATCAATAATGTTTTTATTTTTGCAATGCGGACATGTATAATCATAGTCTGGATTGTGTTCTTTTCTCTTGTGATAAATGCTAAGATCAGCTTCCTTATCACATTGGCTATGTACGAATCTTTACGAAATAAAGAAAAAATGATAAGTTATACAAAATTATATTTGAGATTCAAATTATCTTTTGTAAAACTCATTACAAATAGCATTTACCTATGACAAGTGCTACATTTAACCATTTCTTTGTGAGCCGCTGCCCTATACGCCTTGTGACATATCGGACAAGAGAAGCCTTTATTACGTTGTTGATAGCATGAATCACATATGGTGTAATGACAGTGCCAACGTGACGATGTTCCTCCACCCGGTGTTCGAGATCCACAGTCTGAACAAACTCTGCAGTACTGAAAACAAATAGTAAACAATATGAATATGTACACTTAATTATTTTAAAAAAAAATAACACTCTTTCTTTAAAAAGGATTTTTTATTTATATAGGAAAGATTTTTTTATTATATGCATATAAACTCTAGACTTTACTTAAATGCTGCTTACATTGCATTTCCAACCATATTTTGGAACAGTCGTTAAAGCAGGTCTCAAACATGTTGTATGATAAAGCTTTTGGCATTGTTCGCATTTTAAGGAACGCCCTTCTTGTGAATCTGATTGTCTACAAATTTGACATTTGCTGCAGTGGAGGCAATTCCAACCGGATCTTGTATCTTTATAAAAAGAATTTTATATGAAAGAATTCTGTGTAATTTTAAATTAATTTGTATATATATATATATATACCTGGAGAATTTACAAGTCCTATACAAGTAGTGTGATAATGTTCGCCGCAAGTAGAACACATAATTAATTTTGAAATATCTCCAAAAACAGAACAACTTCTACATACATTATTATCTGTACCTAAAAACAGAGCAAAACGGAAAAAAAATAGCATACATTTTAATTTTAATTTGAGTTTTTTAAAAAGACTTACAATGGTAAGGCACTTGGTTTAAATGTTCATTGCAAAAAGCTGTAAAAGTTTGCAACACTAGAAAACACCCTGAAGCGGCAGCACATGGTAAATGATATGCTTTTTTGCAATCCAAAGAACATGTTATACTGGCACCATATTGATCACAGTAACAACATTTGCGTTGTAAACTCACTATCCCGCAATTTTGCAGAGACTCAACATTAATACAATTTGTTCGGGTTGTCCACATGGCACACATTTGATGTACATAAAAAAAGGTGCCATCACACTGCATTCGCAGTTGAAGCATTTCTGAATGACCAACATTATCTAAATCGTGTACATCATTTCCAAATTTTGCTTTGCCAGTATTTTTTATCCGACGTATTGTTTGTTGTGACAGCTCTTTATGTTTGATGTCTCCATTAAAAATATCATCGATGATATTAGTTTCAACATCGTTCAGATTACCAAATATTTCTAGTCGCAAAAATTGTCCCTGTCCTAGAATACTACGTTCACCTAAATTGCACAAAAAGCAAACCTTTCCAGGATATTTTTCTAAATTGATATTTTCTTCTGAGCTTGGCGATGCGTTACTGTCCGGATATACCATGTTAACTAAAACAAAAATTAAATTAATTGTAAACGTTGAGTGAAGTGATCAATTTTACAATAAGTTATATGTAAAGAACAATAAACAAATATTATTGAAGATAAAATTTATTTGAAATTTAAAATACTTTATTTAATTCAATAATAAGTATGGCATAAAATTATTTTTATGGTCTTTACATATAAGTGGAGGCATCAGCATTTATTGTATTACTTACTTTAAAATATTTTTTAAAAAAAATAAAGTAAACACAAAAGTGCAATTAAGTTTGCATAATCGACAAACTTTAACGAAATAACTCAAAATAATTTAATATTTAAGTAACCAAATTAAAAAGATTTGTATACAATCGTAACTATAACAATAATACAAACATGAGTGGAACAGTTGACATTGTGGAACATTAAAAGAGCCTGTCAAATTTGAGCTAACAATTTAGGAAGAGTGCATGATAAAATTACCTTTATTTTTTTTTATTATTATTAAATAAATTAGAATAAATTGTTGTACTCAATATTGTTTTTAGTTTGTCATGTATTTGTTTTTATTGAATTAAGATTGTAAAGTTCATTCAAAGTGTGGTTTATAAAATTTAACTGTCGTAATCAGCAACTGATGATATGATATATTTTCTTAACATTTTTTCGCGACGAATTAATCAAACGAATTAATAAGTTAATAAATTACTTTAAGTTCAGTAAGGCCTCAAACACTACTATTCACCAACTACAAATTGCACAAAGCCAGGTTCTGAGAAGACTTTTTCAATTGCCATTGTACATTAGGGCAAATGACATTCTCAGGGACCTCAGGATGGATCCGATCAAAAAATACGTAACAGATAGAGCCCTGAAACTATTTATGAAAACTGACAGACTTACCAACACTGCGTTACCGAATCTCAGAATTGTTACAGGCTTCTCGAGGAGGTATGCAGATCTGAGGTCAGTTATTACACAGTCTGATGAAGTGATAAACAATAATCCAGTCAAGTTGTATAGAGGGGTTATGAAGAAACCTTACAGTTAGTAGAGAATAAAAATGCTTAAGTGCACTGACTCAATTAGCTTCAACATATTAAATTACAGAAACGATTTTTTTCATTTCACTTGCTTTGACTCCTTTCTAGTTTTAGATTTTACCTATTATTGTATACCGATCCTCAAAGTTTTATGCTTGAATATTGTTTCAAACAAATTGTAAATATTGATTTCCTTTAACCAAAAATTAACTTTTTTGAAAACTTTTTTGCGTTATAAAATATTCACCCAAAATTATAATTATACTATCTACAGATATGTTTGAAATGGTTAATATCTTTTGAATTTTAATTTACAATTATTCGATAATAGTATTCAGAGGCGAATAATAGTATTCGCCAAAACATCGCTTAACATGTATTCAATACACACAATTGTCATAACATTTCTAAACCTTTTACTGGATTTGTTGTTACTTTTCCCAAAAGAAAACACAGCATAGTTTTTCATCGTTTTTTTTCAGTAACTAACCGTTGAAATATCATGAAATTTTGAAAAATATCATTTAAATGTTGCGACTTTCTAGAAACTGTATAGCAGTTAAATTAATTAAATCTGATTAAATTTTATTGTAGTTTTGGTTTTAAAATCTAAATAAGCTAGTTGTCTTATACGAGTACAATAGTAAGTTCTTATGTATGATCATATATATGTTACTAGCATTTACCTTGATGCTACGTCATTATTGATTCTAATTGGTTGATAAAACAGCGCTTATTTATAAATATTGTTAGCAGTCTTTATTTTTCACTGACAAACTTCATATAATCGAATGAGAAATTTTGATTATTATCAATTCTTTAAATATTCGAAATGGAGAGAAAAGTAACTATAATATATTTTACATATTTACCATCCTACAATTTATAAATCTTAAAAATATTTTAATATGATCTATTAATCATTAAGACCACCCTTACAGCACGGTGCGTGTATATTTAAAGTACGGTATACATAGTCGGCATTCAAACTTTACTAACATCTGGCCTAATAACATGCTTTCAAAAATTGTTTAGGAATGATTAGTGGTTCTGTTTAGTGGTAAAAATAATAAAACACATCAATAAGACATTAGACGTTATTAAAATGGACTAACTTTCACCACTTAAAAAAAATCTTTGTCTTATATATTTAGCAATGCTATTATGTGTTTAATCCAAGTCAACACAGTACTAACCGCTTTAAAATTCTGTAGGACAACTGTAGGGCAAAGATAAATTATTAATTTCTGATTTAAATGTACACAGTGATGGACTTTAAATTATAATTATGAACATTTTGTACTTACTTAAAAAATCTCATAAGAAACTAAAATATTATATTTAAGTTTTTTATTTTTAATATTCATTATGTATTTATTCTTGATATTGACATATTTTAAAAATACAAACGCATTTTTTTAATACAGTTATATTTCTAATTACATTTTTCTTTTTTGCTGTATTTCTACTTCGATTAAATTTCTTATAAATATCATATATAAAGGAGCAAAATTTACAATTTGTAAATATAATTATTTTCTTTCAACGTTAGATCCTTATTTCTTGCTTTTTTTCTTTTTTTTCGCTGACTTACTTCGCTTTTTAACTTTTATATTCTTCTTTCTTTCACTTGATGTTGATTCGGACGATGATGTACGCCGACTTTTATCTTTTTTTGTTTTATGTTTTCGTTTCCTTCTTTCATCAGAATCAGAACCTGAACAAGAACCTTTTGTTTGGTCTAAATCCTCTAATTGTATTTGCATTTTATTATTTCTATCAAATTTTGTAGAGTAATCTCTTCTGTCTCTATTATAATCTCTATTTTTTGTTGCAAAAGGATTCTCATATTTTACTTCTTTCTTTTCATTACGATTAGAATTCCTACTGTCATATTTATCATAAAATCTTTTGCAATCGTCAGTATCTTTTCTATTATTAAATCGTTTATCAACTTCATTTACTGAAGACTTTAATCTTTCTCTTTCCGAATAATTATTTGAATGATAGCGCACATCTCTTTCTTTATCTCTCACGTTATCTCTTTCTTTATCTCTCAGGTTATCTCTTTCTTTATCTCTCAAGTTATCTCTTTCTTTATTCTTATCTATAGCATCCCTCTCCTTATATTTATCTAAATTATCTCTTTCTTTAAATTTATCATTTATAGTATTTCTTTGATCCTTTTTAGTTGATCTATCTCTATAATTTTCATTTTTCATTCTATCATAATTTTTGTCCTTTGAATAACTTACTCTTATTATAGTAGCACTTCTACCACTCTTATCTTCTGTAACTTTATCACCAAGTCTTTCCATAATTGGTTTTTTAATAGTTGGAGAATAAGATCTAATTTTCTTTTCATCTTTAATATCAATGGATCGTCCATCATGGCTCTTTGGTACTGTAATTTGAAAATTTTGTAATTCACTTTTGGAGTTACTAAATTTAATCGATTCCTTCGGAGACGATCTTATAGAGCTACTAGTCTTTCCAAAATCTGTACTGGCCTTATGGCTTATATGTTTATCTAACTTTGAAATTTCCGGTGAAAATGATCTTTCTACTTGTTCTTTGCTATTATGTACTTTTTCCACAGCACTCTCAATTATTTGCCTATCGAGATTAATTTGATCATATTTTTCTTTTGAAATATTATCTTGCTTTAATTTATTTTCAGTTTCATTCATTTGTTCCAGCTGTTTATTTTGTTGTAAATTATTGTTTATCGGTGAAAATGTTGCACGTTCATTATTAGATTTTTCATCTTTTTCTGAACCAGAATTATCATGTTGAGAATCAGAATCATTTACAGACTTTCTTTGACCTTTCTTTTTTACATCAAATTTTTTATCTTTTTTTAATTTTTTTCGAAGACCTTTCTCCTTCTTCTTTTTCTTTTTTTCTTTGACCTTTTCCTCAATTTTTGCATCTACTTTTTCAAAATATTTAGCAGTTTTTTCATCACGGAAAGTTAACTGATTTGTTTCAGAATTTTCCTTTTTTATGTCACGATTTGGCGAGTGAGACTTTGATACTTCTTTTTTGTCAATAGTATGAACATTATCATGACCTTTATTTGTTTCCAATACCTTTTCTTCTTTACCTTTCAGTTGTTCGGAACTATCATCTACTTTTCTTGTTTTTTTTGAATCAATTTCATCTTTCAAATCTGTTTTCTCTTTCTCGTCTACTTTTCGAAACAGATTTGTTTTGGGTGTTTGACTGCGTGAATGCCTTCTCTTTTTGGAGATATGAATATCTTGTTTTCTGTAATCAGGTAAGTTATCATCATTCTGTAGTTCTGGTGTTCTGTCATTTAGGTTTGGATTAGCATACGATTTTGCGTTATTATATAGAGGCGATGGTGGTTCGAAACCCGGTGGTGGTGGTTCATTGCTTTCAAACGAACTGTTTTGAAACATATCCGCCAGTTTATGTGACGAATTATCCCTCTTAAATTCCGGACTCATAGATAATCGTTCGTGTAGGGGCCTTGAAATAAAAAATAAAATAATTAATTGTAAAATATAATTAATTTTAATTATAATTAAAATATCATCGTTGTATCATATAAGAACAATGATTTAGGTAAATCTTAAAATTGGATCTTTGGGAAGATCTTCATCTTGCACAGCAGTATATGTAAGGTAAAAGTTTAAACGTTGGCAAAGGTGTGACTAAGTTGCAAGTTTTAAGAGATGGTGTATTTTAAAAAAGGTCATTACTGAGCGCACCAATTATTTTAATTAAACATTACCTTGATCCCTTAATAGAATTTGCTAGAATATGATCCACAACGTTTTATATGCAAACAGTTATCGGCAAAGCAAACTGCTTACAAAAAAAAATGCAATCAAAATTCAATAAGTTAGTAGTTCTGAATTTAATAAATAAAACATAACTTTAAACAACTTGAAACTTTAACGAAATGATTTAGTTAATTAATAATAGCCTTTCTTCAATAGTTCTTTCTTTGATTTTGTGACTACAAAAATTAAAATTTTGTTAATATGGTAGTAAAATGAAACTCTATAAGAAGGTGGTTCTTTGTCCCACTTGTCTCCGTCCACCAAGTGCCGTTCAGAACTTCCGTTAGGTTATTAATATTCGCAAGAAGGTTTTATCATGAATATATGATAATGAAATTTAATATTTTGCTCAGATTCTAATCTTTGTAAATTATTTTGAGCTTTAAATGAAACTTAGGGTTTTGCTCTAGAAGTTTACTAAGTCTTTTAAACGAATACGATCTTAGACAAAAAAAAACTACGATATTCGTGTTTGAGTCGTCGACGTGAGAAAGAGATTTTTTCGTCGCACTTAAGCCTCATGTAATTAGAGGGTCCAGAAAATCATTATAAATAATCGTAAAGTTTGAGTAGATAGTAAACCGATAATGCAAAAAATGTGTTCGAAGTGAATGCCTCAAATGTAGGATTAGTGAAGAGATAACCAAATCACTGGCGACTACCACCTATTCCCTGATGTCTAATATTATAGGGAAAATATATTGCTTAAACAATGAAGTTACATCAGAAACAAACGCCTATTTTAGGGCCGAAGGTACATTATTCCACAATAAGGGCATGAAAATATTAGAAACGTATTGAAATGAATGTATTGCTGTTGATGAAGTCAATTTTTGTAAAAAAAAAATATTGCTTCTTAATAGTCTCGAGGCTTACTGTGTGTTAAAAAAAAGGAATGCAATTTTCGTGGCATCGAGATCTCATGACGAATTTAATTAAAATCAAATATTTTGAACAACTTTTTCCATAACTCTTGATGTCGACCGAGCCTAGCCCTTTTAAATATTTGGCTTTACAGCACGATATATAAAGAATTAAACTATATTAACATCTTTTGTTATGAAAAAAAATTACTCAAATCAACTAATTTGTTCAAAATCCGTTTTACAATCGTGGCGTCCCGGAAATCATAGTCGTGCTGAAAAAAGAATCAGTTGTTTTTATTTATTTGTGGCAATTGCTCACGAGATTCATATATAAGATTTGGAAAAGTGCAGTTACAGCACATTCACACTGTCTCATTTATGCAGTTTTGCTTATTATAGCCACTAATGAGAATGATTTACCATACAAAAATCTTTCAAATAAATGAACTCATTATCAATGAATCAGCTCATTTAAGGCGAAAAATGTCAAATGCAACCCTTAAAAATATATTTTCCACGGGACAAAATTTACATAATTTTGAAATAAATTTCATATTTTTTATAAGTAAAATGTAAACAAACAACAGCTGAGCTCTAAACAAAGGCACTGAGAAAGCAAGTATTTAATAAAATCTTTGTTTTATTTAGTTGAATATGTAATTGATATATAAAATGTATATAAATGATTTAATATATCAATTATATATTTAATTTTCTTGTGTCATATATTATTAAGTGAAGTTTATAAAATTCAATCAGCTGCATAGATGAGTTCATTATAATGTGAACGTTCACTCATTAATATAAATGACCAAGTGCCAAAATGAGACAGTGTAAATATACTATTAAGCTGCAATAAACAGATGACGAGTAAATCTGATTTCATCAACAAAAATACTAAAATATTATTAAGTTACACAATGTTCGACATCGATTATTTCAGCTAAAGTTCTATCGTAAAGTGGTTGCCAATATTCTATTATTAACAATTTTAATTAATTCTCAATATACTTTGAAATCTTCGAAATCATTCCAATAAGCTTAATTAAATAATAAAATAATAATTGTAGTTAATCAGTAAATAAAAAACTACTTTATTTAATAGAATCCCAAATAGTATCACTTCATAAAATCATTTTGGTTTATACTGGTGAGAAATAATTCAAATCGTTACCTATCTTACAGTACATTCACCCTGTCACATTTAGGCACTTGCTCATTTATATTAATGAAAAAACGTTCACATTATAATAAGCTCATTTATGCAGCTTATAGCACTAGTGCAGCTGTACTTAATGTACATCACACAAAAAAATTAAATATGTGATTAATATATTAAATCATTTTTATACATTTCATATAACAATTACATATTCAATTAATAAAAACAAAGATTTTATTAAATACTTACATTTCCTCACTGCCTTTATGTACAGATCAGCTGTTGTTTCTCTACATTTTATATAAAACATGTGGTCAAAAACCAGAATATTTTTCAAAATTAAATATGTGGTGATTCGATTTGCATCGCTTTTTAGAGTATACATAAGCATATAAAATATATCTGTTAGTATGCAAATGATCTATTAATGTGATGAATCACTGGAAGCTCGGACTAGCGGAGATCTACTACTTTATGTTAAATGTGAACGAAGAGCATAACATCGCTCTTAATTGAAAACTCAGAGCTGTAAACGTATTTTATTTTAATTTATTTTAATACGAGGGGTGCCTTTTAAATCTTTAGAACTAACAATGAAAACACAGTGGTTAATCAGTGAAAATGATTTTACTGTTTTTCAAAGTATTCTCAAATGGTGATCAATACATTTTTGCATTCGATTGAAGCAATTTTCGAAATAGTTTTGCCACTCTGAAGTGGGTATCTCCAAAACCAGGATGTTGAATGTGTCAGCAACCGGTTCGGGTATAGAAAAACACTCGCCACGCATTTTTTTCTTAATATTTGTGAACAAGAAGAAGTCGGATTGAGTTTTTTGAAGATCCGGTCAGTAATATGCCGATTCATCTCAATAATTTCTCACACCGCATCGATGTGTGCAGGTACAACAACAGTTCTTCGACGACGCATTTCAACTAAACGTTATAATAATATCTATGCTAGAAAATATCAAATTTTCAAACCGAAATGTTAAAACTTATCTGACAATAGTTAGTGTTACTCTACTACAAGACTTAAAAGGCAGCCTACGTATTGCATTTTGCATGTAAGCCGACAAAAATCCGATTGTATTTTTAAACTATTTAACTTTTATAAAATCACATTTTATAACTATACATATACTAAACTTCTGCTTTAGGCCTCTGTTTTTTGGTGGTTTCCAAAAACATTTCATATATCACATGGGATTATATTCTAACTACATCTTTACATCAACATAGTAAGGCATGGTAGACAATACCATTTCCATAAAAATGCTTTCTTAATCAGCTCCAAAAAATTAGGATGTTGGAGAATATTATGGACTAATCCAATGTATGCTGTGCACATCAGTATGTCTGCATAGTGTGTGACATGTATATTGGGATCGAAAGTTAAAAAATAGTGAATCTCTGATAATATAGTAACAACCAAATATTAATTTTTAATAAGTCTGGTCTGTAGTTTCAAAGTAAATAAAATTTTCATTGTTAAATTCATGTAGATCATTATAACAATTTAAAAAAAATATTAATGTCTAAAAATTTATTGGAAATAACCCATCACAGAAAATTTCAAAACTAATCACCAGTCAATATCAATTATACTAAATAAATAACACAGATGAATGTTATTAAAAATGAACACATTTTTTCTTTTTAATTTAATTTAATTTTTTAACGGTTTTACACAAAATTGCACAAATTTACAGACCGTTTTTTTTAGATTTTTTGGTTTTTAACAAAAACTGGTTAAATATCGAAAATTAATGTTTTAAACAGATGATGTAAGTTTGGTTTTTTCAGTAAACTATCTACGACTGAATAGAAAAACATTTTTGCCTTAGACATCATTCTCCAAATTCTTTTTCTTACTTCTCAAAGACATATTTTTCTTTAAATCAACTTATATAAATTATTAATTGATTATGTGAAAAGGGGTAGTGCACTACAAACTAAAAGACCTATTGTTCCCTTAGTCGGATTAGAGTGTTTCTCCAAGTCCAATTTCTTTAATGAAACACAGTATAAAGCTTATCTTTCCTAGTCTTCAATCCTTATGATCCATGAAATACCCTCCTAGCTGTTTTTTCCGCTTGTGCAACAGTGCCGGGCATTCCCCATGGTATGCAGTTTCTAACTTATACAAAAGACAGTTTTAAAAAATATTTTAAAAAAAAAATCACATTTCAATTTATGGACTTTAATCTGTTATTGCCGGAAACATGTATATGTAAAATAAAAACGGGTTGAAGATTTAAGAACAGCAGTCCCAAATTAACCTAATGGAATTAAAATATCAAAAAGGAGAATAAAGATTCGTATAGTGTAATTTTGAAAATTTCAATTTTTTAATGACACGTGACAAAGTTTTATATTACGACCATTATCGATTCTTGAATAATAAGTGTTTGTTCCATAAAAATTAATTAGTTTTAGTGGTTTGCTTTACTTATCGATGACGTTGAAGTTTTAATTTGGTAACTATACCATAAAATAATAAAAAAAAATCCACGAAAATAATTTAAATGGTCATAAAATGACTTCAAAGGATATAACTGAGACTTTAAAGATACCAATGTAAAGGTAATGTGAGCACGAACATTCATTACATGAATATAGATGTAGTGAATGTTCGTTGTTTATAGATGCCACATTTGTTTATAAGCTCTATTGATCTCATAATGATTAGTGCGTTTAAAAGAAAATTCCGCAAATAACCTTTTTTTCTTTACCTTTTTTTCAGTATGTTAAAATGAAAAGAGATTTTACTTTAGTTTCAAAACAAATACCCAAATATATCTGAGACATAACAAATATCTATTTTGAGGCTTGAGATAAATCGTTTAACAAGATGAAGAAACGTTAGAATGATATTGTTTGCTTTTAAGGAACCTATTTTGATGAATAAAGTTAATTTTTGGATATAAAAACAATATTGTTTCAAGCAATTGGTTTCAGCAATTACTGAGTGATATGTTGTATGTAGAAATTCTCTCAGGGTTTTCATAAAATATAATATAAACTATAACATTTAATATAACATAAAATATAAACAGAACAACATATAATAAAAAATAAGTTTATAGATGTATTACCAAATTTTCTTCTTAATAAACATAGATTAATTTACTTATCATTTTTTTATGGTACATAATATACAAGGAAGCGTAATTGAACTGCACCGCATTCTAAACTCCAATAATTTTCAAATTGCTAAACAAATAAATGATCTTAAGAGAGAGGTTATATGAAAATTCATACATTCGAATAGCTATAATAACTCAAATATCGTTTTTTTCATCGTATTGACGACCGATGATCACGTTTCGTTTTGCGTATTTTAAGCATTCTCGTCAAAGTTAGTCTGATTGTTTAGTGCAATCATGGGAAATCAAATATATAACTGATCAAAAGTGAAATTTTAACACGATTTTATGCTAATGCTAGAGACATCGCCGAGTGTGTTGAAGAAAGGGCCCCCAGAAACTTAAATCTAGTTCTGGCCAAACCTGAATATAGACACATCAGGTGTTCTGGTGGCCTTTCTTCAAGACCTGGTAGACACGCACTTAAGGAGATACCACAGAGTAGGCCAAGTCTAGCTCCATGCCGTCCTATGGTCCAGTGCCCTATAATGAGAAATACTAACCTAGATACCTCTGATTTGCTTCTATGTACAAGAAAGTCATTCTTCTTGAATAATTGAAGAATCTACAGATATTATTTATACATCTCATGATACGTCGGCAACTATTTCAGAGTCTTAGTTGATGTTAACTACGATTATATCAATATTTAATAATGAATTCCAAAATTTGAATGATTTCTCAACATAATTATGTTGGCTTAACAATATAAAATTTCTGACATGTCACAGTTCAATTCAGCCACATTGTATTTTGAGCCACAATTTTATTCATTTGTCTGCTAAAGCTGTTTATTTAAAAATATTAAAAACTTATTAACAAACATAGAAGTAAAACTATGTAACTAAAAAAACGATTTTTTAAAAAATAAAACAACAAATCCTTCAGACAGCTGATTGAGCTGGTTTCACAATTGCTTTAAAGCTTTAAATTAATATATAAAAATTTTAAGGATAAAATTAGGAAGAAGTTAAAACATCCCGCTTTTAATATAGGCGGAATATAAGTAAACAATCTACGTTAATATTTTAGTTATTAATAATTACAGTTTATAATTGAATAATTAAAAATGAATCAATTAATAAGAGTAGATATATCGCATTGACGTTTAATTAAAAATTTCCTGCAAATAATAAAGTACTATTATTCGTCGCTTAACTTTGAAATCTTTATTAAATCTATTTTAATTATACTGATTTTGTTTATTTTTGTCTACATGTTTTTGTTTTATAGATTTATTATAAATTTTGTGTTCACCTTTTTTATCTTGCCATGGGGACAAATGCTCTACAAAAATATTTGATTAATATTATCAATAATATTTGTAACCCAAATTAATTGAAACAAATTACGATTAAGAAATTTACTTCAAAATGAATTCGATTGACTTAAATAATTATATGTTAAGTAAGGTTTTTATGTATTTGCATAAACTATAAATTATATTTGGAAAAGTTGATTTTCGTTAATTACAATTTTTATTTTATGAATTGTAATAAACAATTTAACAAATGAAAACCGCACGTTTAGTGCGATCGGCGGTTTTTTTTGTTGAATACAAAATATATTTGAATGCTAAATTATATTTTAACTTATTCGAATTATTATCACATCAATGTTTTATTAATTATAAAAAGCATTAAATCTACTAAATGTTTTTAGAAATAATATTAACTATATATACATTTATGCTATATTATATATTAAAATGTACCTTAATACACCACTCTTTACATATTTATCAGATTTTGTGTTATTTTGCGATGTGCGATTATTAGAAGTCCGTTTTGAATGCTGGTAATTATAGGAGCGTTCACGACTACGACTTCTCCTGTAATTTAAAAAAAAATTTGATTTAATTAAAATAAATTATTATTTCTTATATAAAAAAGGATTTCTCTTAATAAAATTATAAAACGTCTTTATATATTACACTTTTTTTCTTCATATAATTAAATTATAAATTATTCAATTATTAACAATTACTTATTTTTATTACTTTTAAAAATAATAAATACTTGCTTTACTTAATAAACATTAATTTATTGATTATTAATTATAAATAAATACTATTATCAATAAATAAATTATTCTCAAAATTTTTTAAATTTTAATTATTAATTTTTTATTATAACTTTTAAATATATAGAATATTAATACAAAGTATTTTTTTGTAGACAGAAGTAATACGATATTATAAGGTTTAAAATTTAAAAGCATTTGTGTTAGAATTCATGGTAAAGGGTTCCTATAAATCACCTTTATATCAATACATTAATTTTTAAAAGCACATGTTTTATTATATGCCCAACATCAGTGTTTCTGACTCCAAGGCTTGGCAAACTATTTAAAATAAAAATCAACTTAGACGAAAATACAATCTTTTACTGATCGGTTAATTTTACTCGAATTTGTAAACTTAAAAAGATTTAATTTTAAGGACTACTTTCAAAAACATATAAAAATTAGTGAAAATTATGTTAAAAAAATTAAAAATTTCATTATAAAAGTTCTGAAATTAAAATTATTATTTTATTTATAATCAATTTTTTGTAACAAACTAAGTAAACTTTTATTAGTCTCCCTCTATTTCTACTACAATTTTAGTTGTTTGTTCTTTTTTCTGACTATGGAATTAGTACTGATTAGAATACTTATTATTTTATTAATTGATAAAAATAAAAAAAAAAAACTTAAAATGTAATAATAATAATAATAAAATAATAATAATTAATATTAATATATTAAATTAATATATTATTATTATAATAATATTATAATAATAATATTACAATAATAATAATATTATCATAATAATATAATAATAACATAATAATAATATAATAATAATATTATAAAAAAACATAATAATAAAATAATAAATTATGAAACCTAATATTTTAATAATTAAAAAAGAATTTTAAAAGACTAAAGGCTAATATTCCATTAAAATAATTTTACCTAAAATGTTGCTTAGCATTGTTGTGACGATATTCATCATCTCTGCTGGGTAATCGATTTCTAACACCCTTTAAGAATCTATAAATATTAAAGGGAATTAGATATATGATTCTAAAAATGTGTTTTTTTACGTTACTTTTCTTCAGCATATGCACGTTCACGTGAACTTCGTTTATTCATCGGTGAAGCATTTCTTCGTTTATATGATGGGCTTGAATTAGATCTGGATCTAAAATTAAGTATTGATTAAACAATATTATAATTAATAAGTGAATTAATTTTATTACCTTGTATTTCTATCACTATAAGAGTATGAACGTCTCCGACTATATCGTGTATCCTTTTCTCTAACTCTATTATATCTACGGTCTTGATCACGCGAGTGTTCTCTTTTCTCTCGCATAGGCTGTCGCCCTTTACGATCATATGGCGATAAACGATGATCTTTATGTTGGTGTTCAATAGATCGTGACCGTCTAAAATCCATCATTCTATTATCTTGTTTCCTTTTTTCTTTTTCTTTCATTATTCTATTAAAAGCTTCCAATGGATCATCAATAATTCTATATTAGTAAAATGAGAAATTATTATTTTAAATATTTAATATAACTTTGTATATACATACCCTGGACCCACTTTTGCAGCTACTCCTTGGTATACAGAAGCTAAATTCATTAACGGCGCGGAGTGCTGCATATTTTCAGCATCATTTCTAATAGGCATACACATAGGATTCACATTGGGATACATTGGTCTTCCATATTGAGGATAACTATATAAATTATGAGTGGTAAATGAATTTTAACATTACAACGAACGATATTGTAATAATATATATTTCACTGTAGCATTATTTTAAAAATAGAGTGTAGCGAATCATACTAACCAACGATTTAATTAATGACATTATTATTGACTCTAAAAAGATAGATATTTTAATATCTTAATAAATTTCCTATCTCGTATGCATAAACATAAGAAATATTTAGATGTTTTTGTTGAAGAAAGCAATGTTTGGTTAAAAGGATGATTACTGGAAAACAGTGCATGATAGAAAGATAGCAACGTATTGATTACGAACTGAAATTTTTTTTAAGCTATTGGATATATTGTAAATATAATTTTTGGACTGACATCCTGTATATCGCTGAACATTGAAAAATTTATCATCTTCGCATATAGTTTTCCGTATCTTGAATCAAGAAATTATGTCTCGAATTTATGTAAATTGTTAGGCAACATCCTTTATTATATATATATATATGATAATATTTTGTTTCTTGTTTGTTTTTTTTAACGATAAGACTTAGTGCCTTATTTATTTCATCCTCCGATATTGTTCTAATACAATAAAATTTTATCGTGTTTTATATAATATTACCGAATAATAAATTATTGAGCAATTAGTCTAACGAAAAACAACATAATATTTTTAGTTCTGAAGTGATTTAGTTCAGTATTTTGATAGCCTGTTCACATTGGTATAGTTCAAAAGCCGTTCGGTTTGTACTATTAAGATTCCGTTTTAAGAGCGGCTCTATGCAGTGATTTTAATAAACAAATGTTGTTTATAACACAAATAAATTAGAAATAATTTTTTTTTTTTTGAACCAGTTCTATTTAAAACAACATTAATTACAAATATTTCTGAGCTATATTTAGTGACCCACATTTAAACTATCTTCTCTATCTAAAGGAAAATATGAATCTATATACAATTCATCTTTTAAATTTCATCAAAATGTTATTACGGATTTTGGAACAATATGTATTATTAAAGTCTTATCGTTATTAAAGTCTTGGAGTATGAGCTGGTAATTATTATATTTAAACATTTAATGTGTATTTATTTTATAGACCTTAATTCTTTCAATTTAAACATACAATACAAGGTTTTTAGATGTTAGAATTTTAGATGTCATCGTATCTGCTATCTCAATCAGTGTTTATTTTCAAAGATTGTTGGTAGCAAATCAAAACTTCCAATTTTTTATTATAGCATATTAACAAATTTAGTACTATAAAATTTGTTTTAAAATTTAAATAATACAGTATACCTGCTTATAAGTATGTTAATTTTTCAAGTTAAATCAAACCAGGTGTTAAATAGTTTACGTCCAACGTTCAGTTTATGAAGAAGTACTTCTAACAAAGCAAATAAATAAGCTTGTTGGTGTCAGGTTTAGTCCCAATATCTTAAGTATTCACTGAATATATTTGCTTTATCTGAAACCCGTGGGTTGTATAAGGCTATAAGGTCAAATCAGAAAAATAGCGTACACAAAATTTTAAAATCTAAAAATGAAAATATTAGGATGAAAATAGGTCAGATGTAACTATAGTATGGCGAAATATGATTACTGAAAATGTTTACACAGACGTTTACAACATAAGCTCTTTTAGTAATTTTTTTTTTTAGTTAGTTCTTCCAAAGAACCTGTTCTGCTTTTTCCGAGTAAATCGATCCGATTTATTTAGATTTGGAGACTAAAATGAGGAAACTCATGAAAGCCTTCATTAAATCATATTGTATCTCTTGCACCCTAATACAAATTAACCGCAAAACTAAATTATCTTTTCAGAACAAAGAGTAAGAATCTCAAAGCCGTTTATCCATAAATTGTTCAAGCTGGCCAGCACAGCAGAATGTTTAAAATGTTAGGAAGAATATAAATTTGTTATTAACTTTATGAAATAAAAGTCTGCTATCCCAAAAAATATTCCTGAGAATGTTTCTGTGTAAGTGTAAAAAAAGTTAAATACTGCGAACGATAGAAAACTACTGTCTAATACACATAGACAAAAAAAACTGTATCGAAATTCTCAATGATACTACCAGCATATACTTTCCAGATTGCATTACTGTAAGTAACACTGAACCAACGAAAAGGATTGCTGACTCTGTACCTAAAAATACCATATTGTTTCCAACGAAATTCTCAAGTGGGTTATTTATTTATTTTATTTCTATGTTAAGGCACCAACTCTGAATATAATCTTCCCAGTCATGATACAAAGAGCTTTAGGATTAGTGCAACCATGGGTAAAATTAATCTGTACAGGGTGTCTTTTGGGATATAAAGAATATGCCCTGGAGTATTTCTACTTTAAGCAGTCTTGATGACTTAAGAACTGATAATGCAACTAATATTCTAAATTGTAAAAAGATAAGACCTTAATGGAACGAAGCTATACTAACCAGAGAAGAGTATCGAAAAACTCGGTGTTTTAACGCCGATCCTTTGACTACTACTGATAAATAAAAATCTCGATAGATTTGAAGGTAAAGTTCCAAAATTAGTTGCATATGCAAAGGACAGGCGTAAATGTCTAAGAATAAATATGTTACCTTTTAGAAGAAAGTACAAGTATTTTTCGAACACTACTTAATCTAAACGTAATTCAATTAAACTTAAAAAATCGTGCCAAATACCTAGGAATAATCTCTGATAATAAACTACTGTAAAAGCTTAATATAAAGGAACAGATGAAGAAAGCACTTATGCTCTATACACATGTAAAAAGTGCTGGGAAGCACATAAGGCCTTTCTTCTGGACTTATGCACTAGTTTTGCTCTACGATTTTTAAACCCAAAAGTTATTTAATTTTTAATAATTATATTTTCAACGCTCAATTAAATTACATTAATAAATTTAACCATTTTATTATAAGTATAGATAAAAAATAAATATAATGCAACAGTATTTTCTTTTTTGTATATAAGAACTAATAATATTAATTAATTTAAATAAGAAGCTATCTTGGCTAAATGAGATGTAAGGACTACTTCTTAGTGTTAATGATCTATGACTATAAATTTAGATGATTATCAATGATTCACAAACTAAGATAAAGAAAATTTTTATTTAAATAATAAACACTTGATTGTTTATAATATTCTAAAGAAAACATTTACAGAAAAAAGTAAAAATTAAAGCATATATTAAATATTTTTTATTGAAATTTTCAATTCTAAGCTAAAAAAATATATTATTTATTATTAACGTCAAGCAAACATGTGTAATCTCTTAATTCTTATATTTATATTTTATAAATTCAATTGAATTTAATTTTCTTTCTTTTGCAATTTACACCATGATTTATATTCTTTTTCTTTTTTTATGCACATAATTATAATAAAAGTAAAACTAAAAAAAAAAATTAAATTAAAAATGCATTGCTGTAGTAACACATTTTAATATATGATTAAATGTTTTTTTTAAAAATGAATCAAATTTCCGCGTGAACAAACAATATTCTTATTTCAATTATTTTTAATTAATTCTGATATGAAAATTTCTCGATTTTATTTAAAACTTTTATTAACATAATTTAACTTCATCCACGTTTATAATATTTAAATACCTACAAATTATAAAACAACTACAAAATTATATCTTACGCAGTTTTTTAAACAATATATATATATATATATATATATTAATTGTTAATACATACAACAAAAATAAAAAATATTCATTACATACCGGGCATCAGAACGTACTCCCATTTGATTATACATGTTATTATACGGACCCATTTGTTCCATTACTGGATTCATAAGAGGTGGTTGTGTTGGTACTTGATGATAAGCATTTAGTCTGTGAGGAGGTCCCGGATACCTGTCCGTCATATTGTTTGATCGCATTGAATACTCTGGTTTCTTAGAGTAAGCATAACTTTGTATTATATTTCCCTGCGATTTATGTGTACTTGTTTGTTTATTGTGACTACCATTTTCATACTTATAACTCTCTACTCCAGGCGTATTTGTTCTTCTCTCTGCATGATTATATGAGTTAGAATCTGAATGTTTTTCATCTCTGTGTGAATCGCTATAGGATGGCTAATGTTATAAAAAAAATTTGATTATAAAAATGAAAATTATACAGTAAATCAAAATATATATAAAAAATAAAAGTAATAACATATAAAACTATTTTAAATAATATTTTCCACTACATACAAAATAATTAACTTTACAAATTTGAATTTTAAAGATTCTATTCTGAAATTATAAACTTTACAGAAAAGGCAAAGTTCTTTAAAATTATTTGTACTTTAAAACGGTTATTAAAACTTCAGTCTAATATATAAACAACTCAACTAGACATTCAATCCAGTAGGATTACAGAAAAGTGTTCTATGGGACAGAAATATTATATTACGGTGGTTTCTTAACAATTGAAACATTTTTTTTATTAATACAGAGAAAGCTCTATTAAACGAACGCACTCATATGCGACATCTTTCTCAACTCTGTAATTTAGCTAATCCCGTTTGCAATTTTCACACAAAATATCTTCTTTTAAACGTACAGTGCTCCTAACCGAACAGAAATACTGGTGCTGCTGATTTTCGTTTTACTGATCTTATATTAATGCATATTAAATAAACCCAGCTGTTTTCGTTTGATAGTCAAAAATTAATATTATAGCTAATTACTGAAAAATATTTTAAATTAATCATTTCATATATTACCTGTAAATGTTTAATGTTGGAACTTTCCGGCGTTCTAGTACTACGCTGACTACGGTCCTTACGATCAACTAATTTTACATAATTACTCTCCATTTTATTTGTTGGCATTGTAACAGTTATATTATCATCATAATCCGATTCTCCTTCATCATGACATTCCTTGGTAAATTCTTTTGAAATTTCTTTCTCTTTATTTTGCTCTGGTGTTGGGTCATGGGTTTCTATGCTATCTGGTGATTTATTAATAATGAGCTCATCAGTTTCTTCTTTCTCAGGAGATTTTGGAGGCGGAGAATTTGATTTCACAGGTTCTGGAATATTTTTCACTGCTAATGAAAAATAAAATAAAGGTTTTTATATTTAGTATTATATCAAATTAATATATATTTACACTTTTTGGATCCGGGATCCTTATACCCAGATTCATTCTTAAACGCATTTACCGAGTTTCGCAAAAATCGATTCGGAATCAATGAACCTGGTGAAGAACCTCTCTCTTTGCAATCAGGACACTCGTTATCTTCGGATTCTAATAGAGCACTGCGAACACCTAAAAAATAAGCAAAATTTTAGAAAATATAATTTAGTTACAAATTTTTAAACATACAATCATCACAAAATGAACTTCCACAACATGGTATCATAACTGCGTCCACAAATATGTCATTACATATACTGCATATCAGATCATCTGGAATATGTGTGATTTTCTCCGTAACTTTTGGTTCCACTTCAACTTCTATTGCTCTATTGAAAAAAAAAAAAAATTATATTAAAATTAAGTAAATAATCAAAGGGTATTTTTATTCACTTCTCCTCCTTGTTGCGAAAAGATTTTGGTATGCCAGTATTTCGCTTAACAGCTACCTCCATATGTTCCTTATTTGAATTCAGTGGACAATTTTTAATCCAATGTCCTCCTTTTTTACACTTATTACATCGGTATGACGCAGGAACTTCTGAATTCATGTTTTGCCCTCGAACTTTTTGGTAACTAAAATGATGAAAATTTATTTAAAAAATGAGATGTGTTTAATAAAACTACTTAATAAATAAACTACTTAATAATTAATAAACTACTTAATAAATATGAAAAAACTAGAACTAAAAAATATTCCACTTGGTTCAAAGACTACGTCTTTCAGATGGGGTGGGCATAAATAGAGCATTACATTTGTACGCTAATAAAATATACATATAAGCGCATACTATACCATATATACAATCTTGACACATACAATTTACAAAATAACTCAAAATTCTTTAAATTTCTTTTTAAAACTCAATTTATAGTTTGACAATTAATTTGTCAATGAAAACAAAATTAATATCAAAGAATATCTAACCTTTTCGGATCATAATCAACAGTACTTTGATGTATCATTTCTTGGATTTTTTCTTCTTCGGTTCCAGTCATTTTTGACAAATCTAATGAGGTGCCATCTACTTTAGTTGTAATATTGGGCAAAACTGCTTCTGTATATAGATGAGTTGATTTTTTCTGAGCATTAGTTAATGGAATCCGCGCTATCACTAGTGACGTATTTTTGGGAATAAGTACAGAATCATCGGCATATTCTAAAAATTATAAGTTATTTAACACACTATATTAGCGACTATATTTTTTACCTTCTTTTGTTTGTGCATTCGTAATTTGCAAATCAAAATCGGTAACTTTGCCTAAACGCTTTTGATGTATAATTGCTTTTTTAAGATCACCCACAGAAATGTGCAATCCATCAAACGTAATTGTATCAAAGTCTCGAGTACTTTTGAATTTATAGTGCACAGACATATTTACAATTATATAGTTTTTTTCACGTTTATTGAGCACTTAAAATCTTCAAAACCATCTTCAATCCGATAAAAGAAAATAAAAAGGCAAACGTTTCATGGCATCTTATTTCATTTTCAATGTGTGTACTCAAACGTTTTTGGCTGTAAGCGAAAGAGATAATGAAACATAACACAGACCGTTACTCATAATTTAAAAAAGTTGTAAAAATTTTAAACTGTTGTGGCTGTTCTTATTATCATAATTGTTTTCATAGTTAAAATGTAGAATATTAAAACATTTAAGGATTACTACTTTGTCAATTGGAAAGTAAAATTATATAAATAATTAATTAAAGTTGTAGACCAACAATTTTGTTAAGAAGTTTTAATATTAGGACTGTTCCACGAGCTACTCGTAGTAACTTTAAGTAACACTGTGACTTTAAATAGACAAGTGCGTTCTACCAGCAAATTTTCCCTGTCGAAATTTGAAAATGCTACACAGACTTTACTCGTACATTTTACTTTAAGTAAAATTTGTATTAATATGTAAATCAGCTGTTAGTTTGAGTTTAAATTTTTGTATTACTTATTTGCGCGGCACTAGTTCTCACCAGACTTTACACAAAGCTGTTTCATGAAAATTTGTGTAAGGAGCGTAATTTGGCATTTGGATTTTATTTGTATTTTACTCGAGTTTTACTACTAATAGCTCGTGGAAGAGACCTATTATTTCAGGTAAACTTTCAAAAATTTATTTGCACCATAACAATTAACGTATTTCCATAATTAACTATTACCTTTTGTATTTGTATTCTTCAAACAAATATGTTCAATGCAATTCAGAAAACAGAACATTTCTTTGTTAGTACCTTCAAGTTGGCAGAATATTACCTCGAAATAATGATTTGTGGGCTCTACGTTTAGGATTTGTATTATAAACTGCAAAAATATATCAAAACATATCTTATTAAAGAGTAAATTATATGCAATAATTATAAAAATTTAAAGTTTTCAAAAACAAATTTAAAATAAAGTTATTGGAGTTAGATACATTTTATATTATTTTATTTTTAATAGATTTAATATATAAATTAACTCTAAATTTTTGTGAATCTTATTATTCCACCTCATTATTTTCGTTGTTACACAGTTCCTTATTATAGTATATTGACACTATCTCATTTACTCACTTGCTCATTTATATTAATAAGTGAAGGTTCACATTATAATGAGCTCATTTATGCAGCTGATAGTATTTTTATATACTACACTACTACCACAAATACTACTATCACACAAAATAATTATATATATAATTGATATATTAAATCATTTATATACATTTTATATAACAATTACATATTCAATTAATTAAAACTAAGGTTTTATTAAATATTTACTTTCTCAGTGCCTTTTTTTTCATCTTACATATAAAACATATGACACATACTTCAAATTTTGATCGTATCCATTGTGGGAAATTTATTTTTAAGGGTTGCATTCGACATTTTTTGCCTTAAGCGGGTAATACACATTATACTTGGTGCGACGTCGCTTGTTATTACACATCATTCACTGCCGACATTATTATGAACACTCCTTAGCAAAAAAATACTACAAGTATACAACAAAATAGAAACATGCGCGCAATGAAAGAATATTTTCGGTTCCATGACAAAACAGAATGAAATTTGCATGAATTGTATACGAAAAAAACGACACAAGTCTGACGAAAAATCAAAATATTTTGATTTCTATCGCACCATTTGTCATATCAGCAAATGTTACTATTACACATGGTTTTATGTGTAATACTCCGTTTAAATAAGCTGATTTATTATTAATGAGCTCAGTTATACTAAAGCTCTTTATATGACAAATTATCCTCATAAGTGGTTATAATGAGCAAAACCGCCTAAATGAGACAGGTGAATAACACGTCTGTATATATTAAAAAATATATTTATGTTCTTGAAAAGTTTAAAGAAAGAAACTAATGGTATAAGTAATCTGTTTAATTATCTAAAATTTATTCGTTTGTTTTATTTTATTGAATGTATAAAGTATAATAGTTAATGTACATAAAGAAGCTTCATTTATCTTTAAAAAAATGTTGTTTTATAGGAATTATTTTTCTTACAAAGAATTTTTTTTAGATATAACAACAACTAAATCTATAAGCCAATAAAATGATTGATGAAGATCTCCTTCGCATAAGTACGGTGCCTTAGTCCAAGCATCTATTTTGAAACCTATATTTTCCAGCAATTCAAAGAACATTTTAGCTTCGGCTTCAAATGAAAACTGTTTACTCTTTTCTGGCCAATGGCTCATTAATGGCCTGATTGGCAAATGCGAAGAGTTTATCTCAACATAATGCATATATGGTAAAACCAAAGCCAATATGATATGACCACTTGGAGCTAATGCATTGTACATATCTTGAAGTATTTCGAATGGATCAATACAACGATCTAATACATTTAGACATGAAATTAGTTCAACTTGTTGAACTGATTTAATATTCTCAACTACTTCAAAATCTCGCTTTTTTAATCTTTGTCGCATTGCCCAACTTGTTTCCGTCGCGTAAACATTAACTTTGGCACATTGTAGCAGACTTTTGACAGAGTTTAATAAGCGTATGGAAATTTCTCCATCCCCCGCTCCAACATCCAGTATATTAACCTTATAATTTCAAAATAAATATTTATTAATAATTCTATTTAATCATTTTATGTATACTATAAAATTATAATAATGTAAAACTTAAACTTACTGTTTCTTTGTTTGTATTAAAATTAGCTGCTCGAAGCAATTTGGCGAATTGTTGCTCTGAAAGAATGAACATAGATCCTCGTTTTAGATACCCGTTGATATCTGTTTGAGTCATGAATAGTTTTAAAAATGGTCGTGCAAATGCATGCCATAAATGTAGCCAAATATTAAGTGATAAAAGTTTTGCCTGCTCCAACCACTGTATTGTAGACTCATCCGGCCGAAGTAACGGTAAAAATTTTCTTTGAAATACATATGGTAATTCTTCATTTAAATTGTACCACTATCAGTATAGAAGAAATTTTTAAATTAGTCAAAAGTTTCTAATCTCATACTTATTAAACAAACAAATATATAGATAAATATAACATGAGAAAAATACAGATAAAAGGTATGACGAAAAAAAACTCACCAATGTAGTATCGAATTCATCCAACCACTTGTCATTGTGAAACTTGTCATATATTGCTCTAGCCAAAGTTCCACGAGGCCGATAAATCTCCATACTTAAATTACCATTCACGCAAAAGAAAGAATATAAAACTGCAAATATTTTATATTAACTATTTTTCGAAAATATATAAAAGTCATAATGTTGACTTATTTTTGTAATTATAATTCAATAAAACTATCATTTGTTAAGACAAGTAAATATATTATAGTATTCAAGTAGGTTTCAATTTGATATAAGATTTATTTATATTACCGAAGTATAATTAAATTTGTAGTAATTTTAATTTGCAAGTTTACCGTCACGTCACCGTAGTCACGATATTACAATATTGACATAATGATAGTAGATGGCAACTAACTGACTTGGTTGGCACTTGCGCCGGTTGATAGTATTAGACGCTGAAAAATCCTATTTCATTTCAATAAATGAAACATATTTATATATCCATATCGTTTTAACTTTTACATACTGTCAAAAACAGTTTAAAAATTTAATAACAAATTTAATATAAACTGCTAAACTCCTACAATTAAATAGGAACTTACAATAAACTCTAACTAACTCTAAATAAAATGAAAATACATTCTTAACATTCTTAAGTACTCAGAAATTACTCAATTAAATTCAAGAACTCTTTTTTCTTAGTGGAAATAATGAAAAATTGAAACAACGTAGAAAGAACTATATAATTGAAATATAATACACACGGATGAGACGCTTCGTTAATTTCAAAATAATTAATTTCAAAAGTATTAAGTATTATCATATATCTTCTGTAATGAAGACAAGTTAATCTAACACTACAGAAGGAAAATTGATTTATTAATTAAATTAAAATATTGTTAATATCAAATTTTCAAAATCGGTATAAATAGCATTTAGACTGTGTGCGAGTTCAAGTAAATTGATGGTGAATTGAGGGAAATAGTAAATTATGTCGGTATGACAGTGGAAGTTGGTATTTACCAGAATTTCGAGTAGGGTAAATTAGATAAAAATTAGGTAAACTAGGAGTTACCATTGTGAAAATTTTATAAGATGTTTAATAAATAAATAAATAAATTTGAAAATTTGAACCAAAAATAATAAATAAGTGCAATAAATAAATAAATAAATATTTACATATGTGCAGTGCGAAAAATCCCTAGGAAATTTCAATTTACTTTATCTCAAATTACTCGAACTCGCACACGGCCTAAATATCAAAAATTATTCGTTTGTATTTTTTACAGTATTTTTATAAAAAATAAAAAAAATATATACTTTTTATTATAAGTAATTTTTGTTTCTTTGTACTAGCATTTCTTTATAAGAATAAAAATATAACATATTATCCTAATAAATTCTTTAAAGTGAACTTATTTTAATTAGCTTCTTTATAATTAAATCAAATAATTTTAATAGAGTTTGTAAGAATATAATATACATTAAATTACTTCATTGCATGTCTTTTTTTATAAATTATGTATAGATTTATTTCAAAACAAATTTGAATATAACGATTACACCATATTAGAACTAATAATGGCTATCCATAACTATCCGTGTTCTGCCGTTTACAATTCGTGTAGCATTAAACGATTAGATACGATTCTAATAAGACGTCATTTGATATAATAATTTCAAACTGCATATCTTTTATTTACTTGTGGTCAAATAGCTAACAATTTTTCTTGTTACTTTTCTAAATGCTAATACAATGTTCCCATTATCTTCGTTAATAATACATTTGATACCTAGTGCTTTTCACCACACTATGGTAAAAAGTGTTTTGTATACAAAAATCAAATATAATATATTTTTTTTTTGTTAACTCGTTATTTGCTATTTAGAATTTTATCATGCATATAGATAAGTCAAAATTATTGTTATATTTACATAATACTTTAATAAATAATTATAAAATCACTAATAATGCCATTTGGAATTTTATTATAACTATTTTTATACGATGCACTAAATTTTATTTTATAACTATTGTTATATTTTAAGTATTTTAAAAAATAACTATATATTCAGTAATTGTGCTATTTTAAATTTTTTTATGCATACAAATAGCAATAAAAAATGCTTGCAAGGAGTATGTAGTTTATTTGTCATAAGCATTTGTCATCACTCATTTATCAAGAAAAGAGCTTTTTATTTATAATACCGAGTACCAAAACTTTGACAAATTGTCAATCTTGACAAATAAGTAAGATGGTGAATAATTGTCAATTGTTGACAAATTTGTCAAGTTTACATAATAGGCACATTTTAATATTCACAGAATATTAAAATTTATGTAAAATAAGTCTTATCAATATATAATTACTAAAATTTGTTTATAATGTTTTATCTATATTTATATGTATATATTCATTTTAAAGTAATATAATGAATTTGTTTTAAAGCATAAGCAACATACTTTAAAACTTTTATATAACATATATATAAAATTGAATTATAGGAAACATCATTTAGTTTTTCTATAAAATTTCGCAAATTATTAAGTGTTGGTAATCTCTCTTCTATACAATTGTTGGTAGAGGGTTGAACTAACAGAAACGAATGTGAATGAATACACAAGAATGGTATATAAAATGTAAAAGTAAGTTTACCTGGGTGATAAAAATTGTAAAATATTTGATTTTAAATGTTTGTTTTGCAAAAATTGCAAATAAAGTGTTTGTGAAAAATTGACTATTAAAATATATAAAAATACTTTGCAAAAGACCTGTCAAAAAGAAAAATTCTATGATAATAATGTCAAAAAAATGTATATACATATAGCTAAACGTATATATGTAGAAAAAAAAATATACATATATATTTATATATAGTCAATGGAATGTTAAACTAGTGTATATGTGATAAAATTTTGATATTGTCAACCAAGTTCAGCCAAATTATGTTAATGTTTATTCTTCACCACGCCTCAATCATCTGGATTGTTTATAATAATATGATTTTAAGGTTACAAACTGCAGAAAGTTTTCACTAAAATAGCAAAATTGTATTTGACATTTACCTACGAACTTTCCTTTATATGGCTCAACTACCTTTTTTGCAATGTACAAACTGCAGTGTACAGAAGAAAAATATTTCGAGAAAATATGAGTTAATAAAATAAATTTAAAAATACTTATATATTTTTATTATAAATGTTTCATTAAAAATATATATTTATATATATGTATATATATATATAAATATATATATATTTATATATATATATATTTATATATATAAATATATATATATATATATATATATGAAGAACGAATTATGTGTATGAACACATACATATGTATGTACATATGTCGTTTATGTACATATAAATTATTATTTTATTTATACATATTTTATTTTTAAAAATATATAAATATAGTACCTATTCGCGTGTGTATAAAATTTCCGCTTAACTTGACTTTTTCTTGAATGAATTTTTATCAAAAGATCGATCAAATAAAAATAAGGATTTGAGATTCCTTCAGAAAATTTAAAAAGTTTCATCCCATTTATTATTGTGTAGCACCTTCTTTTATAATTAAAAGAAAACAACAAAGAGATATAAATTAAATTAGCGTTTGTTAAATACATTTTAGTAATAAAAGGAAATTTTGACAAATATATTTTTTGACCGCTAATAAACTTGGGTTTGTCTTGTGCTTAGAAAGTGGTCAGTACCATAAAGTATATTGTGCTCAAAAAGTGGTCAGTACCATTAAGAATATTGTGCTCTTAAAAGTGGTCAGTACCAATCAAACCAATAAAATCGAAATATACATGGTGTTTTTGGCATATCTTAATAAAATTGTATATACCCAGAATGGTAGAAAATTTTGCAATTAATAATTTAAAAATAATAGAAATTATTATAAAAAAAGGCGGACACTGCATAAATCATATAGTATATATATAATCTGTTAACGATTATTAAAAAGGAAACTGTGCTTAATATTCTTCATTTTATATTGTTTAAATTAGTTACAACTCGTAAAATCATAACCATATAATTTATAATATCGTTTTACTTTCCGCATATTTCTAACATACACTTTTTTGTTGTAAAATAAACCAGGCTTTGACAGAACGTTCCAAGTGTAGCTACAATTTTTTGCAACTTTAAATTTCTTATTTGAGAGTTTAAATAGTCCGTGTCTAAAAGTTGTAATTGTAAGGAGTTAGCTAATTATACTGGATCATCAAGTTGAAAATAGGGAGGCTGAGTCTCCCGACGGAACTCAAGAGAGTAGGGGTACTTGTTGGTGGACTCCTTGGTCAGCTATGGGTTGTTTTGGTTCCGCTGGTTCTAAACAGTCTGATATCAATTCAGATGACTCCAAAAGTCAAAAGCGTCGCAGTGATGCTATATCTAAGCAGTTGCAAAAAGACAAACAATTATATCGAGCCACTCACAGGCTTCTATTACTGGGTGCCGGTGAGTCCGGCAAGTCAACCATAGTCAAACAAATGCGAATATTGCACGTAGATGGATTTTCCGAGCAAGAAAAGAAACAAAAAATTGATGATATTAAAAAAAATATTCGAGATGCGATTTTGGTAAACAAAAAACAATTTTTTTTTAATTTTTCAATAAAAAATTTATATTTTTTTTTATTTTTTGTAGACAATTACTGGTGCAATGAGCACATTAAATCCACCTGTAGCTTTAGAGAAAAAAGAGAACGAAGTAAGGGTTGAATACATACAGGATTATGCATCAAGTAAGTATTCCCGAACATTTCTTTATTCAAAACTTTTTCCACAATAAAACACAATTTTAAATTTCGATGACAATAATTAAAACCAATATATAAAATGTCAATATAAACTGAATTTATTTATTCTATCTTATTAAAATTGCTCACAATTACTTATATATAGATATATACTATATATATATATATATATATAATATATATATATATATATATATATATATATATATATCCATATAAAATTATCGCAGTTTCCAGACTCGTCATATTTATCACTATGCGTAAATATATTATTAGAATACATTACTTGTGCATAAAACAACTATATATCTCCAATTTTTAAAATACTTAAGGATATAATCCACAATGAAAAAGAGCTATTCTTGCTAAATATTCTAAAGTAAAAAGTCAAATAGTCACGATTACGTTATTTTAGCTAGAAAAATTATTTAAAAACTAGAAAAATCTTTTTATTTGACTAGTGAGTTTGCAAAAATCATGGATAAAGCTCAAAAATTTAAAGAATGCAATAATTTTATGGAGTGAACAACAGGTTATGAATTATTCAAAAATATAGAATTTTGCATATATGAAAGTTATTTTTGATTCATACCTTATAATTTTCGATTAACTGTGATGTACAAATAACAAAATTAAATTTTAAGAGCATTAAAAGAAAACTATATAATATAAAATAGCACGCGCTATTAGATCTTGTACTAACTCTAAGAACCACTGAAACTTCAAGTCAGGCATTAACAAGTACTAAAATCGATTAATATTTCTTTGATTCTATGAGCGCTCGGATTTACATCCCGGAAATAATTGTTTTTTTTTAGTGCCACTCACTCTCTCAAAAGAAAATCAAAAAATAATGCTTAGTCTGTCTGCTTTTAGTGTGCCCAGAAGAGATGTAACAACAATATTGTTTCTTTCAAGCTGGAAACTTAATATCAAGAGATCCATTAATTTTTAATTAAATGGATTAAATGTGCACTTGAACCTTAATAATTCTATTAACACAACATTTATTAATATAGTTGTGAAATTTATTTATCTGTAAACTGTATAGATGCATAACTGTATAATTCTGTAAAAAATTTAGTTGATTTTAGTTTAATTGAAAACGGAGATGGGTCGAAAAATAATTTGGTTCAAGTTATGAAGATACTACCTTTCTAAAAAAAATGATGATTGTTTAAAAGAAGTCCAAAGTTAACGAGAAGGCGCAAGCAATGTTTAACTTATATTTTATTCAAATAAATTTAAAATTATAAAGAAATAAAGAGTTCACTTGTACAAGCATTGGAAAACTAATAAAAGAAATAAATCAAGAAAAAATATAGCAGTGACTTCGACGAAGGTTCAATAACCTTTACACAGGTAGCTATATTATAAATCAATTATTTACGATTTATTTAAAAAAAATTTTGAATATTTTTTCAAAATAACTGTCTTCAAAATATAAGACAGTTATTTTGTAAGGTTTGGTCGATCGATTTAATTCGTATATCGATTTGAAACATATCATTTATTTGGTACAAAACTTAGCAACACCTAAAAATTGTGTATATCTATACACAATAATATGATATAGAAAACATTATTATCATTTGCTCTTGAGATATAGCTTTAGGTATACAGTTTTAACAAGACAAGTTAAAAGTTATATTGTATAAAAAATAATTGTATTTATCTATTTTAAAGGGTAAAAACATATCAATAATTAGGATATCAATAATAAATGTACATATTTTTAATATTATTACAGACCCAGACTTCAACTATCCTCCAGAGTTCTACGAACACACGGAGGAGCTTTGGAAAGACCGTGGTGTTTTACAGACATTTGAGAGGTCAAATGAGTATCAACTGATTGACTGTGCTAAGTAGTACGTTAAAATATTTTAATGACAAATTTATTTCTTACCTTTCATAAATAACCTTTATCCACCGTATTTATTTAAATGATTTTATTTGATTTGATTTTTCATTTTTAAATATTAAACTGTTAACGAAAAAATATTTTTTAATATATTGAAATTATTACTTTATTTTTTTATAATTTAGAAATTTTTTTTTTATTTATTTGACATACAATATAATTAAATGAAGTTTATCATTACAATTACCAAAAGTTTAACTAATTTAATTGAAGTAAAAAAGAACATTACGATCAAGAGTATTAAAATTCCGAAATATTGAACTTTATATTTTACATACATATTATATGAACATTTTACATCAAAAGCAAGTAATTTAAATATTAAACCATAAAAATAATTCAACTTGTATTTATAGTAACATTACACACTTATTACTTACTATTTTTAGTTTTTTGGATCGAGTCAGTACAATTAAGAATCCAAACTATACACCAAACGAGCAGGACATTTTAAGATGCCGTGTTTTGACTTCTGGTATATTTGAAACCAGATTTCAAGTTGATAAAGTGAATTTTCAGTAAGTTCATATATGCCATATATTGTTTATAATTTAATTTATTTTAATAATTAAAAATTTTCTGTAGCATGTTTGATGTGGGTGGCCAACGAGATGAGCGTCGAAAGTGGATTCAGTGTTTTAATGATGTGACAGCTATAATATTTGTCACTGCATGCTCAAGTTATAATATGGTTCTAAGAGAAGATCCAACTCAAAATCGACTGCGTGAGTCCTTGGATTTGTTTAAAAGTATTTGGAATAACAGGTTATTATCCTAATTTTTAGAGAAATTTTTTAGAGTTTTTATTTATTTACAAAGTAAAAGGCTTGTAAACAATTAAAAATATATGAAAATTGTTATAATATTTTTATTATGCACGTTTCGAAGTTTATTTTGGCAGGTTTTTTTAAAAGACCCTTAGATAACTTTTTAAAACAACCTGACTTTAAAATGAAGACAAAATTATGTTTATATATAACCTTACACTTTGTAAATATCATAGTTTTTACAAACATTTTGTTTATACTATACATGAATATTTTTTTTAAAGGTGGTTGCGCACTATTTCTGTTATTTTGTTCCTTAATAAACAAGATCTGTTAGCTGAGAAAATCAAGGCTGGAAAAAGTAAACTTTCCGAGTATTTTTCGGAGTTCAACAAATATCAAACTCCAAGTAAGTTAATTTTGATTTTATTATTACAAAACGTTTTAAAAATGTATATTTTATATAAATAAAGTAATTTATTTATTTAGTTGTTTAATGTTATAAATCACATTTATAATATGTTCGTTATTTAAAGGCTTATGTGAACTTTACTTATAAAAATGGTTTTTTAGTTTTTATATATATATTTATTTATATAGCTCTTTTCAGTGTTTCGAAGTTTTTTGATTTCTTAAATAGGACGTGATATATATTTTACAGTCATTGGATTAAGACTTTTTATAGAGGAACAAAACTGCAAAAATGTAACTAAAAATCATAATCAGTTGAGTTTTGTTGTGCTAATGTTAGTACTATTATCTTTCCTGCCATAGTTCTGTTTATATTTTTTATTAAAAACTTCGCATAAGCCATGAAATGACGAACATTATTACGGAGCGAACTCAAAACAATTAAGCAGTAAAACTTATTTAAATTGTGAAATATTTTATTTACAATTTAAATATATAGTAATTGTGAAATATTTTATTTACAATTTAAATATATAGTAATTGTATTTATATGCAATATAAAAAAATGTAATACTTATTTTTGTTTTCAAGGTGATGCAATAATGGAAAGTGGTGATGATCCTGAAGTAATTAGAGCAAAGTATTTTATTAGAGATGAGTTCTTGGTACGTAATGAAATATATTATATATAAGGAATTTTCATTATCATTTCCTAATATATTTTTGCCACGTCTACGTACATGGAGCAAAATATAACCGGATGATGCCGTTTGTAATTATGCTTTAAATGCGATAGGGAGTTCAAAAGACTGTATGAGTTTAATGGATACGCGCAATATACATATTTTGTATATAATATATATATAGCAAGGAGGAACTAGTTAATATTGTAGGACTATAGAATTAACTTGCGTATTACTTATGAAATGTAATGGAGTCCTCTAAAGGCGCTTTGCTTTTGTATTATATTTATGACTGTTATAATACGTTAAATGTATTTCAAATACATCTCATTTAGTGATTAATATTATTTACTTGAATAAGGCTTGATATAAAAATAATCTCTAAATACAATTATAAACAGGCTGAGGCGCAATTTTGATCGAATTTGTAGTTTTGACGACTACGTTCTAAAACGTTCTGACTTTAAAAATATAGCTAACTGTTACACGAAAATTATGCAAGTATGCTTAAATGCAAATTCCTTTAGATACATTTATTGAGTAACGAATACTCATTTTGATATATTTAAAAATTATACAAGTAACTATGGCATAGCTTATTTATGAATTACATCCATAAGACGAAGCGTTAGAAAATATTTAAAAGTTTTCTTTATAAATATTTGATTGAGTATTAAAGTAAGAGATGTTGGTGCATTATTAAAGTTATTTAAAAGTAAAGTTAATATTTTATAGTTAGAATATACAGTAACAAATAATAATTAATTTGAAAGCTAATATGTAGAACTGCTAGTACGGTAAAGTAAATTAAAAAATGTATTACACTATTATTAAATCATTCACTTTGATCATATTTTAAATTTTGTTTTTTATATAATGTTTTGTTGTTTTATTTTATTATACCATTTCCGAGTTTCTCTAATATATCAATATCAATATCACATCACCTTTTAACTTTTTGCTCTGTGTATTGTAGTCGTGTATTTTCTTTTCTATTTCTTTAGCGTATTTCAACTGCAAGTGGAGATGGAAAACATTATTGCTACCCACATTTCACATGTGCTGTTGACACGGAAAACATAAAGAGGGTTTTTAATGATTGTCGAGACATAATTCAAAGAATGCATTTGCGTCAATATGAATTATTATAGGTTTTTTCCGTTACAAACTACAACAAACATTTGATAATGAAATAAATCAGCAAAATTTTATTATTTAACAGTAGATATATAATACGTTTTGTGTTTAGATGAATATTATGATTGTAAATTCGCTGCATTTAAATTTGCTATGTGTCCTAATCATTACTTCGATAACAATTATATGTACGTGAAATCTAGTTAATAATAAAGAACACAAAAATAGTTTAATTTTTTATTGCTAAAAACTTTCATTTGTAAATATTGAAGTACGCACAAATTTATTGTATTCGATTTTGATTGGGCTATACGTTAATTACTAATTTTTGTATTAATAAAAGTAGTTTTCCTTAATCGTCTACAGTAGGTGTAACGTTAAAAAATAACACTCATGTATGCATGTTCAATCTAATACATTGCAATATGCTAGAATATACATATATATCCAAATCAGTATACTAATCGTAGATATAAAATAAAATTGTAATCCTTAAACATACTAAATTTGCTTATTGCAACAACAAATTATTATGATTTATTTTTATTTACGAAAGCTTCCTGTTCTGTTAAAAAATTCTTACTTCAAAAAATTGCACAGAAAATTATTGTGACTTGTGTTTATTATAAAAAAAAAGAACTAAATTTTAATTAAGAATTATAAAAATTAAAGAATTAATGTGAACAGTAATATGGACATTAATCGAATGACTTTCAATATTATAAATTCAAAAATAATAGCATTTCTCAGAATAAAAAAATAGTGTTACTAATAATACTTAATAAATAAATTCCAATTCAAAATCTAAAATTTCTCAAATCTATCACAGGTTAGATAAGAAGAGCTTAAACAGCACTGAATGCTAGACAAGAACCACAATGAACTGCATTTCATTTAATTTAAAATCTTTAAAATATATTAAAATCTACATTTCCTTCTATAAAGGAATGCTCAGTATTAAATTCATATTTAGTTCACTTGAGCATCACTATTTAAAAAAAAATACAATTAGGAATAGAATATTTCAGCAGAACAATTTTTCTGCAATATAAATTATATAAAGTATTTACAATATAATAGTTACAATATACATCTATATAGAGAAGAAAAAATGCAAGAGTCGTTATTAGAAAAATATTGACTTTTATAAAATTATAGTCTAGATGAAACATTTAATGGACTTTGGTTACGAAAATTAAAGAAAAATTTTATCAATCAACCCACATTAAGGAAACTTCCTATCATAACACAATTGAACTACAGATTACCTAATTCCAATCAAATCAGTATCCTTCTCAAGAAAACTTGAAAAGTTTTCTTATAAAAAGACAAATTTTCATAATGCTTAAGTTTATCATGGACAATTTTTTAAAAAATTCGCAAAAGAAGAAATTAGTTATATATTTAGCGGATATACGTATGCTAAAACGTGTCTAGCTCCGTAAATTAAGGGCAATTATAATATTGCGTGATTGGTATCGTTATATCACTGGGCTGCTTGATCTACACTGACCTAAAAGCAAATAAAATGATGAACAGTATAGAGAACTCATATTAAAAATCGAATGGGTAGGAATGTTGAACATTATATGGATCGATATAAAAAAATCTTGTTACCTCAACGAATCTATATGGTTCAAATTTAAGAGTATATTTTGTAGAAAACAATGAGAGACCTCATAAGAAGCAGAGTTGCAGTTGTGCCACATATTGGAGACAAACGTTACTGTTTCCACGTAGCTTTATCCAGATCTCAATTATCTCAGCACAATTCTTAATGCACGAGACAAACTTCTTGCATTTCTAGAGATTTGGGTGAACACCAGTTGAGAATTTTGTTATAAAACAACCGTGGTGCTGAAATAATGGCAGAAAGCTCTTATTGATAATCAGCGTCGTCGATACCTCCGTTGCGATCTTATACTTTAAACAAAATGAAATAGCTCTACTAAATTTGGATATCTAACTGCGTAGCTATGGAAAATCAATTATTTTGACAATGGATGCCTTATTATTGTAGATATTATAACCTGTGAGAATCTTCGTCTTTTTCGAGACAACCTAAATCCGAGACATTAACACAGCCGCTACTGGAACCAAGGAGATTTTATTATAAGATTATAAAAGCTATTATATTAGATTAACGATATGATTGTTGTTGTCATTTGTGGTGTACCCTGCCAGGTTCAAGGAAACTGTTGACAGCACACTTAGCCTACAATGTTAAAGGGATTAAAATTGAGGGAAGAGTGAATGGTTGTATTTGGGATGTTGAAACATGTTTATGTGAAAATCTAATTAGGAAATTTAAATGTAACATAAGTTTTATGTTAATCATGTACATAGATACAAATATTTACATTACTTCTTCATCGGATCATACAATATAAGTTTGTTGACTGATTCGACAATCAACAATTTGAGAGAATATTTGAATAAGAAAACATATAATATCAAATGAACAAAGTGGTAATTTAAAAATGCTGTCATATTGCAGAAAGAAAAAATACCAAAATCTGTTACGATCTAATTATAAATTTCCTAACTCTAAGATAGAGTAACAAACGAATTGGACTTAAATTTGTGTTGAGAGTCGGCCAATTGAACAGATAGACAATGGCAGTAGGTCATTTTTACTACAGGTAACTACAATAGACTTGTAATTTCGGTATCATCCGTATTAATTCATTTCAAGTTGCTGTTTAGCATATAACCTAATTTGAGCCAGAATAGATTTTTCTACAAAAGGAAGTCGTTTTTCTTGATGCATCACTGTAACTTAACACATTTACAATAGTTATCGATGTGTTCTGTATACTAGGTTATGAATGAACGCAAAAAGAAATTGTTAAGATAATAATTTTAAAACATATTGGAATTACGTAGAACAGAAGTCGACATAATAATTTATATGTACTTTACCGAATATCTTTTTCATACGAGAAACCACCGGCCAATTTTATCTTGTTACGATATATTAATAAGCCGCGCAATATATTGCCATATTTTAGATAGTGGCAGTCCTGAATTCTTCGATTTACATAAACAGAATGTCTTCATAGTAGAAAAAAAGAATGCGTAGTATTAAGAATGTGAAAAAGGGAATTCTTAAGAATGTGGCCATTTGGTAAGAATATGCATTAATTTTGTTGCACAGTATTATGAGTACCTGCCCCTTTATGAAGGAATGAAGTTCAATCTGTAGGTCCAAATTCATAGCTCCATCGTGTATTGTATTCTTATTTGAGTCAAGTTATGGAGCAAAATATTATGACAGACTATATCAAACGCATTTGATAGATAAATAGTGGTCAAAACGGCATGATAGCAAGGATATTGATCTATAAGACTTGCTTTCACTCCCCGGGTTAGAGGACTTCAATAGCTTTGAACACAGTGTTCATTTTTGACCTCTTTTGAAAAACTGTTAATTTGTTTTTGTTACTTTCTACTTTTCTCTTTTATTTATAATAGATAATATATATATAAAGTTGATTTTAGAATTTTTCTTACCTAGCGTATAAGCCGTTCTAGGCCGTTCTAAAAGGGCAGAATCATAACCGTTACAAAAGTGTGATTAGAGCTCACTATAAGATCACCACATTAATTCAACTGGAGGAAATACCAATAATTTAACAAGAATAGCAACAAATGAACTAGAAAAGTAAAGCATATGATGATTAAAGAGAAGATCTGTTTAAAACCCTGAACGTGAAATTACTAATTTAAACTTCAAAATATTGTCTCTAATGATATCTTCTGTTGTTCGATTTTAAGGTGTGCACTTAAATAAGCTTATGAAATTTATTTTGCATAAAAAAAACTCAATCCATATTATATGATAATATCATATAAGTACTAATTGAACACATAAAAATTTTTCTAAAAATTTTATGCCTAATATAGAAAAAATTTTCTTAAATTTATAATTATATATTTTCAATGTAAAGAGTGCATTATCTTTAAAAAATCTATATATGGTAAATATCACCTCTTCAATCGACGAAAAGCTGATTCAGGAACAACTTTAAACTTAAGGAACAAAAAATTATGAAAGATCTTTTTAATAGGGTCTAAAGTTAGCAAACGCTCAAATTTTCAAACAATATTTTCCAAATTTGTGTCAAAGGGAACACTTTTAGCCACAACATGTTCTCTTTTTTTTTATCCTGCGATAATATGTTACAATACTATTTGATTTTTAGACGTTATGTTTTGCAAGAAAAATAAATATGATAAAAATTTTAAATTTTGCCCAAATGCTAACGCAATTCTTAATTAAAATAATTTTATATCAACTAAATATACATCGTAAAATTATTTTTAAGGAACTAGAAATATTTCCTGCCACATAATAGAAAAAATTAGAAATGCATGGGTGAACTAACTTTGGTCTTCAGAACTATAATTTATGCAGAAAATAATATCTTAAAAAAAGATAAAGCAAAGCAGTATTTCATGATCTTAAGTCTTCTAAAAATGACTCAAGTAGATACCAATTAATTCAAGTCTGACAAAGAAATCTCGCATGCAAGCCCGAACAGCTTAGTTATTGATATGAAACTAAATATCGGTACCATGCTCCTATAGTATATATTTGGCTCATGATAAAATTACATATTGAGTAAATTTAAAAAATTATAGAAGGAAGCATTGCAAAAACACATTTTGCAATAAAAAGAGAAGAGAAAAAGTGTTAGTTTTGAAAAGCGAATGGTTCTAACTAACAAAGCTTGTAGCACTCATATTCCTTCAATGGCTCTTCATTTTGGAAGTATATGAAATTACATTTTTGTTATTTAAACAGAGCATCTGCTATGTAACTACACGACTACAATCGATTTCTCTCGTGAAATCGACAAAAATACTTGAGGGCTTCTGTTGAAATCATAATAAAATTCGCTAATAACACGTGCATCCTAAGCTATGCACACTATTGTTAAAAAATTAAGACTTTGATCTGGTATCGCAATGGACCTTAATGGTCTACATGTGACCTTTTTAGTCTGCTAGCATAATCTAACCTAACCTACTTAAACAGATAACCTTGTGTTTGCAAACTGTGACAACTTCGATTCTCCTATATGATAAGCAAATAATTACAATGCCGCGCTAGACCATAAAGGAGTCCTTCGACTCTGGTTACATATGCTATATATTATAATTCCATACGTTTGAAGAATTAGACATTCGATTAGTCTATATTTTGAGTAAATGTTGGGTATAGTGTGAAAGCTTCACTACACAATATCTTAGAATGTGTTATCTTAATATTACATGCCATAAATCTTTACGTTTTGAAAACAATTCTATTACTTGTAGTACAATAATTTTACGTGACAAAAATACTAAATAATTTTGTTGCCATCATTTTTATAATGTTAACAAATAAAATTTTTTAACAAAAATATTTTCAAAATATTTTTATTTAATTTAAACAAGAAATTTACAAAATACAAAAATAAGAAGCATCCTTTTTATTTTTAGAAATCATAGAACATAAATGAGCTTTCTGTTGTAAGTAATAATTCTGTTAAAATGTTTAATGGAGCTTGATATCAAAATATAAATATTTGTAGAATATTATTTATTATCATGTGTGCTTTAAATTATCCTAACATTTGTAACATACGTCATTGTCTGTTACATATTAAGACAAAATAAAAAAGATATATTTAACTTCCATATGGACAAATTCGTTCATTGCTATAGCAACATAATTTCGAGCTCATCATTTAAGTTAAAGTTTTGAAAACCGCAAAAATATACAGGGTTTATTTGGGAAAATTAAAAATTTTAAATATATGATATGAAAATTTACAAAAATTATTTTCAATTTTTATATATTCCTTACTTTTTTAAGAAATATACACAATATATTGCTTTTTATAAAAGATAGACCTTTTCATTTTTACCGATTTCACAAGTACTACTTTCATTTTACAACGTATTTTCAGTATTGCCCATATGTTCTGTATTGGGCCATATTTTATGAATGAATTGTAAATATATTAATATTCCATATCGGTCCATAAATAATCGGAATCCAGTTTTTATAATCAAAGGCAGGCAAACGAGGTCTTTATATTTATATTTAGTAAGCTCAATTCGTGTAAGCCAGGAAGCATTAAACAATGGAGCTGTGGTAATACAAAGACAGTTATTAGGTTTTTTATGGACTCTACGTTTGGGTCACAGTTATAAAGAGGAATAAAACCGTAACTGGATTGAGCTTCATCGAGATTAGAGTCAGAATTTGAGAGAGCTTTTGATTCATTTATTGAAACAAGTTATGGGATAGCTAGTTGAACCGAAGAATATAATAAGGGTCGTATAATATATTAATTATGAATTTGAAGTTAAATAACAAGTATTGTAATAACAAAGGATCTCGAATTATATCAAAGGTAGAGAATATTGATACTACAGATCTCTCTTTTATATTAATTACACCTTTTATGGTAAATTCCTCATTTCATAAACTTTAATTATTTTTTTTACTAATTTAGTCATTTAATTAAAAGATTAGGAACTTATTGTTGGTAATCATAAAAAATTTCGACAGCTCTTCGTGTCGTACAAATCGCACTCTACATTAAAGTTGTATGAGTAAGGTCGTTGGCATATTTTCGGAAATATTATTTCTTATTTTAATACATAATAGAATTTATATTCGATAGGACAATTTATACAATGATTTCCTTAATCCTTGACATTAGAAATGCTGATATCTTTCCCTTCTTGTAGAACATATGCTTTTAATATTCTTTCTAAACCTGAGTTCATATAAAGATCACATCTGCAAGTTTCCTTTTCATCGTTCTGTGCCATGTACCAGCTTTCGGTATTGACTCGCAACTCTTTAGAAGATCGTACCTTAGCGTTTCCCCTGATGCATTTTTTATAAGTAATTAAGCCAAAAAATTCATTAAAAAAAAATTTTATTGTTATAATTTTTATACTAATTTATCCTTATACTTTAAAAAAGTTCCGGTTTTATTACAAAATCCTTTTGTTCACAGACTTTGGATAACATATAATATTTATATTTAGGCCTAGTGTGAGTTCGATTAAATTGAGGTAAAGTAAATTGAAATTTCCTAGGGATTTTTTGCACTGCACTTATGTAAATATTTATTTATTTATTTATAAGTGTTTATTTTATAAGTGTTTTATTTTACACTTATTAAAATTATTTGGTCACAAAATTATTAACATTTATTTATTTATTGCACTTATTTATTATTTTTGGTCAAAAGTTTTCAAATTTATTTATTTATTTATTAAACATCTTATAAAATTTTCACAATGGTAATATATAATTTACCTAATTTTTATCTAATTTACTCTGCTCGAAATTCTGGTTAATACTAATATTCGCTGCCATACCGACATAATTTACTATTTCCCTTTATTTACCATTAATTTACTTAAACTCGCACACGGCCTTAATAGTAATTTTATTTAAAAACTATATTATGTTATAAGCTTTGACAAGTGTTCGCAAAACAGTAAAAATATGATGTTTGATGGATAAATATTATATGAATATTATTCATATATATTATTCATATTAGTATTATATGTTGTATTATATATTATTATTCGAGAACGGAATTCAGGTTAGTTAATATCTTAAAAATAACAACACAGATTTTTAAATGTAAAGCAAATAAATTTATGTATTCTTAATGAAATATTCGATTTAAATTTATAAAAATTTGTGTAAAAACAAGTATACTCAGACATCATAGGTTTTTCAATATTTGTTATTATTAACCTGTATAAATAAAATTCATTTTTCCTGTGCATATGTTCATATATTTACAAAAGATAAACTTTCTAATGTAAATAAAACCCTGTAAAATTTACGCAAAACATTATCATAATCAAATAATTGTGGATAGGAAATGTTCTATATAAAAGGAAACAATTAAACACACTAACCTAGTAGAGAAGAAGTTTTCCATCGGCATATTCTTATTCAATTTATAAAAAAGATATTTTACTAGTGTCAGTAATATATGTGCTAAGAGTCAAATAGGAAGTTATTAGCAATGAAATTAAGAAATTATGTTTATATATTATTCATATTTACACAGGCTCTGGCAATACCCATTAAGGTAAGTTTTTAATTTATATTTGATTATAAAAACAAAACATAAAAATTGTCTATAAATTATTTCAGAAATATTTAATTCATTTTGAAAGCAAGGTTTAAAGGTTGCGTTTGCAGTGAATTATAATATTTCCTAATACTATAAATTTAAATTATTTTTTTTAATATTCTTTCAAAAGAATCTTAAACTGATATGTTTAATTGAATTAAATTAAAAATTAAATAATTTTTTCCATTTTCAGGTATTACTACCCTCCCAAACGTCTGATGAAACAATCGCTCCCAATGGTAATATTAATATTTACTATTTATAGATTCATTAAAATTAATAAGGTTCTTCAAAAGTGTTTTTTATTTCAACTTAAAAATTAGTTTCGTATATAGGTTAAAATTTTTTTTTTAAATAACTAACTCTTGACTATTATTTGAGTCGAAATTTTTGTTTGATTATTTGAGTGTCTTTTGTAAAATTATCATAAAATTATATTGAAAATATATTACTGCAAAACCCGAGTGTCCTACTTTTAACGCAGAGTCAAGTCAAAGTCAAAGTATATAACTCGAATTCTCATCCTCTTCCAGAGCAAGATAACAAATCAAGCAGACATATCTTGTGAGGTATAGCATAGGGTAAAATGTTCGATCAAATAATCCCAATCATCAACCTCATCTTTGGCTTGCTAATCCACTAGGTTTTAGCAGTTGTTAAAAATATTCTCCTAGTAATGTTTTTTAAAGAATCTTAAAAGTGAATTCAAATTAAAACGAGAACTTAAATTCAAGACAGTTTTAAGATTTTGAAATTTCATAAAATCTATAATATATTAAGTTTACCATCTTATCATCTCTCTGCATATAAGGTATTTTGAATTTATTGATTTTATAAGATATAGTAAAATATGACTTATTTGAAATGTATGAGTTTTACGGGTTTAAGCAACTTTTTTGTCATATGAAATGAGTTTTCTTAGTTTTGATTTATTTAAAAATATCTTAACAATTTTTGCTTATATTTATTTAAATTTAATTGTTATAATTTTTTATTTTAATTTCTCTTATTTTTTAAAATTTATTTGATTACAGATTTTCAACAGAATTATAATTATTTGAACACTCCCACTTCTAATGATTATTTTAAAAAATATATTTATTTGATGCTTCCTTCTGATTACAAAAACTTATTGGACCATAAATTGTATATAAAAAGAAGTTTAGATAGTATTGCCGGAGGACATATCATTAGAAAATGAAGCCTTTCACATAAATGACAAAACATAAATAATTCGATTGTAAAACATTTTATTTATTTCTTATAAATTATATTATATTATATTTAGTTTAAATAATTATATATTACATTTATATTATATTATAAAATATTAAAAAGAAAATATATTTTGAAATTATAAACAAAAACCATTTAATAACATTTTAATATTTTTAATATAATTTTTCAAAGCTGGCTTTAAAAAAGCAATGAAGGAATATGTATTGATAAGGTAATTTAAATAACATATACTTTTGTACTTTGTTATTTCTTTAAAAAACTCATATTATTTGTCTATATTTTGTATTTGTGTTCACTGAACATATCTTAGTGCAAAATTTAAAACAAAATTAAATTGTGTTTTCAGCGCTGTTTGCTTTCGATCAATTTTGTATTCATATTGTATTATTAAAATATTTAGAAAAAATTAGTTTCCAATATATAGTTTGTGAGTAAAGGGTAATACAACAAATAAAGGCGATATTATAAATATATTTTTGCATGCATCTACTAAAATATTTGGCTTTATATTGAAGAAATCAAATGCGGAATTTAAATATGAATTCGAATACATATCATTTCGTGTTTGCAGTGTAGAAAAATTAATTTCAAAATTACACACCATTTGACCAAAAACCATTCTAGGTTAGGATGTAGCGTCGATCACTTCGACTTATTGGCCTATTGTGTTACCGTATATGTAGGAGAATACACAGGGTTTAAAACCGCCTAGAACCTTTGGCGAAGCTTAAAACGCTATTTAGTGTCCGGTCTTACAATTTATAAAGATCCTCAAGAGAGGGGCCTCCTAAAGTGGCGCCTCCGTACATGAGCTGAGCAAAAATATAGTAGATGAGAGGCACTCTCATCGTCTTCCCCACAGCTGCGACAAGTTTAAATGAAGGGGAGACATGTTTTCCTATTATACAGTTACCTGTAAGTAAACCTATCAAAAGACAGATATCTATACGGGGTATCTCAATGAGAATTCTGGATTTCCTTTTATCGGAACGTGCCAGATTGCATACAGATGCCTACATATCGTTGAGTCTTCTCATCTTTTATTAAAAATTTTAGCACAGAAAGAACTCAGTAACAGTTTACAATAGAAAATTTAGCATCGCATTTAATTTTATGAACATATTTACCTTAAGCTATTTCTTACTATTTGATAGTAAAATTTAACGGCAACTTGTAAAAGTGATTATTATAATCATTGAATAATAAATTAATCACAAATAACATAATCAATCTAACCCTTATCTAAGATTTCTATACCGTTTTTATATTTTAAGTTGGAATTCTTTTCAGACCTGCTGACAGGTAATAGTCATATGTATGCAAATCTGGTGATAAACCTGAATGAATTTCCAATTTGAAGAAATTTGTCTTTCGTAACCAATAACTTATAACATGGTTTATCGTTTTGGTGAAAAAGTTTTTAATTTAAATGCATCGATAATCCAAAATAATATTAACTGTCAATACTTTTTGTTATATGAAAGTATTCCATATGTATTATCAAGCTCATCCCTAAATATAGAGACCATTCTGTTATTGGCGGAAATGTGATTGTTTTTGGGCAACTGTGAACCATGTGCCCATTTCGTTTACAATTTTTGCATCATTATATTTTTATGTAAAATACTTGTACGTTGCTTTCCTAGAGTAACTGCCGAATTCTTGTACTCAGCGCTTTTAATATCAGTGGCGCCTGAAGGGCCATATTTAAACTCAGCAAACCACTGACAGTACCTAATCAAGACATACAATTGTTTGTTTTTTATTGTTTTACAAATACCAAAAGTATCGTCACATAAACTCCTTGAACTCAATGGCTAATGATCGGAACGCCAAGAATATCGACCACCAGTATTATCATTTTCTAAAAAGTAATGGTAAGAGGAGCGTTACCTGATGAATACCGTTTGAGAGACACTGAGTTATTTGATATATTTAGTTATGAATTAGTCAATAACACTATTGAATATGTTGGTTTTGAAAAACGTATAGATAAACTTAATATTACTAAAATTTTATTATATTTTACGTCATAATCACTATATTTTATTTAAAAGTTTAATTTTTTTATAAATTAAGAGCGTTATCAAATCAAGAACTTCCGCAACTTCTACGGGTTTCAAGGAAGGACATTTTTCAAGATCGTGAGGTCATTCATCGTTTTCAAGGTATGTTTTATTAAATTAACAATTTATAAAATATAGTATAAAAATGTAAATATACTAAGTCTTGCACTATATATCGTAACTAAATTATTCGAAATATGTTAAAAATTGAAACTATTTTGTAGCTCTTCGGGACAATTGTTGTAACAAATTGGATCATAAAACGAAAAAAAATTTTGATGAAATTGATAAAGTGTCATCCAGTTTTAGTACATTTAATCAATTGCTGTAATTCGATTATTTAAAAACTATGCTTATTGTTCTCATATATAAATATATTTACGAAGCCCTGGACTATTAATGGATTTAAGAAAATATATATATATATCTATATATATATATTTAAAAATTTAAGTTAACCTAAGATATTAATAAACTATTTTTCGTGTACCTATGAATATAATGTATTAAATGTATCAAAAATGGTATGATTAAAAATGCTAAGAAAATTTCATTTATCTGTATGTCCACCATTTACAAATGTTAGTTATGAATATTGTAAAAGATAATAAAAATTTTTTAAAAATATGGTTTTAATAAAATAACTGACTGGTTGTCAAATAATGAATATACCCGAAACTGTTTTAATAGATTTGTATTTCAGCTATAAAAATCATACTTAAGTAAAAACCGTGACTTTACCGAAGTTAAAAAGAAATTAGGTCATCTTCATTTTTTCAACATTATCATCATTTTCAACATAATTAATCATTCTGATACTATTTATGATAACAATCTCCTGTTTTGTAGTTGTACGATAAACAGTTTTTTAAACATAATAACGTCCAAGATGCTATAGTTGACTTATTTATTATATGCATATAAAAACTATTTGTCTTAATAGCAAAAAAATTATTGCCGTAATTCAGATTTAATTATGACGTAATAGAATAAGAAAGATGTAAAATGTACTATACACTACACTACTGCACAAACTACATATATAATAAATAATAAAAATATATATAATATGTGAAAAAAATAGGAAAATTTTGATGTAAAATGAATGAATATTTTAATAAAACCGAAAGCAAGATATATGCCAAGTTTAATGTTGTAAATATGTAGGTTATATACTTGTAGCTTTATATATACGGTAGCATGTACGGATTACAGATGAAAAATTTCTGGTTCCCAAAAAATGTTTATCACATTTTTAAAGGAGATGATCTGATGACGACTCGTGAATAATGATATGTAACAAAAATAGCTGGAAAACGTATATAAATACCTTAAGATCCTGATAAAAGTATGGATTTAATAAATTATAATAATATAAACGTTAGAATAAAGAGGATATCGTAGATCGTGATCCTGATGATGACTCTCAAGGAGAGTCGAAATATAGAATATAATAAAAAATATTAAACTTTGAATTATTTAGCAAAAAGGGACTTATAGCCGGATTAAAAAATATATAAAAATCATTATAATAATAATAATTATTATAAGTTTTTTGATTGTTACTGGACTTATGTCTTTTATTTACCACAATTAATAATTAATTAATAATAACAATTACTTTATAATAATCATGTTATTTAATGAGTGGATTTACTTGAAATAATTTCAATTTTACTTAATCTCTTTGATTTATGTCTGTCAATTTGGATCATCGATTTGTTGTTATTAATAAAATCATTCGTAGAACAATTATGTATTATTTATAGATGAGAAGAAAATTGTAGAAAATAATTAATTGCAATCGCGACAAACTTAAGAGGAAAATGTTATTTTTGTTTTAAATTAAATAGAATTCATCCATTGAAAACAGATAATATACTTTTCTTGATTACTTGCTTATAAAATGCAAAAACTATTAATAATATTTATAAACTGATATTTATTAAATGTATTCTAGAAATATATGATCACAATTAATTAGTGCACTTAAATAATCGTAAATAAATACAAATATTTTATGTTTTTAACAAATCAGTTAAAATTTTAGTTAAATTTGCTAGTATAAAAAAGCGTTTATTAATTTAGTAACAATATTATAATATTTAAATAATAACAACCATGAAGCGCTAAATATATAAGCAACTTTCAAAATTTCTTGAAACATCTTAAAACTATTATTCGTTGGACGCATTCGATTGATTGCCTATTCTTTTAATCAAATTGCATCAATTAAAGATTAAAAAAATTGGAATAATAAAAAGTGTTGCAAAAACATTCAAACTAGCCCCTTTGGATGACGTAGTCTTCGTCAAATTCAAAGGCAAATTTCCAAAAGTAATTACGCATTCATATTGATCAACATCATCATCATCATCATTAACTACTGCAACTGTCGATGCGTTGTAGTAACCGTTTTGGTCTTCATTAACTTGTGATGATATAATCGATATCGCGTCTCCATCATCAGAACTATAATTTAGAAAATAATTCATTATAAAAATATTCCAAATATGTAGTTTTATTATAAAACTCACCCTAACGATATCATTGGTTGAGGATATATATGCTCAATACTACATTCTAAATGTGTCTCATTTTGTATTCTGTTATGAAACAAGTTGAGTGTATAATTTGATATATCGACAATTTGTAGTTTCTTCTCTTTCGAATATGTCCCTTCTTTGCTTTGGACTAAACATCTATAAACTCCACTTGTATCTATTGTAACATTGACTAAAGCTATGCCTCTGTATTGTTGATCAGGATCAGTGGATATAGCAAAGTTTTTTTCAATTTTTCCCACAAAATTTGGCTACAAATTAACGATATAGAAAAATATATATCCATTATTTTATTTTAAAAAATTCATGGTTCAATTTTTTATTTCTGAAAGAAAATCTAAATAGTCAATAATATAATTCAAAGCATATATATTAATTTAAAACAAATTATTATACTTATATAGTTCTTAAAATTATTAAAGGCGTTGCTATATAACAAATATTTACAAAAACTGATGGTGGCTGTCCCCGTATCCATTGATAAGCTATTTCGCCATCCTTTAGCCATTTGACGACCAGAAAAGATTTATTATCTTCTATTTCATAGTGACAATCTAATATAACTCTTAAATCATCATCGTCCTCATTATTTATATGAACCATAGGCGGTACATCAACTTCTTTCAGTATTACACTTGCTACACCTAGAATGGTAAATAGTAAAAACATATTATATACCTATATGTATATAAAGATTTTATTAAATAGTGCATTAACCACCAACGACGAGATAACTTATAGCTTCCAATCTTGTGTCAGTCTCCATTTATGAGTTATTTTATAGTTTGTACAGGTTTGATTTAATTAATCATACGGATTAATAGTGTCGATATGAAGAAATAGCACCACAGAAAAAATTAAAAATTCAAGTTAAAAATTATTACTAAAATTTTTAAGATAACCTCTTACGCAAAGAAATACTGTTTTCATAAATTAAATAGATGTAAATTGTTTAAATTGGATTTTCATATCATTATCCTAAAACAAACTGTGGCAGTCAATATATTCAAGAATGTTAAATTTATAAATATATTTGTCTTATTTAGATGTAAACCTAACCATTTCGGGTTATACCATTGCCAAAAAAAGTTCTAGATAATATACAGTTAAACTTCCATAACTCAAAGTACCATTTTGCAAAGAAAAGGTTGGACTTATGGAAATTTTGAGTTAGAAAATAGTTACACTTTAAATTAAATTTGAATTACTCCCTGATCAAGTGATTGCAATTCAGAGGTCATATTCGGCGGAAGAAATACTAATTTTATGCATTTGCACAAATGCTAGCGACTGGCATTTGCACAAAGAAGCAACATAAGTAAGAAAAAAATTAAACATTTGGTTTAGAAAAAAGGACTTCCCCTAACATCAAACTGAATTCATACTTAAAACAAAAATTCGACTAATGGGACACCCATTCCCACATTCCGATTGGCACATTAACAATATTTTTATTCGAGTTATAGAAGTTCGAGTTATGAAAGCATATTTGCATGTAATTTGCTCTCTTAAACTCTGTTGCACACTTTTTAGTTCGAGTTATAGAAAATTGGAGTTATAGAAGTTCGAGTTATGGAAGTTTGACTGTATTAATTATAAGTGTTAATTACGTTAAAACTGTCAAGTACGCCTTTTCTTCGTATTATTTTCCATACATGCAAATTAGAGATTTTTTCAAATAAATAATAATATACACACAAAAATAAAAATAATTCCTAATAATAACTAAAATAATTGATTACTTAGAATTAGAATCTAAAATCACTTATATTTAGAAAAAATTACTCCTAACAACGAAAAATATGCAACATATGTCCATGTTAGCAAATGAAAGTAACTGAAAAATTTATCTTAGGTATACACAGTAACTAAGTTTAGTCAAACTTCTGAAAATTTTTTAAAATTTTACGCTTATAACACATTTATTAATGTATTTTATATAACTAATATATACAAATTTTATGACATCATTTAGGAATACAATTAATTTAATCAGCAATTAGTAACAAAATAGCTGCATATGTATTTTCACTTGGGAATCTACTCCCCATTGAGAAATTGGAGCGTGTCCAACTACCCTTGCTATTAACATATTTCGCTAAAAAATATGTAAATAAAATTTATATTTATATAAGTAATATCTTGCTTCAATAACGTACAGCTTTTAATATTAAAATATATAAAATATTATATTAAAAATCTGTCGATCTATAAATCTGTAAGCAGGGCTGTAAATATTTGCAGTGGATCCATCAACAGATAATTAGGTTGGTATCATGACATTTAAAAGTATAGAAGTTGATTTATTAAGGATAAAGATTTGACGATCTCGGTTCAAGCCGTTTAATAGCTTGTATATATATAAATGTTTTACTATCATCGGGAAAGGAATTTCTTCAAACATAACATAGTTGCATTGCATTAAAAGATCAAATTAGTATGAATGGATAAACATAGCATTATTCGGTTTCAAGTATGGAATAATGAGATTAATATTTAATTGTTAGTGAACTTATGACTTCTTTGTATAGACACCAAACAAAAACTAATCGTACGATATGCGTTTGACAGAATGTATATAAAGTGTTGCCAGCTTGAAAATAAAAAAATTTACCGATTGAATAAGCGCGAGAATTCAAAAATTAAAATTCTCGTTCTTTTTTGATCATAAGGTGATGTTTTTAAGATATTCAATTATAATGAAAATTTTGGTTGATCTTTGACGACTCTGATAGCATGGCGAGTCTATATTAGAACTACAGCGGACTGGATTTGGATTCAAGTTTTACTAGTGGTTTGTCTAAAAACACGCTTTAAAAAAGTATCAAAAAATCCTAGTAGCTTTTATTAAATAATATTATATTCTAGTTTTATTTTATTATTTATCGATTCATTTATACATAGGCATATCGAAAATTTCAGAGCATTGTTTTAATTTTAATATTGAATGGAGCTTTAAGTTTTCCTTAAATTGGTAAAAATTTCTATTACAAAATCTATTTGGTGTTTTAACTTTATCTCATAATACTAAGAAAAAAGAGGTCTATGCGTAGCTAAAGTCAAATGAAATTTATTAACCTAACCTTAGTTGATCTTGATTAATTTAAACATAGTTTCGATGGATCACAAATTTTAGTTGGCCAACGCACAAGTCATGATTTATATCCTTCAATTTTTTTGAATCATGTTTATGATTGCTGAGTTCTGCTAAGATGTAAACAGTCATCATCGTAAACTTGGTTCAAAATTAAAATTATTTCGATAAAAATTAAACCAAGTTTAAAAGGCTGATCTTAAAGTTTAATTTATTATATTGCTCATATTGTATATTGAAATTAAAATAATGTGATTTAAAAGACATCAGCTCTGAAATTTTCGATATCGATAAATAATGAAATGAAACTAGAAGATAATATTATCCATCAAAAGCTTGAAATCTTCTACGTATATATACCTGAAACTATGAACTTCGAAAACATAACTGCGAAATACAACTGCGAAAATATAACTGCAGCAATACTCCTGCAACAGCAATATTCCAAGAGCTGGTCAACTGAAGAATGTATATGAATGATAACAATCAGATACCAATCGAAGCACATATAACATAAATGTAGCATATATTGAAAATTTTCATTTAAGTTTATTTTCTCCCGTTGAAAAATAATGGAACTAATTACGATAAGAAATAATAATTGTTTAATAAACTAACCAAGTAATTTTAATACATACCACTTTTTTACTACAGTGGTTAGTAAAAACTTAAGTGGTTAGATGAACTTAATATCTATCTGTTTTTTTTTGCTTTCACTTCTATGCACTATATATAATCGTATAATGTTTATTTTAGACAATGTCGAACATCAGCATATGATAAATTATTAAACTAAAATACTAAAACCATTTCCTCAAAGAATAATTTCACATAATCGGTTACATATTGGTCACTGTTTGTTTGTGCCTATTTATTTTTATTTTTGTTATCCACAATCATAAGTTGTTTCTATAAAAGAAAGTCAAGTCCAGTTAAAACATTTCTCTAGAAAAATTAGAGTGTACTTAGATTGATCTTATTTCAGTAGTTACTCATTTTAGTGTAAATTATATCCTTGCTCTGAGCGCTTTTGAGATTATTGACGTAATTTAAATAAGCAATTCACTACTAATGTAAGATATTTATATATTTTTGCAAATCTGAAGTTTTTATGTATACACGCCCATACGCTTTAAATAGTTTATAACGTTTTTATTTTATTTTTTTACTCTAACAGCAAGTTAACAGTTTTTCCGTTCACCAAAAAATAACGAATTCACCATTTTTAGTGTTGTTGTCAATAAAACGAAATTATTAATGAATTTCTTATTATTATAAAACAAGAGTAAATATATAATATTTTATTACCTCCGCATAAATAAAGGCAAATGACACAAATAAATAAATTACATACGAAACGCATTTTATATATTAAATAAATTAAATTAAAATTCAAAATTGGTACCGAGAGATATTGTAGGTATACTATGAAACACTTACAAATATTAACTAAATAACGAGACCAAAATAAAATATTGTGTATAAAATTGTGCGATATTAGGCTATAATGTACAATACGAGCGTGTACAAAACAAACATATTTGTTCCATTTCGTTGCTCTTTTGCTGATCACTCAACCATGTGTCCACACAAGCTTTCGTATATACTTATAGCCATGTACAATATATGCCTATTGTATGAATAAACACAGAGCAGAACCGTTTGTAAGGGTGCTCAGAGGATCATAACGATAAAAATAGTTTACCATTGAACATTGCAGTAAGCGGGCATTTATAAGCGAGCCACATTGAAAAGAATAGCAACAGTTCTGCATATATTTTCCAAAGAGAATGTTCATTTGAATAAAATAATACATTAAGCTAACGTAGACATAAGTACAGTACAAATGCTGTAAAATATAAAAGTGACGCATTTTGAATTTATTCAAAAGCTTAAATATTTATAAATACACATATTAGCTAATTAATAATCATTTAAACAAAATGTTTAAAGTAATGAAAAATATATCTATATAATATTAAGTTAATTTTCTTAATTTAAAATTAATGAAAAAATTAAATAAACATAACTTTTAAATGACCAGTTTTTATATTAATATAAAAAAATTGTCTTCAACATTTACTAAAGGAACTAAATGAGGCATTAAATATTTTGTTTACTCACTTTCTAGTATTCATTGACATAGATATATGTCCAAAAATATTTATGTATTTATGTTGCAAATTAATAATTAGCTTAGTAACATTTACATGACTTTCTCAGTATAACGTTCCTAGATTAGGTTCTATACATAAGAAAGAATATATAAATCATGCAACAAATAATGCCTCTACAAACAGAATAGTATTGAAATTTAACAATTTAAAATAAAAAAATATAATTAATTAATTCAATTATTCTACAGCTGGTTTATAATTTCTTTCTCACATAAACACAGCAAGTGATTTTGTGAATAAAACTTTCACAGCAAAATAACAAAACTCCAGAACATTGTGCGAACATAAATGTCAAGTACGGCTTTGGGTCAGATGGTTAAGGAGCGCTGACTCTGAGCTTCAAATTTGGCAGGGCACGAGTTCGATTGCTGGTACTTGCAGTCACAAAAAATTTATTTACGAATAATTAAATACAAGAAATATTTCCAAGCCCACTAATGATGGGTATTTGGCAGTACTTGAAACAGCTGTATGGTCAGTCAAAAATTCAAATAATTAAAATAATATAAAGTGAATTTTTGTTGTTGTAGTTCAGTACTGTTGGAAAAACCTCTATACTTTTCTTTTTATTAAAAATGAAAATGTTATATATGATGTTTTCTACAGATATTCTAGTGATACTTTTAATTCTTCTTCTTCTTTTATCCTTATCTCCCAGTGGAGCATAGGGCCTCTACCATATTTTTATATCGGATTCGGTTATTTGATTCGCGGCATATATCACTTCAGGATATTTTTTTTATTTTTAATTAAAAAAGAAATAAGTTTTATTTTAACATATTTTGTTTATACATCAGCTTACAACTCTTTCACATACAGTCGCTATAGCTAAAAATTACTAATTACATTTCAAATTGATTTACCATTTCCCTTAACTCTTACTTACCAATTTTATCACCGACTATGTTTTGTTTCTATGGTTAAAAGTTTGGCGTAATTTGTATTATGGTATTGTTATATCAGGTGGATATTTTAAAAACATTAACACAATGAACTATTTAAGGGGTTAAAGACATTAAACCAAATAGGTACGAATCAAAATAAGGAAAAATAAAAAGTGTAGTCAAAATTTTTCAAACAATCCGAAGGGTGTATAACTAGCTAGTACATAATGTTATTTAAAAATGTTTATATGGTACAATTTAGGGATTGGGATGTTAGTTCTTATGCGATAGCTACAAAATTCTATTATCTTGGTCATATAGTAGGATCTTGTAGTCTCTGATGACATCTTCCTAGCAATAACACTTTTGTCATAAATGGAATGATGGTTCCGCCTTCGTTCTCTATATTTTTTAAAACACTATCAATCTATACGGTAGAATTTTGATTTGGTCGAACCAGAAAACATACAAAATCATCATATACAATAATTTTCTCTCAATAGGAAGAGGTATGAAAAAATTTTGTAAAACCAATAAAAGAAAATATTTAATAAGATTTGCCTGCTTGGAATATACTGTTTTCTCAAGTAAAGTATAAACAACTGCGGAAAATACATAAAATAAGAAGTGATGTAAATGTGTTAGAGCTTAAACATAATCTACTCAGGAAAAAATCGAGATTAACTAAGTCGTATCAGGTATCATTCTATTTATTCATTAAAACATAACAAAATTCATGGGACCTACATATTACTAAAAACTAATGAAAAAAACTGGCAAGTTTTAAAAGAAGACGGATAAAAAATCTTTTTAGTATTATTAAGTTTTTAATTATTATTATTCATTTTATATTGATATAAATAATGCACATTATGTGCTGATGCAATCAAATAACTTAGCATACATATTTTAAAATAATTTTCAGTTCATTACTAGAGAGCGATTGATATTATCGCATACGATATAACAGTGATGTAAAAATATTATTACATATGTAACGCAAAAAATCGGTGACTATGTTATGTATATAGAATGCCAAGCGAGAAAATGTCGAAGAAGATATGGGTGCTGGGGCATAATTGTGGATAGAAGAAGAAAAGAACAAAAAAGATTCAATAGTTTAACTACATGATAAAATATCTGGAAGCTGTGGGAGTGAGCAACTACCGCTAATTAGCTACTGATCATGTTGTTTAGAGGATGATAGTAGAAAAAACATGGCACACAGGTTATTATAAATAATAATGAAATAATATTTTTTTAAGAACTTAATTTACATCATATATAATCAGACTAGAAACAATTTTGGCTTTTATATAAAATTATTTTTATTTTAAACCAAATTAAATATTAAAAACAAAATTTATGGAAATAAAGGAATAGATTTGTATAAAATACATTATTTTTAAAAAATATAATTTATTAATTTCTAAAAAAAGTTTATTTTTGTTGTGAAATATGGTAGCTTCATTTGCAGAAAGTTACGTTAACCCTGGTTTTATTGATTTGTGGTGTTTTGAGTTACAATGCCAATAATGTTGTAAATTTTTTTGTTTGCTTGTTTTGGCGAGTGCGCACTAATCATATTTTTCTATACAATTAATTTTTTCCTAACGCTATATCTTATCTTTAATTGTAATTACTGTAAATTTCAATCAAATGTATTTAAAATCTGTTTTATCTTTTAATTAAATATTTATCGAATTCATAAAAATTGAAGTGAAGAATCATATTGTGATTTCGTAATTTTTTGGAGTCAACTTTAAAAATGTTGATTAATCAACTATGTAAAATATTATCCTTTTATTTATGGTTAAACATACAAAAAAATAATTTTTTTAATTTTTTTCTTGTAGTTAACAATAAGCTTAAAATGTTACTAAGTTTTTTTTTTGAAAACTTTTATTTGACATTGAACTTGCAGACAACAAAGTATTTTTAAAAAACAAATATATAAACGCACATGAATATCGTCATTCAATTGTTGCGCACAAAATATTTGATTGATTTATCCTGGATTCTTTGAATACGTGTTAAACTTTAATTTATAATATAAAAATAAATTGAATCTTGAAACAAACTGGAAGAGAGAAGTGCCAAAAATGATTTATAATTAAATATTTATATGCATATTTCGTGTTTTGACTATTTTCCAATCACCGCAGCACTTATCCTTTGAAACTGTCTGATAGAATAATTTTAATTGTGATTATATTAAATGCAAAAAAAAAAAATATTTCCACAACTTAAAATTGTTATAAGAAAATCTAGCTAACAATTTATTTGCTTTCATTTATTAATTATTATATATATTATAAAGTTATTAATTCAAACCATGATGTATACAGTTCAGATACAAAAGTATCAAGTGATGAATATACTGTGAATACAGAAAAAAATTACATTTTGTAGTTAAAAAACAACAAACAAAATCTAATAAAAACTAAAAATATATAGTAAGAAATTCAACAAACAGGCAAAAACCAAACAACAACCCCATGAATCACCCACCACGCTACAATTGTTGTTATTGCGTTTAAGTACTTTAAATTATGTCTATAGAAATAATTAAAAAATAAAAGTTCTTTAGATGAGAATAGGTTGTAAAGTGAATAACCACTATCAAATCGTTAATTTCTCTTACCTGAATTATCACTTAGCTACCCAGAAGCAGCACTACTTAAATCAATTAAGTAGTTAAGAAGTACTGAGATATTAGTAAAAATTTAAAATAAAGCAAGTAGAGTTAAAGGAACCTCTGTATTCTATTATAACCTATAAGTTAAGCGTTCCACGTTAAGCCTATATATTGGTGTGTGTATATTATGTTTTACATATTTATATTCAAGTATATCTAAGTTGTCTACATCGACGTTTAATAAATTTGTATATAAGATATTTTATAATTATTAAAATAATAATTGGTTGAGAAAAATTTTAAATAATAAACGGGAACTATTTTCATCTCAATTAAGCTTGCCAACATTCAATTGTAATGATATAAAAAATAGTTGTTGTTTACTAAACTTTGCTTATACATGCATTACAACTAATCACTTGGTCATACCACTATAACCACCGTAACCACAATTTTTAATATATTATTGATGGGACCTGTATAAACATTTTCATATGAATTTATTTAACAATTACTCGAATTTATGTCAAAATTTTTACGGAAACACATTGAATTTTTGCATATCTAGGATATAATTTCAATATATATTTTTACTTCTATATTACTTCTAATAGTTTTTAACCTCCAAAAACCTTGGTTTTAAACCTTCTATTATTCCCAAAATAATAGGCATTTTTACTTATATATTACTTCTAATAGTTTTTAACCTCCAAAAGCCTTGGTTTTTAACCTTCTATTATTCCCAAAATAATTGGCATTTTTACTTCAATATTACTTCTAATAGTTTTTAACCTCCAAAATACTTGGTTTTTAACATTCTATTATTCCCAAAATAAAAGACACTCTTGTAAGAAACTTAAAAAAAAATTACCACACTAATTAAATAAATAAAATTTTATCTTATACCATATATAAGATAATATGATATTGAACATATACTATAATGTTCAATAGTATTAGAAATGGATTCACACAGTCCCTTTAATTCTCTATACGATAATTTCAAATTCAGAATTGATTATTATAATTATACACAATTTATCATGTTTTGAAATGTGACACCCTGTTTATATGCCACCACATAGAATGGCAATAAGGTCAAGTGTGATATATTATATGTTGTATTTCCATGCAAAATATGTATTTAAAATATATACTTATCTTCTATTTTTAATCACATATTTAAGTATGTAATATATTTAAAATATTATATCTAAGTAGTATGACTATGAAATATAATTTATAATTAAATTTAAAAATGAACGACGAAAATTATTAACTTTATATAAGTAAAAACCACCTTTTAGAATTATAGAATGTCCAGTTTTATAAAAACATTAAGAATTATACATAATTATACTAATATAACAATTATTAAATTTAAATATAAAACATATTATGTATACGTAATTTATTTACATAATATATATATCGATTAAGATCTTTTTTATAATTTTTATTACATATATATATATATATATAAAATATATATATAAATATAAATAAAATAATAAAAATAAAAGCATTAAAAAAGATAACACATTTCATTTTATCTAATTACTTATTAATATTAAAAAAATTTTAGTACACTTGCTGATATATGTAATTTATTTTATTAATTTTTTTTTTTTATTTTTAGAAAATTTTGTTACCTGATATTGCAATTTCAAATGTTGTGATTATAATAGTTTGTGATTGATTTAATTATTATTATAAATGGTCGAAATGCTAAATGTAAAGTATGATGCACAGGTAATAAATTATATGATTATAGCAATATTAAATATATATAAAATATGTAATCTCCAATAATTATGATAATAAATTTTAGGCTTTAGTAGAAAAACAAAAGAATATGAGAAATGATGACAAAATATGGACCTTCGCACGAATAGGTCAAACCATCAATTTGTCAGTAGAGAAATTTATAGCTATAGGAGAAGTCATTGCACAGAATAATCCAGATATTAAACCAGACTTAAGTGAATCTTGCAAGGAAGCATTAAATGCGGGTAAGATTTTTAGTCGTATTATACGTATTATATATAATACAAAAAAAATATGGTATGGTACAGTTTTATCTTTTTTATGTAAAAAAAAACCTTTTGTACTTTTAGGAAAAACAATAGAACGCATATGTAAATTAACAACCATAGAGAGTATCAACTATCCTGACTTTAACGATAGTTTGTGCGATTTGGGTTCAATTACGAATGCAGCTAGATCTTTACTTTCTGCAATTACACGAGTATTACTTTTAGTTGATATTGTAATTGTTAAACAATTACTTACAACAAAAAAGAAAATTTCCGAGAGCTTAGAGAAACTTGAATCAGTATTAAACTTTGCCGAATTTGTGAGAGCCTTTACCATTTTCGGCATAGAAATGGTAGAATTAGCCTATTTTACAGGAAATCAGCAAAATGCTGTGAAAGAAGAAAGAAGACGCGCACAACTATACGCAGCAAGACAAATCTTAGAACACTCTGTAAATATTTTATTAACCTCTTCGAAAATTTGTCTAGTACATTGTGAGTGTATTAAAGCGAAAGAAAATCGAGATACTATTTTTTGTCAAATACGACGAGCAATGGATCTCATACATTTTGTTGTGAAAGACAGTATTTTTAGTTCTAGTTTGCTTGTGAAGAATGCTCACGCTATAAGCAGCAAACCAACCGACAGAGGTACCGTTTATTCAACGTTGAGATTCTTTACGTTTTTATTAGAACGTTTGCAGTATCGGTTGGATAATAATGAAATTGTAGATACTCCTATGGAAAATCGAAATGAAAAGATTGTATCAAGATACAATATGAGTCCATCATATTATCGTGATGATATGTGCAATGAACTATACAATTGTAATTACTTTAATGATGACAAAGCAATTTTTTATCCAAATCCTGAAACACTTTCAAGTACTGAAGTAAGAGTCGAATTGCTAAACGCTTTTGATAGGGTGCTGGAAAAAACGTATGATTTCACTGATTCGGCATATACAAGTCATGAGAATCGACAAAATATATTATACCTCTGCGATCAATGTAGAATTGAACTCAATAATATTGTAAGCAATTTAACTGTAAACAGACAGTACTCAGCAAATCAATATATTACGAAGCAGATTGATGGAATTTTGCAGACAGTCAAAGAACTGTCAGAACAACTCATTTTATCAGTAGCTGATCAAATAACAGATTTTTATCATTCTTTAAAAATGTCTTTGGAATTAGTAAATAACTTTCGATCTCTTGCAATTGAGCAAGATTTTCCAAATCTAGAGCTTTACTCGAATAAATTTCACGATTACTGTGATCATGTTATCGATATATGTAAACTACTACGTCATATAGCATTCAGTGAAACGCTACAAATTCAAGCTAAATGCTTGGCAGTTAATTTCAGAATATATGGACCACAAGTGCTAACGGCGGCTCAGATATTGGCAAAATATCCTTCGAGCACACCTACAATAGAAAATTTTGAAGCATTTGTAGAGATGTGGAAATGGCTTACTTCTGAGTTATTATCCCTAGGAAAACAAGTTTTGGATTGCACTAATGAACAAAGAAACGATAATACAAGATCTATTAAGGTAAGCATTAACTTCTTATTACTATTATAAAGGACGCACAGTTTTAAATCATAGACTGACCCGCTACTGGTTAAGTTACTTGATTTTTTATTTGTTGAGAATTTTAGCATAATATTATATATAAAAAAGAAACTTGTCTGTAAGCTTGTTATGTCTGAGTGTTCTGTTCAACCGATTGCATTTTTTGGAATTATATTATCATGTAGATGATGCTGGAATAAAAACATGAAAAAAGATTAATATATACGAATTTTACAGAAACTTATACAGTCCTGTCTGGATATTGTAAATGATTGTACTTCATCAAGGGTTATATGTTTTGTTCAAAAAATTATTATATTTGCTCAAAATACACATTTGTGTATGTTAATGTAAGAAATATTTAAATTATAGTATACCAGTATAAGCAGTAGTGTCTTAGCCTATGCGATAGCTTTATCGAAACTTTCAATAACTTTAGTAACTTCTGTTTTCCATAATTAGATTCTTCACTGGCTCGTCATCGTTCTCAAAATTAATGGGTTCGGCATCTTCCATGTAAACATTTAGGTGTTTACTATATCGAGTGTTTACTATGCCCAAACATTTGTGTATATATAATTTTTTCACTGTATTTTTTTAAATTCAATTTCAATTTTTATTTTTTCACAACTAATTAAATAACAATTTTATTTAACTTTAAGTTGGATTCATTTTTAATCTCTTGCTACACTAAATTTAAGTAATTTTACGATTCTTTCGTTGTTTATATATTTAAAGTAAAATCATATTTTTGAATTTGACGTGATAGTTAATTTATTTTTTCAACATCGTTTTTTAAGTAAAAACATTTCTTACGTAAAAATAAGGACGTATATTTTAAGACAGTTCTAGCCATGTATTCTAGGCATGTCACATGCATTCGACAAGAGAGTCACCCCGTAAAAACGGTCTATATAGGATGCCATCGATTTACCCGGCCCTACTAGTTCTATATAACATATAATCTAAGATTTGAATAAAAATATAGTAATTTAGTATTAATGTAACTAAAATTCTAATATAGGTTGTTCTTTGTTTTAGAATACGGAAAGAATACGAAAAACTTACGATGAACGTAGAGAAGTGGAGAAGGGTAATGAAGAGACACAAGAATTGGTTAAGAATGATACAAATGAAATGAACACTTTTAATCAAAAATGGAATGAAGATCTTAGTGATAATAATGATATTATAAAACGAGCTAAAAATATGTCTGCTATGGCCTTTTCTATGTATCAATTTACGAAAGGTAATGGCGAATTAAGAACAACGCAAGATCTCTTCACACAGGCTGAGTATTTTGCTGAAGAAGCAAATCGTCTATATAAAGTGCTACGACAATTTTCTTATCAAGTAAGTTAATGAATTAGAAATTTAAATAAAAATTCAAATATTTTCAATAAAAGGTTATTAATTTTTAATTTAAAATATTGTTACCTATATGAGTCAATATTTCTATTTTGTTGTCAAAGTTTTGAATACTTATCGCGACTACTTTATAACTTTATAAGGATCATAAAAAACAAAAACAAATTGGTAATAGATGTTTCAATCTCTAAGCTTTCAGAAACCCTTCATATATTTTATCATGATGCTATTTCTTTAACTTCTCCCACTTGCAGCTTAAATTTTGATGGCAGTGTCTCCAACTAGTGTCCTACTAAAAATCTGTTGTGAGATTGTATTTGTTTAAGCACCATATTGTAGTGATTTGAAATTCAATATAAAGTAGAATTCTATCTAATAAAACGATTTTGGTATAGAGAACGAAATTATATTCTCATATTATTCTATGGAAAATTATGATATAATAATTCTATATAGAATAATACAAGAAAATGAGATAAAACATTAACTCCCATAATCAATTTATTTTTGAGAATTTATGTACAATATTCAGTATTTAATAGAGAATTAATAAAATGTTACAGAATTAATAAAATTACAGATGCAAGACATTATCAATAGCTATTGTATAATATCTTATAATTATAATTGTTTATTTATCCAATTTATGGCATTCTTAAATCATATCGAATTTATTCCAACTACACTATAGGACCTATTACAGTTTCAGGATGTTTTGGTCTTTAATTAAATCTTCGCAATATGTATTACTACCGATTACAAAAATATTTAGTTACAATTTCATATATTTTTTATTGAAAATGTCTAGATAAACCAACTAAGGAATGAAAAGTCTTGTCAAATATTCTGTAAATATTCCATAGAAACCATAGAAAGTTTTGAGAAGTATTATATATAAATGATCTTATTGATTTTAAACTTTAGTTGAAACATATAAAACATATTAATCTGTTTTTAAAAATTATTTCAGGTTCCAGCAAGTGACAACAAAAAAGAACTACTAAACATATTAGATAAAGTTCCAACATTTGTACAAGCATTACAATTTACTGTGAAAGATCATACTGTTGGGAAGGCAGCAACCTTTGTGAAAGTCGATCATGTTATCAGAGAAACAAAAAATCTTATGGGAGTAATAAACAAAGTTGTGTCCAAGTGCTTTGAATGTGCTAATAAGGTAAAACTTATCTGAAATGATAAAAAAAACCAAAAATTAGTGTTGCAATAATATAAATATTTTTTTGAAAAAAATAGGTAAAATAAAAACATGCGGAAAAATATTCAATATATCACAAGGATAAAATTTATAAACGCAACGTTATTAAGTTAGATAAAAAATATGAATTATGAATTACAATATGAATAACAAATGTGGGATCCTTACATCGACCATTTCTAGAATTCAAACATATTTATTTTAATAATGTTATCTCTAATTTATTTTGAATTTAGCTATATAAGAATAAAATTTTTACCAAAGCGAAACACATTACTCAAAAAATAAAGCGATATAATTTTCATTGAAATTTTACTTAACCTTGAAGCAATATTGAGGTTTAAAATAATTTGTTTGCTTATAAAAAGAGATATTGATAGATATTAACATGTTATTTTGTTTAACGTCTAAGCAAACCAATACGAAGTTTTTTTTAACTATATATAACTTATTTAAAAAATATTTATTTGTCTTCGTGAAATATTTACTCTTTGTTACACAAAATTAAGTTTATTTTATTTTAAATATAATTAGGTATTAATATTACTATAAGCATACTTAAAAACTTGTGTGGTAACTGGAAATTAACATAATTTTTAAAGGTATTAACTTAATTATATACAAATGTAAAGAACAGTAACTTCATAGTAAAATATTTGTTTTAGAACACAATTTGAAATATTCTTAAATATACATACATATATTGTAGATATACCAATGAAGCTTGTAGAGGACTTAGATTTTTATAGTACTTTATATAGAATATTTCTTCAAACATTACAATCATAAACTGATAATGCATAAAATTCATATACATATATAAATTCATTACAACATAATATATATAAATTATATTTTTACATATAACAATTAATTTATATATATATATAATATTGAAAGAACTACCATAAAGTTTTTATCCTAACATTCCTTATGCAGATATTTTTCTCAGAAAATATTTATGATTTGTATGAAGCAGTTAAGGAAACTAGTTTAAAATAGTTTAAAAAAATAATTCGCTCTAAACAGTAAATAGTATTCTAAGCTTTTTTTCATATAAACTGTACTAAAACATATATTGAGCTAGTTTTCAATTTTTATTTTTTGGTTAATATTTTAATAATATTATAAATTTTTTCATTTCAGTACAAATTAGACTTTTCAGCACTGTCTGGAGATGTGGGTTCACGCACATTGCGAGGAGAAGAAAACACTGCCGCCGGTACAGCTGATTCGAAAGGATCTACGAATAGCACAGAGGGAAGCATGTGACATTACGGTATGGCTCGAAGAGCCAAGGGTGATGCAAGAAGAACGAGAGTGTCATTTTTATTATTTTAATTATTTTTGCATATTCAATCATAAAGACAAAACTATAATTCTAGTTATATAAACCGATTTAGATTTATATGAACCTCTATGTAAATTTACGTCTTTTTCAATATTTTTACATTAAAATCAAATGCATATCTTATCTTTGGTAAATAATGTTTTTATATATTATTAAAAATTATCATCATGAAGTAAAAAGAGTACGATTTTTTGTTTATGGTATTACGTTATTGTTTTTTATATATCTTTTATTAAGTGTTGTAAATTAACTAAACTAAAATTTTTTATTGTTAATTTAATTTCAAAAATTGTTAAATTAATCAATAATAACTTCTAAGTACTAAATGTTGTTAAGTATTATCAAAAGAGTGAAATAAATTAAAATTATAAATTAACTTTTTGTTTAAATCTTAATTCGAAAAAAATTAAATTTAATATTTTTACTGCAACAAATTGTCCAATTTGTCAATAAATCATCATCATCATCATTAGTGGTGCAACGATCGTAGTTGAATCTTGGCCTCCCTGTCAATAAATATTATTGAATAAAATTGTTGATAGCCTTATATAGGATCTTTAATACAATAACATAAGAATCAAATAATGTATGAAGTAGAAAAATGTAAAGATAAAAATTTTCTAAAATCTTATGACAAAAATATAATAATTACATTACTATTAGATTAACAATATTGTACTATCAACTTAGAAACTAAAGAAAAACTATTAATACAGTATAAATTGACCCGTACGGAATTTGTTCGAATTATTATGCCCCAATTCATATACATAATTTATTGCTTATAGTATTGTAGAGAGTGTTGATTATAGAATCTATTGATTTTATTAGTTATACGTTTACACAACTTACAACTTTTAATAAATAAGACTACTATCTGTGTTATAAGATTATTGTGCTCAGAATCAGATATAACTTATGTTAATTCATAAAATTGAATAAATCTGTTGTTTATAGACATTCCCTAATTATACAAAATATTTTAGTGTGTAATGAACTATAAAATAGCATAATCTTAGATATTTTAATGTTAGTTACATGGCGAGTGTTATATTGCGGTATAGTGCAATATAGCTGCATAAGATCTGCAGTATCTATTAACATATGTATGGTCACGCGTATCTTGTGTGAAAGTTATTTCAAGACTTTAAACATTGATTTTAGGCTTAAATAAACACATCTGAAAGTAGTTTTAGTTAATAAATGTTTTTAAAAATAAATTTTTGTAAAACACATCGCTCTTAAACATTGTCTATAGACCTTAAAAGTAGTTATAAGGTTTGAATGACGGTTATCAGGTGTCAGCAAATTTTAAAGTAGTGTGAATTTACATAAATTTCATTTCAAAAACTGACATAAAAAGGAACATAGGATATTCGAAAACATGGCCACAATTTGTGACCATGACATACCCAGTACCTTATCACATCATATATGTGTTTCCTTATATCGTCATGAGGTTAAATATAATTAAATAGTACATCTCTTTAAAGAAGACCTAGACCTATGTAATTGTATAATATAACTTTTTCAGCGAAAAATAATTATATATATATAATTATAAATATATATAATTATGTATAAACAAAATTATTAAAATGTTTATGCGAATATCTATACGAGCATGTAATTTAAGAGCAGATGACATTCAAAAGTAAATGTTTATAAAAACTGTCACTTCCACTATATTTTCAGTAAATGTGTCAAAATTTTATGAAAGTATTCTAATATGGCAACGCAAGAAATGAAAAGTCAAATATTCTTAGTGTATTAAAAAAATGTGAACGGTTTGCTTTACAACTTTTACGGAGGTATAAGTTGTTGTGTAATTTTTCAATAAAGTTAAAAACATTTATTTATATAGGTCGCTGTGAGAAAATGGCAGCATTAAGTCTTTGGCGACAACTTCGCCTAAATCAACTAAGACTTGGTACAAGTTTAGTTGTATTCGGCGACATCACACCATCGACATATGCAACAAACAGATGTGCCATAACCACATTCCGAAGTATATCCAACAATGACTTAAAATCTGAGAATAAGAAGCTTGATGTAATTTCATCTGTATGTCGCTGTTATTCTACAGAAAAACGTGAGACACCCAAACATGAAGACCTCGAACGCGTATATCGAAATTTAGAACACAATTTACCAAAATTGTTTATACAGCCACATGATTACTCAATATATAGTCCAAATCTTATATTTCAGAATAATATAACCGGTAAACATACTGTCGGTCTTTACCATTATGTAAAACAAATTGCTCTGTTGCGTACAGTTGGGCATTTAAAATACGCATATGTGAAATTCGAAGTACTAAAAATAACTAAACATACAGAAGACTATACCATTAAAATACGTTGGCGTGTACGTGGTATTTCTGGTTTAAAAGTAATGTTTAACTTTTGGAAATATAAACTTTGGCAGTTTAAGCAAATGTTTGAAGAACAAGAGTCTTGGTATGATGGATTTTCAATATGTTATTTGGGTGCAGATGGTTTAATTATCAAGCATGTTGTTGACAAAGTAATGCCGGATCAAACACAAGAGAAAGTTGGAATAAATCCATCACCGCCAACAATACCAGAAGGAAATCTCGCAGCAACTTCACCAAAGCTTTATTCAAAAAACGCAAACTAGTTCTTAATTAAATAGTTCACTGAAATATTGATGATTTATTTTTAACTAATATCGAGTTTAAATCAAATAATCAGCGATATAATTAATATATACCGATGTTAGAAATTCGATGCAGTAAATGATACTGTTTGGACTTGTTACTATAATATAAGATTGTCTTTTGGTTTTTTTAATTAAAATTATAGTATTTTTTAATCAGCTTTATTAATTTTTACTATTTTTATGAAATAAAACAAAACTTAGTAATCTTAAACTGTTACTATTGTGGAATTATTTCAAATATTTATAAACTTTGTGATTATAAAACCACAAAAGCTAAATCTCGTTTTCATTTTGGGTAGTACAAATTCCATCTGTAATTAAAAAGGAAAATGTATAAAATTTAGGATTATTGCGGAAAGTATACATTAACAATTAATTATTAGGAAAAGAATTAAATTGCCTTACGACACAGTTGCAAACAGTTTTGTCACACTGAATTAAAACAGCACATTTATTTTGGTTAATACCATCGCATTCTTTACCATTCCTCTTCATTATTAAAATTTTAATGAAGGAACGTTTAAAGTTCAATATCAGTTTTTATTTATAAAAGATGAGGTATTTAAATTTTTGAAAAGAATGAAGAAAACGATTTTAATAATGTTATATAAATACGTTACACATATTTAAATCCAAAAAATATCTATTAATTAACGTAATGAATCACACATAAGTAAGTATCCAATTTGTAAAACTAAACTTCCCTCTATTCTTACGACACTTCATTTAAAATTAAACTGATAAATTAAATTAGTTTTACAGATTAATTAAAATCTATTTAAATTCGAGAAGGTGACTTAATACGTCGAATACGAAAGTAATCCGTATTAAAAATATCAAATTTTTAAATTTTATATAAAGTTCAGATTTTAATCTACCGATCGTTTAAGCTCAAAACTTTAAACCGACTGTGTTCAATATAAAGTTTTCTGATTGTAATTTTAACATTTTCTTTATTTATATAAAGAAAATCAAATATATATAGAATATTCGTTGATAAAGTGATATAGAAAATATCGTAACAAAATCAAGAAAAAATTGCGATCATATACAAAAATCCGAAAACCAAAATAACCGTAATTTTTTCTTTCAAAGTTGTTAAAAAACAGCATTAAGTCCGGTTGAAACAAATTGCCATCATTTTTAAAACATTTAAAATGCTTTTTTTGACATATTTTTTGTTGTGATGTGTACAATACGATATATAAAAGTTTTAAACACTAAATGCAAATTAATTTAAATAAAAGAAAACAAAATAAATATTAGAAGGGTAATGGTTAGCATTTTATCTTATAGACTTAAATTAATTAATTTATTTATGTATTTAAATGTAATGCTCATATGTTTTTAAAGTATGATTGGAATTTTTCAACATACCTCCATTGAGCATTTACAATAGACTAATTGTTGAATTTAGCTTCAATAAAACTTAAGATTTAAAATTTTTTGTAAGTTGAACCCAACTCTGAAGATTTTAAGAGCATTATTGTTGCTTCACATTTTTGCTTTCATAAATTGAGAGTATTTTTTTGCTACTCTGAAAGATAAAATTACGACTAATAGCATTGTAGTTTGTGCAAAATCAAATTGAATTTAAATTTGTAATTCACAATAGCACAGTTTGGTAGCGCTTTGTGAGTAATTTTTATAAAATGAATTGAAACAAAATATGTTCCTACCAAAGTATACCTTGTTCCGATCTAATAAAATTACAGTTAGATTTAAATTACGTATACTGTGTCAACAGGCTATACATTTTCACACGATATTTTCATCACTGCTATGATTTAGTCACAACCGCATATGAATAACACATTATTTCGATTTTAATTTTAATAAAATTAATTTTATTTTAATTTTATTTCTCATTCATGTTTTTGTTATCATGGTCATAAATGAAAATGCCAAAAGTTATAGTATTATATCTTTTTTGTTTTAGTTCATTGTGAATACAAAGAACTTTAATCACATCAAATTTTTTTTTTACTAATTTATATCATTCTTTGTTTCAAGTGAACAACTTGTTTCAGTGTTTCACCGGTTCAATAAATGTTTGACATTGTTGATTAAATTTTTCGGCAATTAATTTTAGTGGTGGATAACAACAATAATTATATTTATTAAAAATGGATGTAATTTTAGCAAATGTAAATAATATAAATTTTAAAATAGAAAAGGATCTTATGAATCAATGTGGCGCCCTTCTTCTACCGTTTGGTGGCATGGACAGTGAGTGACGTTTTTTATTTTTAAATAATAAATTCATTTTATTAAATACCTAAATTTATAATGTATATAGAATCCATGGCTGCCGTTTGTCAATTTCTGGACAAAACTGGTTTAGAATGTGATAAAGGCTCTGCATGTCCATTTCGTCATATACGTGGCGACAGAACAATAGTATGTAAGCACTGGCTCAGAGGACTTTGCAAAAAAGGCGATCAGTGTGAATTTTTACATGAATACGATATGAAGAAAATGCCAGAGTGCTACTTTTATTCTCGATTCAATGCTTGTCATAACAAGGAATGTCCATTTCTGCATATTGATCCTGAAAGCAAAGTAAAAGATTGTCCATGGTACGATCGTGGTTTTTGCAGGCATGGTCCAAATTGTCGTCATCGACATGTAAGAAGAGTGCTTTGTATTAATTACTTAGCTGGGTTTTGTTTTAATGGATGGAATTGTAAATATGTGCATCCTACATTTGAAATACCTCCACTTGCTGATATTGCAAAGGAACAAATGCAAAAAAAGACTCCGATTTGTCATCTATGTGGTGAGTTGGGTCACAAAGCTTCCATGTGCCGAAAAGTACAAGATGAGGATAGACAATTTAAACACAACACAAGTGCAAAACAATATGTAGGAAATCTTCAAAATTTAACTAACAGAGATTTTAATAACGATAAAGATGAAGGAGAAGAAAACGTTAATACTGGGCATTCTATTATGACATTGAAAATATCTAAACCTATTGAAGAGGTTACTTGCTATAAATGTGGCAATAAGGGTCATTATGCCAATAAATGTCCAAAAGGACATTTAGCGTTTTTATCAAATCAGCGAAATCAAAAATAGCATACATTAGAATTTTTATAACATCATGCAATTTATTAATACTGTAAGTTATATTATTAATTGAATTTTATTCTGAATGATTTCTAGTTGGTTGTCTAGTTGGAAATTTAATGCCGACACCAAATAGTTATTTTATTTTATTCACACATTTTTGACCCAATCCCGATATTAATTAACTAAATCAAAATAAGTAAAGAGAAAAGCACCCATTGGAGTGTTTAATGTGAACTGAGTATAAATTGTAAACTCCATACAAATAAAGTTTGTAGTATGTCAATTTTTTTGAATATATATGAAGTATATACATATATTGTGTTTCCTAAAAAAATACCATAGTTATGATATAACATAATTTAACAGTTATAGTTACGTGAAACGTGAAATTCTTTAAATAGAAGAATATATGATTTTCTGTATAACATGCCTTTTGATCATGTACAAAAACAGCATAAAATTGACGTGTCCAGTCCTCATACGACTGTCTATATAAAATGACCCATAGAAAGGGTTATCCATTTTCAATATTTACTAAGAGACAAAGTGTCAAAAGACCTTCATTCATTTGAATATACGGCAGTTTATTTAAGTAGCTTAATTCATATATCAATTTTTTGTTCAAATTTAATTAGTATTATTAACACACATTAAGAAACTTATGCGTTTACAAACGACAATACTTAAAAGCGATTTATGAATAAAATTTTTTTAGTGCAAATTGATTTTTACACAATAACGTATTGATATTCGTGTATCATATTCGATTATATAAAAGGTTTGCAAAAAATTTAGAACAAGTTAGTTTTTCCAAAAAAATGTTAGGAAATGTTCCAAAAAAATAATCAAATTTGAACCATCACAAACTTTTTAAATACGAAAATATTTCAGTTATCAAAATAAAGAATATTTAAACGACTAAAAGAATCAACATTTCTTAATATATTATAGTTTTTTAGGAAAAAACTTTGCTTTTACATTCCGTATCTCAATAAGTATCGAATATGCATGCTTCGAGCAAGAAGCATTTCTTCAACCTGGTGTACGCTGATAGGAAACACAATATTTGTGCATAATCTGAAAGGATTTTTGTATATACATAACAAAACTCGGGTAAAAGTAAAATTATATTTTTATCTATTTTTTTATACAAATTCGATAATAAAAATTTTATAAACAATAATAATAATAATTAAATAAATTGAATATATTGTTATCAAAAAAATTTTGATTTTATGAATTAGAGTGATGTTGTTAAAGTGTTATTATATCCAAAATATATTAGTAATAATTGTTTACTTATAAACACTTCTAATATTAAAATAAATACAATCACGCATTTTGTAAACCAGAACTATTTTTAAAGTTATTAATTAAAATTACTCTTAGTAATTTAAAATGCCTAATATTATCATTTAAAAAAAATTATTTCATTATTTTCTTGTACATTACTTTTAAATGTTAAACATATTAAATAAATTCATTAAAAAAATAAATTCCAACTGAATTTATAATTTATATCCACTAAACTGTAAATATTAAATATTTAAAAAAGAGAAAAATTCATATAATATTAATATGTGAAATACATTATATTTTAATATAATAATATTAAAAAAATAATTTCTATTCATAAAATTTTTATATAATTAAACATTTATTTCATTCATACAATTAATTTCATATAAATATTCAAAATGATTTTGTACAAATATATAAGAATAAGGAAACTAATACATAAATCTATTAAGTAAAGTTATAAATTAATTAATTGTATAAATTCATGTTTAATTAAGTAAAACATATTAATAAAATAGTTTTTTAAGTGAATTTGTTTAAATTTTAATGGAAATTTATTCATTTATGACATTGAAACACTATATTTGAAAAAATTCCTTTCATCTAGCTTACCAATTATTTCCTAATGAGTTAAATATGTACTTAGAAATCATTGACGAGTAATATAGCAATGATTCGCTATATTCTCTTCTAAAAACATTGGTTACATGCAATACAAAATATTAGTCAAACATTAAATCTTTAACAAATATAACGTGCATTTCATATTCTGAGTCCTCAATGGCATACAACACTTACATATTACGTATGTAATACTTAATTGCCATTACGTATAAATACAGCAATTCCCAATATAGAGCTAACTGCAGCTCTGCTCCTTTTAAGGTCGGTCATTACTTTTTCTATTGACTCAGGGAAGACTCATCCACACCCTTATATATCCCCATCCACATAATTCTTTATTTGCATTTTTTTTCTTTCTTATCAGTCCATTCAAAATGATGTATTCGTCTTATTTGCTGTTTTGTGTTTTATGAGTTTATACAAGTAATAACAGAAACCCATAGAACTTTATTTCTTTTACTACACATCCTTTATTGTTTCCTGCTTTATAAGTCCTCTTGGATTACAACAATGACAACCCACTGCCAATAACTATTTAGCAGATTCAATATAGGACTGTACGATATTTCTTAATTTAATTCCAAAAACTTGACCTCATTACATGTTTAACTGTTCTATATAAAAATATTTTAATAACTTTTTAAATGTTGCCAGCGGTATGTTAAGACTATTCAAATGTTCCGTACGTCTTCTTAAAGTACAATGTTTTGATAGCTCACATGGTACTTTAAGATATCAGATTGCATGCGATATCCCTATGATTGGGATATCTTAGCCATGACTAAATAGAGATTCTAGATAAAAGGTGTAATTAATAAATCCTCAAGAATCACTAAAAAGATTGATAGCTGGATTTGTGATCGTGATCATTAACCTTCTATTGGGAGTAGTTGAAGCATATTTTGAGAAAATTTTGTAGGAGGTAATTTGACGTAAGGTTTCATATTGTAGCAATCGAAACCCGTTTAGGATGTAAGTTGAGCTAAACTTAATGGCTTAATAGAGATGATAGTTGTAATTAAATTCTGTATATATTAAATCCTAAGGATAATTCAAAAGATGGCAGATAAATTTGTGATTGTGAACATTATCCTTCCACTCTAAGGTAATGTAAGTAGTTTTAATAAATTAAAAAAAATATCGTAGAGTAATTTGACGTTGAGTTTTTGTAGCAAATTTTTCTGTATCAATTATATGTTGACATAAATTTTTAAATGAATAAATAGTTATTGTCATTTGTATAATCATTGCAAAAATTTTATATGCTAGATGTCACTAGGTGGCGTTTCTGCTCTCCCAGAATCCGGTAAATGCATTTGTAGTTATTGTTTCTGTAATATATATAAAAAATTGACAACTTTAAAGCCAAATATATCGAGAACCTGGTTATAATGGTATATAACGTATTGGATAAAGTTACTAAGAATAGCGACATCTACAAAATTCCGACGTCTTATTGTAGTAGCTAGTAAATCCTAGTTGCGCATAAAATATATATATATATACATATATGAAACTACTACATTTGTAAGACATTTTATATCTGTTCCATGAGTTACTTGTAGTAACTTTAAGTAACTCTGTATATACACAAGTGCGTTTCACCAGCAAATTTTCGAGTAAACCAGAGCGTAAAATCCCTGTCGAAAATTGAAAATGCTACACAGACTTTACTTGTACATTTTATATCAAGTAAATATCAAGTATCAAGTAAAATTCGTATTGATGTGTGAATCAGCTGGTTTGGTTTGAATTTAAATTTGCAGTGGTGTTCTTACCAGACTTTACGCAAAGTTGTTCCATGAAAACATGTTTAAAGAGCGCTAGTGCCAAGATAGCAACGATGCTGGGAGGTCCAAACCGGAATTGGAACACGAAATTTTTCTAAGTTTACTAATTTGTCAATATTAGCTAAATTAAAGCTTTCTCAAGAAATAAGAAATATGATTTAGAAAGAAAATTCAATAATCTTTCATTTGGTATATACCTCATAACTGAATGTTGCTCAATAGCTGAGATATTCACAAAATAAAAAAACCAAATTTTTTAAAAAAACTGACTTTTTTTACTTAAAAAATTATTAAAAAACAACTAAGAGTTCGATGGACTTGCACGCACATGCATTTGAAAGGCAATAAATCAGGCTTTCAAATAAAGTAAAAATCAGAAAAATCGTATGCGTGGAATTTGCACAAAAACATGTCAAAAAGCAATCTCTTATCTCCCTCCAGATCACACATAGAAAAAAAGTGAAAACGTAAAATGATCAGAAACACATCACGAAATACAATTTTAAATCGTCAATCGATTATTTTACATTTATCATACAAATATGATAAAAAATAACCTTTTTTTCTACCTTATTTTACTCTAACATATATATCATAGCGTGCAGAAGCCCGATGGCAATAAAGATATTTTTCCTTTAAAGACAAATATATCACCTTTCCAAAATAGTCAAAATCAAGAAAATCGTATGCACAGTTTTTCCATATTATTTTTTCAAAAATGGTTCATTTTTTATCAAAAATCCAATTAATTGATAAAAAACGTGAACCTCCACAGCGCCATATACGGCCCAGAAGCAAAGCAGGAGGCTTACTGCCATCTATAATTCGAAGCCAAATAAGATATGGTGTTTGTATTTGCTTAATGCATATGTTGTGAATAAATGAATTAAACAATAAAAAAAGCGACTATCTATCCGTTTAAAAAACATTAATTTAAAAAAAATATTATTACAAGAATCACAATGCACATAAAAGCCTTTAAAGATAACAAAACAAACTTTAAATTACAAAAAAAATCAGAAAAATCGCATTATTCTTCGAACAAGGCAATTCAATCAAATATGAAAATTATTATTTCTCTTAAAACAATCATTTGAGAAGAAAAGATAGATGACAAATGTTAAAAAATATATTACTAAGCAATTATTTAATAATATCAACTTAATATTTAATTCAAAGAAAAGAAAGAAAAAAATGTAATTTAAACCATTTTTATTAAAATTTTCAAATAAATTAATAATTTTTTTTTTAATTTTTCAGAATTCCGAAAAGAAAAAGAACAATCATTGTAAATATTTATACGCTTATTTATTTAAATATTAGTATAATATTTACATATACATCTTTATTAATTGCAGATTTCCAAATGCGACGCAGCCTCCAAAAACAAAACCTAGAGCTGGAAAAAAACCAATAAATTAATTAATTAATTATAAACATTATATACATATATTGTAAGTAATATTAAAAAATGCGCTTAACACTATTTTTAGAAAGCTTATCTGCAAGCACCATCTACCGTTCGTATTCGCTTTATGGAATTTATGTATTTGTTGCAAATTAATGAATTAAACAATAAAAAAAGCGACTATCTATCCTTTTAAAAAACATTAATTAAAAAAAAATATTATTACAAGAATCACAATGCACATAAAAGCCTTTAAAGATAATAAAACAAACTTTCAATTACAAAAAAAATCATAAAAATCGCCTTATTCTTCGAACAAGGCAATTCAATCATATATGAATATTATTATTACCCTTAAAACAGTCATTTGAAAAAAAAAATAAAGATGACAAATATTAAAAAATATATGACTGAATAATTATTTAATAATATCAACTTAATATTTAATTCATATCATACAAATTTCATCAAAAAATATTGGAATGTTTTTTTTGAGGTTATAATTTTTTGCAATCAAATATCTTACCGTGCAAAACCCCGATTGGGATAACCTATATGTCTATATAAAGACGAAGGAGTTTTCTTTCAATATTTCAAAATTCATAATAATCGTATGCACAGTTTTTTTTATAATGATTTTTAAAAAATTTTCATTTGATCAATAAATAAATTGAGTCATAGCGCCGAATGCGGAGTCCAGCAAATTATATGGGCTTGTCTGCAAGCACCATCTACCGTTCGTATTCGCTTTATGGAATTTATGTATTTGTTGCAAATTAATTAATTAAACAATAAAAAAGCGACTATCTATCCTTTTAAAAAACATTAATTAAAAAAAAATATTATTACAAGAATCATAATGCACATAAAAGCCTTTAAAGATAATAAAACAAACTTTCAATTACAAAAAAAATCATAAAAATCGAATTATTCTTCGAACAAGGCAATTCAATCATATATAAAAATTATTATTTCTCTTAAAACAATCATTTGAAAAAAAAATAAAGATGACAAATGTTAAAAAATATATGACTGAACAATTATTTAATAATATCAATTTAGTATATAATTCATATCAAAAGAATTTCATCAAAAAATATTGGAATTTTTTTTTTGAGGTTATAATTTTTTGCAATCAAATATCTTACCGTGCAAAACCCCGATCGGGATAACCTATATGTCTATATAAAGACGAAGGATTTTTCTTTCAATATTTCAAAATTCATAATAATCGTATGCACAGTTTTTTTATAATGATTTTTAAAAAATTTGCATTTGATCAATAAATAAATTGAGTCATACAGCAACTAATTAGGGTTTAACAGCCAACACCATCTAGTGTTTGTTTTCGTTTTATGTGTGATAAATTTCAGGGTTTGAAAATGCTGGACTATTTTCAAGCAATTATTTTTGTTTACGAAAATGAAATAAGCAAAATGCAAATGCAACATTCAGTTGCGTTTATGTTTCATACTAAGTGTGTGCGAAGGTTGAAGCAATGGTAAGTATTATGAAATTAAATTAATAAAATATATTTAAAAATTTGTAATTTATACAACTAATAATATTAAAAATAATAATATTATAATAATAATATTAAAAATATAAATATTAAATTTTTAATGCTTTACTTTCAGAATCGGGATATATTAACTGGCGTATTGATTGGGCTGCTGGTTGACGGTAAAAATGTATGTAAATAATTTAAAATATATATATATTATATTATGATTTATATTAAATGCAATATTAAAATAACATTTTTTGTCTCTTTCTTCAGCAACCCCAGCGTCAACAGCAGCAACGAAACCGCCGACCAGCAGGAAACTACCAGCGGCACCAGGAAAGTGTCCGACGACGGGAAGAAAACCGCCGACGACGCGAAAAAAACCTCCGGCGGCAGGATGAAAACCGCCGCCGGCAGGAAGAAAACCGCCGGCGGCAGGAGGAAAATAGCCGTCGGCAGGAAGAAAATCGCCGTCGGCTGGAGGAAAACCGTCGTCGGGAGAAAGAAAACAAAGAAAAAAATGTAATTTAAACAATTTTTATTAAAATTTTCAAATAAATTAATAATTTTTTTTTTAATTTTTCAGAATTCCGAAAAGAAAAAGAACAATCATTGTAAGTATTTATACGCTTATTTATTTAAACATAAGTATGATATTTACATATATATTTTTATTAATTGCAGATTTCCAAATGCGACGCATCCAAAAACAAAACCTAGAGCTGGAAAAAAAAAACCAATAAATTAATTAATTAATTAATTAAAAAAAAATTCATTTTCATATATCATATATTTCATATATCATGTTTATTTTTTAATACGTTTTTAATAAAAAAATTTTATTTAAACTTATTTTCATAATTCTATTAAATGATATATTATATACATATATTGTAAGTAATATTAAAAAATGCGCTTAACACTATTTTTAGAAAGCTTATCTGCAAGCACCATCTACCGTTCGTATTCGCTTTATGGAATTTATGTATTTGTTGCAAATTAATGAATTAAACAATAAAAAAGCGACTATCTATCCTTTTAAAAAACATTAATTAAAAAAAAATATTATTACAAGAATCACAATGCACATAAAAGCCTTTAAAGATAATAAAACAAACTTTCAATTACAAAAAAAATCATAAAAATCGCCTTATTCTTCGAACAAGGCAATTCAATCATATATGAATATTATTATTACCCTTAAAACAGTCATTTGAAAAAAAAAATAAAGATGACAAATGTTAAAAAATATATTACTAAGCAATTATTTAATAATATCAACTTAATATTTAATTAATATCATACAAATTTCATCAAAAAATATTG